GACATCTGTGTCGTACTTTTGGTTTTGACCCCTCTGACTTTGTACCGTTGATTACAGATAGCCCATTTATCGAGCTACCAAACGATACTTTAAGATGTTTTGATCCGGTCACACCCGACGGTGAAATCCCGATTGTTGCAAGAGAACCGATTTTTTTACTGTCTTTTTTTTTTATATATCGAATATATTTTTGACTACTTCCTGTTTACGGATCATTATCGGGATAGATTTAACAAGTGGTATGGGAACTTAACTTCCTGTACCAGAAGTTTCAGAAAGATCCATTGAACAGTTTTACCTCCCTTATACCATTAGAAGCAGATTTACAGATATAACGATTTTTCGACTTTTTCAAAGATTGTGGCCCTTGTGAAAGCTGAATCTCTAATATGAATATCAGTCCAAAAATGGTTCAGTTTCTTTCAATATGTACAAAAATGTGACAACCTTTAACAAGACAGTTACCGTCTATGAACTAAATTGACTGGCCTCTTTTAAATTCGAATGAATCCAAGCCAGGAGATTATCTTGGTATTTTGATTTTGTTTTCTTAATTATATGTTAAATCAATCTGATTACATATTACATTAGTGTTACTTTGCTCTTATTTTTTGAAAAATTTTTCACAAGTTGTTTTCCTTTATTTTGTTAATGTAGAATGGTAATGAACTGCTCTTTTCATTTTCTTTGTTTTATTTGTTTCGTTTGAATTTGATTTATCTGTTTAGTTTTTGATTGTTTAATTTTTGTTAATGAAGTTGATTCTTTTAAACTTCGTTTTTTATTTTTGAACTCTACTTGGTGTAGGTGTTCATCAGGTAATACCTCGACTGAGTTCAATATAAAGATTAGCCGGTTGATTTGTTGGATATAAACCTTTGAATAATAGCGCCTAACAGGCAGCTGTGTTTAATTATGTTCTCCTGATTTTGATTGTTTCTGTGTGTTTGAAGTATATGTTTGTGAAATGCGCTTAGAAACACTTCACGTGTAATGAAGCGCTATATAAATCGAACAATAATAATAATAATAATAATTAAACATCCATAAGTGTACAAATGTGTTGTTATTGATGTGTTCCCATTTGAATATTGTTCACAATAAAGAGCAAAATAAATAAGATATGTTTACAGGATCATTTTGTTATATGAAAAACTAAGTGATGCGTTTTCCATGGCGCTCAGTATATTTAATCACGCACGATAATCGACATCATCTACTTATCCACTTAAAGTCAAAGTGTTGCTCATCAGAATCACAGTCAGCCGATTTAAAAGATAGATCCAGTTCTGATTGTTCAGATTCAGATTGTTCCTCCGAAGTTAGAGTTACGTCGGAATCGTCATCACTTGCATTATCATTGCCATGAACAAGTAATGGCTTAAACATCCTGGTAATGCTGCTTGATTCTCATCTAATTGACACGCGCTGTCCAAATTGGGGCAGTTTCCAACCATTACCAATGGGAGAGTGTGTGATCTTAGACTTTGAGTAATTAAATATGCCCGAAAAGTAGCTCAGGTGAGTTTAAGTTTGCAAGACTCTTCATCAGGTGGTAGCCAGCGAAAGTTTTTTTTTCGTTTTATGCTTGACCATTTCCTTGCTCTCGCTTCTGCCAGAGAGATGCTTTGAAGGTGATTTCTGAATTAAAAAAAACAAACTGCTGAAGCGATTAAGCTTGTGTGTCTCTGTCTAAAATGCTTTCGGAATCCGCTAGTGTGCCATATTCAAAATAAAGGCCAAATTTGGCGTTAAAAATATAAAATATTTAATATAGGCTTCTGGGGTGGCTATTCCTATGTTTAAAGTGTCTCCGAATCGAAATATATCAAAAATTCATCCGGTCACTAGTTTGGTCAATATGGCCGAAAAATCCAACATGACCGCCATTTCATGCAGGTTTTTTTTAAACTATGCTCAAGTTTTGTGTCAAATTGTATGTTTTCAGTGTCGAGGAATTCAATTTTGACTCGTTCTCTTTGATTGGAGTGAAAGTTACAAATTAAGAGCCACAGTCAGGGGCGGATCTAGGAAGTTTGAAAGGGGGGGGGGGTGCCACAAAATGAGGGCACTGACCGCGGAGACGGGGCACGCCGCTGAGAGGGGATTTTTTTTTTGGGGGGGGGGGGTTCCCCCAAGAAAATTATCCGTTATTTCCTTGCATCTGTAGCCATTCCAAGAGCTAGAAATTTGGCTGATATTTTCGTCTAAGTAAACGTTCGGAAATCGTTGAAAAAGAGCCTTAAAATCGAGCAAAAAAGCCAGTTGAACATGCGGCTCGAAAATTGTCAAGGGCGAGCGAGGCATTATGATGGGGAAAAAGACGAATCTATTCCCTAGCCACTTCACTATTTACGCCTTGTAACTTGTACTTTGTACTGTCCACACATGAAACAATGCTACGTCAAGTTGCACTCATGCGCGTCGGTGATGGACATGATACGCCGCCGATTCCACAAGATGTCTGTCTATAGTCACTCTATAGGATTAGGGCACCGTCAGCTAAACAACAAGAATTCGTTTGAAAGTGGAAGCATTAATTAGACCAGACTGGTGTGTTTGAATCGATGGTTTGAGTCATTTGGGATCCCTGCAACGGGTTGGGAACGGGACATATTTGGGTCTGAGAAAAGGCACTTTCAGCAGTAAAAAAGGGCACTGTCGAAAATTAGGGGGGGGGGGCGCCCCTCGCGCCCCCCTTGAATCCGCCTCTGACAGTGAGGGTGTTCCCGTCAAATGACCCAGAGCTAAGGAATACGGTTTCATAGCTGCTTCTAAGCTTGATTAAACTTCCACCATATTGTTTCTATTGGCTTGGAATTTCCCAGGCGTCATTGCATCAACAGTGCCCCACGCTGAAAGGCCCTGATATAGTCACCGGGCCTCTTTCTTGTTCCAGGATTGTGAATATTGGCACAAGAAGGAGGCCTGGTGAAACATACAATTTGCCACGAAACTTGAGCATAGTTGAAAAAAAAATATCCCAACAAGAAAAGGTGGCCATCTTGGATTTTCCGGCCGTATTGGCCAAACTAGTGACCGGATGAATTTTTAATGATATTTCGATTCTGAGACCCTTAAAGCATAGAAATAGCCACCTCATAAGCCTATATTAGATATTTTATACTTTTAGTGCCAAATTTGACCTCTATTTTGAATGTAGCACTCCATCGGATTCCGCAAACGTTTTGGACAGAGGCACCCAAGCTTAATCGCCTCAGATTTTTTAAATACAGAAATCACCTTCAAAGCATATCCCTGACAGAAGCCAGAGCCAAGAAATGGTCAAGCATAAAACGAAAAAAACTTTCGCCGGCTACCACCTCATGAGGAGTATTACAAACTTAAACTTACCCGAGCTACTTTGCGGGCATATTTAATGCTTAAAGTAGCTAAGTCTCTAACTCAATATCATCCAAAATCTTCAACATTGAAAACACGATTTATTTGTCAAATTAAATCAAAATTCATGTTGTGATCTTACCGGAAAAAGGTGGGCTTTTGATATCCAATATTTAAGACAAAATAAACCTTTTACCATTGATACACGAATCGTGTACCATAATGCGCTTCAGCCCCAGTTGTATCAAGAGACTCGAGGGAAAAGGGTAGACACATTGCACCAAATCAAACGGCGTATGTAGACTGGAATAACCAGACGCTAGAAATTTGCACTCGCTTGAGACTGCTGGCTTATTTCGCCAAACATAACTGATTTTAAATTGGAGTAAAAACGGAAACCATTGAATGTAAATCAGTTTATATACATCCATATTACAGTATTATATGCGTTGCGACCCACTTTTGTCAATTTCTAGGTCCCGAATGTTAGCGATTTAGCTCCTTTAATTACTTGAAGTCTAAAATCCCACACTCTCCCATTGGTAATGGTTGGAAACTGGTCCAATCTAGACAGTGCGTGCGTGTCAGTGATTTACATGTTTTTGGCAGCGATAGTGCAAGTGATGAAGATTCCGACGAAACTTCAACTTCGGAGGAACAATTTGAATCTGAACAATTAGAACTGGATCTATCTTTTGAATCGGGTGACAGTGATTCTGATGAGAAACACTTTAACTTTAAGTGGATAAGTTGATTATCGTGCATGATTAAATATTACATGGATCCATTATCAAGCGTTGATTAAACAGGGTTCCCGCTGCTTCGTCAAACATTTTTTCAAGGATATTCAAGGATAAATATACGTCAAATTCAAGGATTTTCAAGGACATTTTTTAGCCTAAATTTACAATTTTTCATCTTAAAAATAACCAAAACATTACAACTATCGTTATAAAACTTCTAATCTAAACGGGATTTTCATATCAACTTACTATTATTACCAATCTGAAACAAAATTAAGGATCTCAACTGAAATTCAAGGATATTTTCCTATTTCCACGAAATTCAAGGATATTCAAGACCTTAAAAATGAAATTTTAAATTTAAGGATATTCAAGGATTTTCAAGGACCGCGGGAACCCTGTTAAATCAAATCAACTGACTACAGAGTATATCAGGTTGACATATCGGCGAGTACCTTCATTTCTTGCACTCTTATTGCTGGTTGCATATATCGACAGAAATCCATCATAATTGAATACCTCGACACTGAAAACATACAACTTGGAGTATAGTTGACAAAACTATTTTGGAGGTAAAAACTGGTGGCCATCTTGGATTGTTCGGCCATATTGGCAAAACTAGTTGCCGGATGGATTTTTGATTACAATATTTCCATTCAGACACCCTTAGAACATACGAATAGACACCTCGGAAGCCCATATTAAATAATTTTATATTTTCCCGCCAAATCTGGCAGCCATTTTAAATTTGGCCCTCTAGTGGATTCCGCCAGCATTTTAGAGAGAGGCACCCAAGCTTAATCGCTTCAGTAGGTTTTTGTCATATAGAAACCACCTTCAAAACAACTTCCCCGAAAATTGGTCACGGATTTAGGTCTCGTACCCAACTATACAATACAATATACATATACACACTGACATTTACAAGAAATGTGTATAGATATTTAAAGTATTTTGTACATTTTGTGTATTATAAATGGATTTCAAAAAGTAAAACATACGTGTTTGTGTTTTAATTTCTACATTGTTTTATACAGATAGAATCTTAACTAATCCTAATAATTGTTGTAAATAAATAGAAGTTAGGGCCTAGCATACTATGCAAATTTTTTTTTTTTTTTTTGGGGGGGGGGGGGGTCCAAGTATATTTTCAGACACCCCGCCTCCATGTGTGACGCCCATGGATGTGCCCCAACCATTTGTAAGAGTAAAAGCAAGACAATCATATCTGAACCTAAATTGGTTTTGTTCTTGTTGATGTGAAATTTGTTTCAAGAACACAACACATTTTTTTTCCCTTTTGTCCTTGGAAGATTCTTCCATACAGGAATTATGTCTAAATCACACACTAAACACTAAAGATTTTGTGTAAATTATTACACATTCTGCATGCATCTGATATAATCTATAAATAAAGACAATGGTAAAATGATCCTTGGTAAAAGAAATAGGCTACAGCTCATACTGTATTTATCAAATAAAACCCCCAAACTATACATAATTAACATCTTTAATCAACTGTAACTTATGAGCAAATATATATATAATATTTACAATTACATTTGAATTATACATTATTTTGCATAGCCAGGTTATAAGAAGTATACTAATCGTATGGCTAGTGCTGCTGATATATCTGATACCCTGTTTGTTACAGCAGGTCACATGTAGAGGTGCATTAAATTTTTTGTCCACATTCACATTTTCCCATTTCAAACTTTCTAAATGGTTTGTATCACAATCTTTACTGACAAATGTTATTACATGTATTTATGATTGCAAACATCGAATATTTATGTTCAATATTATTTGCACATTAATCTAGATATTTTAATATATAAATTGATCATAAGTTACGTCTATGAAGTATGAAAATATGAAGATTACTAATCGTCTAATATTTTGATTTCAATAGAATCATAAATGATTTGACATTGGTTGCATTTTAAGTTCAGATACCACAGACTTTCAAAATTTGTCTCATTTTATTGCTACTGATAAGTCTTAGAGCAACCATAACAATTTTGAACTATTTAACACTTGTAATCTTTTTTCAACAAGGAAATTAATGATGCTTCTAATAATAATTTTGAACAGTTTGTTTTTTTGGACAGTCTGTTATTAAACAACCCCCAAATTTCCCTGTATCTAAATTACTTTGTGGGTAATTTGCATTTACTCAAAAATATAATAACAAAAAAATTAATAGTAGGTACAAGAATTAAATGCTAACCAATAAACTTACAACATAAACATGATTGAAGAATATTTTAGACAGAAGATTGTTGTTCATAAACAAAATATAGGTAACAACAATTTTTAAACATACATATAAATACGCATATTTTGTATTTACAACTTGTATAAACTGTTTTGATGCAATTTCTTACAAAATGCAAAAATACCAAATTAATAAATTAGTACTATCAAAATATTCTACAAAGAAAAAAACAAAATACTTATACAAAAATATTGAAAGAAAATAAATCTCACAGTATCAATATCTCTCTTGACACCATAACAACACAAATTTCTTCAAGGGACAAATAAGCAGCATATTATTGGCTATACACATCAAGCAAGTTGCTAAAATGAGTAAAGATTCATAACTTAAAAGTTATTAACTGTTATCCGAATAACGCTATTTATTGTTCTTTTAAATGTTATCTCAGGCATGTATTAATAACTAACTATGTATATGGACCATGAAATGCAACTTTTAACACATTAAAAACCTGTAAAATATGATAAAATGGATGTAATGAACACATTGAAATAATATGAACTAAAAGTTTCCATTTACAAAATTCAAAAGATATATCAATTTTAAAAACCTGATTTAAATAAATTACAAATATACAAAAATGAATATGCAGACTACTGAAAGACATTTTGAGCCATGGTTTAGTTGCTGTTAATGAACTGATCCATTCATATCACCATTGGAAACAGTTGGAACTGTAGTGTTGTACCATCCTTCAACAAAAGAACAGGCTATGTCTTTAACCATAGAACGATCTGGAATCGACTGGGCCATTCCATAGATTGCAGCCTAAAAAAGAAAAAATAAATATTGTGAAACAGACCATCAACAAAACACAGATGGGCGAACAAGACTAATGGATGGACAGGGGCAGCGGCAATATACGACAACTTTAATAAAATTGTGGTGTATAAAAACTAATATTTATATGATTTATGCACATATCTGAAAATCTACTTTGTTAACTATTATTTTAGACATTTATTCCCATGAAAAGCCTATAATCAACTCTCTAGACCATCGGATGACCGAGATTTAAATGAATTAGAAAACCCAGGATTTAAAAATTTAACGATAAAATGGATAATCACGACTAAAGTCATAATTGTCATGTACCATTGCTTCAATAATAAACAATCTACACCACATCTTCAAACACTCATAACTTTGCTTAGAATAAAGTAATTAGAATGGACAGCTCTTTATCAAACTCTTACATAATGCATCTTTAATAAATATTCTACAAATTAGTCTGTTTATTTTGCTTTACTGAGAGTAATGAAATTATAAAATATGCAAATTATTAAAACTGTAGATTTAACATGATGAGATTGTATACATACATAACATACATGTACATGAAATCAGTGATAGTTCTACATTTTCTATTTTTATTAAATACAAAAACCATAAATTGAGTTGATAACCTGAAAATTGATATTCTAACAAGTCTACAAAGACTCACCATGCCACCATCTTTAGCATTAGGGTTTTTCAATATATCAGCAGTTATAGCTTTAACATCTGCTATAAACTCTTCAGCTACACCATCTTGACATATTGGTAATGTTACACAGATGTGTATGCTTAAAAACAAAAACAAAGAACATTGGTGATGACTTGTAAAAGCGAAATATTAATAACACACATTCCTATTTCAATATTATTACACATTTTCTTTGCTATATAAAATAACCTCAAAAAGGTCCTCTTGAGTTATATGGATTGTTAACAAAATCACTACTTTAAGGCTGAAAAACAAAAAATACCTTGAAGGAAACTGCAATGGATTCAAGTTCCAACCTTTTTTAGCTAAAGCATCAGACAAATTGAAGATATTGAAATCATCAGAACCTATACCAACTACGGACACTTGTGGATCACCAAAAACAAATATACCTTTAATTTCTTTCATTCTGTAAAATGAATAATGATATATATTGATCAATAAAACATATGAGCATTTAGTAATATAATTAAACTTAAATATAGATTATCTACTCTTAAAATGCCCAAGTAATATATCTTTCAGTTACCATAATACTCATTGGACAAATTATATATTTACAAACCCTTTAGAAATTTTACGAGCTGTCGTGATTATCTTTCTAGTTGCATCTACATAACCTTGTTCACCTATATACATCATAGTAGCCCAACATGCTGCAATTATAGCTCCTGATCGACTACCTACAATAACAAATAATTTGAATGTTAATAAAATGCATCTTCCATTTTATTATTGTGTTCCCTGATAAAAGAGAATATCAGGTACCTTAACTTTGGTTCTTACAATCACATTTTATGCAAACACTAATTAAATGTGGGGGGAGAAATGGGTTAAAGGAAAGATGAGAGCTGTTTATAGGCTTGTTATGTGAATAATAATGTCTAAATAATAGTTGATGTAACATTTGAAGCCAAAATAAAGACCTGCAACAGGCAGATTTAGCTCGTGTTAATTTATACCTTTACTATGCAATTAGTTGACAAAAAAACTTTTAGCAAGGGAGGTTATAAGATAAAAATGTTGGAAATGCATTTGTAAATACTCGAAATATGGTACTAGTGATTTACCTGCAATTGTTGGTGAAGCATATATACCACCTGTCCAATTAGGTTGAACAAAAAACTGAAACTTTCTATAAGATTTTTCACTGTACATTATCACAGATGAGCCCTTTGGTGCATAACCATACTGCAAAAAATGGGGTAGATATAGAATTGTAAAAAGTTGATGATTTTTTTCTAGAATACATGTACTTTTGTCAAGAGTATAATAATAATGCATTGCCCATTTCTATTTAACAGTAGTATTTTCAGAGATGTGTTATAACTTTTGTTGAGAATTAGCTATTGTTTGAAAAAAATATTAACTGATATTCCTCACCTTATGAGTATCAGCTGAAATACTAGTTACACCGTCCACTCTAAAATCAAATGGATCCAATTCAAAACCGGCTTTGTTCATAAATGGAAGAAGAAAACCACCAAGACAACAATCAACATGGACTGGAATGTTGTAACGTTTACCTAGCTAAAAATACAACAGATATAATTTCAATACAATATGGTAATGGAATATAATCGTTACACTTTTTAAGTAATGGTCATGTAATGAGTAATGGAAGATTTCAAAAGTAATGAGTAATCGATCTATCAGTTAAATTAAAAGACAATAGAGTCTTACTACAATTTAATCTCAAGGTAACAAGTGACAAACCAAACAACAGCCTTCAAGTATCTCATCATTTTATGGTTACTTAAAACAAATATATATTTTGTTTTAGAGTCATGCTGAATAATTTACAAGTTATACAATATATAACAGACAACTTTTTTGGATTGATTAAGTAAGAATTTTATAAAATTACTTAAAAGAAACTTTACAGGTAATGGATATTAATTACTTCCAATGTAATCAGTAATGGTAATTAATTACATTGCTAAAAATGAGAAAGTTATTGTAATGATTACATTTAAAGAGTAATAGTAATGTCATTAATTACATTGGCAATGTAATGGCCTTAGCCCTGTAGAGAACAAAACTTGAATCAATATTTGAATGAAAACATACCGCAGCTATTTCTTGTATAGGATCTATAATACCATGTGGAAATCCTGGACCAGAACCTACAATCTGAAGAAAAACAAAACAGACAATAATATAGGGCTATTCAAAACTCACTGATGGTTCTTATATAGCACTATAATAATATTGATTTCTAACATCAGACAAGCTATATTCCCATCCATTTCCTATACCGATATGTGCTCACCTTTTCTACCCAATCTCATCCCCAACAAGCAACACACACTGATGTGTTAGTTCCCAAGCAATTATCACATATTCTGACAGACTTAGTGTGAAGTCTCCTAACTTTGTCAATTCAATCATAGGTTTTATCTGTAATTCTTTTACTATATCATTGTTTCATGTGTAATTCCTAAATGCCAAATAAAATTTGTAACTTTGTGTTTATTTGAATTAATATGTCTGTATTTCGATGAAAAAACTAAACAAACATCATCCATATTCATCCTATAAATCCCTAAACCAATGTGCACTCACCACACAAGTTCGACTACTGATAGCTCTTCTCATCGCTTTAACATTAACTTTTCCAGTAACAGGATCAATAGCTATATGTTTAATTGTCATGTGAAAATAGGAAGCAGCCTATAATATAATAAAAAATTTTGTTTACATGTTTTGAAGATTAAAGAGAATATATCTATTCTATCTAGCATACAATAGCAAACATATCATAATTAAAGATGGGTTCCCGCATACAAACTGGGTGATTTAATGTTATATATGGACTAAAAACATATTCAAACTAATTAATTTGTCATAACTTTGCTTCAAATCCTTCTCAAACATTGTAATTGCGAAGGAATGTCCTGCTATAAAAATTCGATCAAACCAGGTCATGTTTACGTCACGTGACTTACCTCTCTTGGAAGTCAGAGGAGAATTCATTGCATACATAAGACGATATTCTCTTTTATCGCTTACTATTTATTACAAATATCGTATCCTAATTAAATTCTCGGATTATCAACTACCCGCGTCCTTTTCCGTCATTTTTATCTCAGAAAGTGTTGTATGTCTAACTCTTCATAAAGTTTATCAACTTGTATATCAAGCGCTCAATGTTTGCGTGTGACCTTTGACATCACGCGTGCAGAAATTCCTAATTGTCGGGCTGTTGATTAGGGAAACCCTTACATTTTTGTCTTGTATAAGCTCCATGAGTGTTTTTCGGGGAATCCAGTATTTTTCTAGTAAGATTGGATATCTCTACTTTCCATATATACCAAAATTACCATACTTTTATTGGAAATAACCATCCAATAAATACTTTTCTGAAACCAATCTTTAAAAGTTGTTACATATAAAGCAATAAATTTTTTTATAAAAACTCTTTGTTAAAATGACACATTCTAACCGTACATTAAATTTAGAAACACACATTTTACTATTCCATATACTATGTTCTCTAAATTTTGTTGAGACATTATGGCCAGCTGTAAGATGTGGTGGGTGGGCGTCACGGTTTTAACAGTTTTCTAAGGGGTCTAACGATAGGTCATTATAATTTACCTTATCAAATGCAGCATGGACAGTTATAGGAGCAACACTGAAACAGAAAACAAATTAAATATTTACTTATCACAATGAATATATTGAAAACTCAGAATATTCATTTCAGCTCAAAATGTAGCAATAAAAGTTACATTAAAGAAGCAGTCTCATAAATTCATAGAATATCTGTTAATAAAATGGGTTGAAGTATGCAAATCAAATGCCAAAATGTGAAAGAAATAGCTGAATAACCTTGTATGAATGTTACTATTCCAAATATTTAGCAAATGGGAAATCATTTTATAATTGCGCGAGGGGGTTCGGTAACATATTTAAAGAACTTCAGTTGAATTAGAAACATTGTGAATGCACCATAAATTTAGTAAGTGTACAGACCTTGTTATCCAGCCAGATACTAACATAGCAAAATATTTGGAGATTTTGAAAAAATGTCCCAGAGGTCGTATACAGGCTTAAAACTTACATTTCAGGAACTTTGATACCCCTTTCTCTTGCTAGATTTCTGTATGCTAAACATGCTAACATAATACTCTCTGTTCCACCCTGGGTTACCTACAAAATGTAAAATCTTAAATTAATCTTTGCTAAGTCACTAACAAAATACCCAATTTTCTACCCATTATTATCAACAAATATACTTCCACCAGCAGTATGTTATGATCTATAAATCAAAGGTACAGTAATACCAATATATATGTGTATTTAAACATGCATTATACAAGAGCTAAATCTGCCTATCGCAGGTCTTTCTTTAGGCCTGAAATCTTATCTAAGTTATTAATTAGACATTAATTAACTTATCCAGACAATAATCAACTCTCGATGTCAAGGCTAGCCTTCGATATCGACTGGATTAGAATCCTATATGCTGCAAATGCTCATTGATAATTAAATCCAAACAATGGATAATCGAGACTATGCTTTTTAACGTACTAACTTTAGTAATACTGAACGAGGCTAGGCAGAAATTTACAAAGCTGATATCTCGGTTCATAGTGGACCAATTTGACTGAAATTTTCAACAAATTACCTTTACATTATCTAGTTTTTAACTATATAATATAGCGAGAACTGTCAGCTCTTTATCTAGTCTCCCATAATGTATCTTTAATCTACTAAATTTTATAAATTATAATATTCAACTGTATAACATACTGTGCCACATGTTTCTGGTCCACCATTAAATATTGTACAACACATACGAACAACTTCAGCTTCCATTTTACGAATATCAGGAAATACATCTGGATGTAATGGGTTGGTCCAAGCAAACATACTGTATGTCTAAAATCAATAGAAAAATAAAGATATTGGTATTCAACCATTCACAATCAGTATTTACAAGAGCATCGCTAATGCGGCAATATACGTCCACATTCCTGCTTTGATTGGTATGGTACTTTTTAAACTGAAGAAGATGAAATATGAAGTGGCTGCAATGACTGTAATATGACAAGCCACAAAGAAGGGTAGGCGTTTGGTTTGTTTTGCCGAATTTACAGACTAAATATTAACAAAAAAGTGGGTGGGAAACCGCCCCAGGGCTTGGGGCATGCACCAAAATAGATAGTTGCTGTCTTTAGTTACAGTATAAGGAATAAATGTGAAAAGTTCCAAGAGATCCATTCAGAATTGCAGTCTGAAGACGATAAATACAAAAATTTGGTGAGGCTCTGCCCCTAGGGGTTGGCTATGGAACGATATCAATAGGTACAACCCTGTTATTGAAATAATTGATATGCTGAATTTGAACAAAATCTGTTAATTATTGCAACATGTAGAGTATTTACAGACAAAAAATTAACAAAAAAGTGGGTGTCGGGATATGCACCAAAACAAATAGTTGCTATCCTTACAGTATAAGGAATAAATATGCCAAGATTCAAGATGATCCATTCAGAATTCCAGTCTGTAGACAAAAAACACAAAACTTGGGCGTGGCTCTGCCCCTGGGGATGGGACATGGACCAATATAAATACGTATAACCCTATGATGGATCATTCTGAATTTGATCCAAATCTGTTAATAATTGCAACCTGTATATCATTTACAGACAAAATATTAACAAAAAGTGGGTGTAGTGTGGCACCACCCAAGGGGGGGGATCGTGCACCAAAATCAATAGTTGCTTTCCTTTGGGTATAAGGAATAAGTATACCAAGTTCCAAGATAATCCATAATCCATTCATAATTGTGGTCTTCGGGCGCTAAACACAATAATTGGGCGTGGCTCTGCCCTTGGGGGTCAGGACATGCACCAAAATCAATAGTTGCCGCCCTTAGGCTATGAGGAATACATATGCCAAGTTCCAAGCTGCTCCATTCAGAATTGTGGTCTGTATATGATAAACACAAATATTGGGCGCGGCTCTGCCCCTGGGGGTTGGGACATCCACCAAAATCAATAGTTGCTGTCCGTCTATAAGGAATACATATGCCAAGTTCAAAGACGATCTATTAAGAATTGTGTCCTGTAGGCAACACACAAGCACATAAAGAAGAAATGGATGTGGCTCTGCCCCTGAATGTCAGGCAATCGCCAAAAAACAATAGGGATCATCCTTAGGGTATAAGGAATAGGTATGCAAAGTTTCAAAAGGATCTGTTAAGAATTGCGGCCTGTAGGTCAAACACAGACAAAAATTGGGCATGGCTATATCCCAGGGGGGTGGGCATGCACCAAAAATAATAGAGGTCATCCTTGGGGTATAAGGAATAAGTATGAAACATTTTCAAGACAATCGATTAAGACTTGCGGCCTGTAGGCGACACACAGAGACACAAAAATAAAATGGATGTAGCTCTGCCCCGGGGGGTTGGGCATGTGCCACAAACAATAGGGATCATCCTTAGGGTATAAGGAATAAGTATGTAAAGTTTCAAGATGCTCAGTTATAAATTCTGGCCTGTAGGCAACACACCGCACACACACACAGGGCCGACGGCAACATACGTCCACATTATGAATGTGAATGTATAAAAATGTGGGGAATTAATCTTAATAATTATGGTCATGTATTGTAAAAGTTATATGAATTTTCAGATACATAATATCTATGCTTGGTTGGAGTTAAATGTTTCAATTATCACATCTTGATTCATCTTATAAATCCACTATAAAATACCAAATATATTTTTCAATTTAAAATAGAAATGGACAGCAATAGAGGATTTAAAAATGGATCATTCACCTAAATCAAGAAAAGCTGAAATGTGAAAATAGAGCAAGGTTTACAGTAGTATCTAGATAGTCTGCATCAGTGCCTTGATAAATTTCACAAAATACATTACTTTTCACATATTTAGATATTTTATCATTATTTCAACACCTCCATATATAAAAGATTATATTTCTTACTTTAGCCATTAATTGTGTTAATTTCTCTTCTCCACTATAAACTGTGCCAGATACCCTTCCTTTCTTCCAGTCTGTTTTGGCTATAATAGATAAACATAATGTAATAATTTCAATGGAGCTACATTGCTACAACATATAGGCATATAGCATAAACTTCTCTATAATATCATCTGCTTATAAATGATACCTTGACAATCAAATAACATATTGGTCACAAGTTCAATCCTATACTATTCAGTAGGTAAATTATTAAAAAGATCACACAAATACCTGACATATATATACATAATAAACTCTACAACTTAATTTATTTTTCGAAAAATAAACCAGCGGCTGCCAGGCAGGATACGTCCACATTTTGCAAGAGATGGATAGAGAACAAGCTAAACAAAGGGCGATTTTTCGTACAATCAGGGGTCATAATTCAGGAAGTTACAGTCCGATATGCGCGAATATTGAAAGGAACCCAGATCTTTGATCTTTGGGTTATAAACTTACCCTTCAAGTTTTATCAAAATCAGAAGAAAATTTGTGACCTCTAGAGGGTCCACAACCTTGATATACCATATTTTTACGCTATTTGATTACGAGGGGTGGCCAGTTTGTCTGTCAGTTTTGGTGCGATTTTCACGAAATTCAGACTCAACCATCCTTAGGGTGTAACGGTGATATATTCAAATCTTTTTTTAAATCGTATAATAATTGTGACCTCTAGAGGGACCTCAAGCTAAAAACGCGATTTTTCGTACAATCAGGGGCATAATTCAGGAAGTTACAATCCGATATGCGCAAGTATCGAAAGGAACCAAGATCTGTGGATTATAAACTTATATTTCAAGTTCCATCAAAATCAGAAGAAAATTGTGACCTCTAGAGAGTCCACAACCTTGATATATCATATTTTTACGCTATTTGAGTACGAGGGACAGCCATTTTGTCTGTCAGTTTTGGTCCGATTTTTACGAAATTCGAACTCAACCATCCTTAGGGTGTAACGGTGATATTCTGAAACGTTTTTTTAAATCGGATAAAAATGATGACCTCTATAGGGTCCACAAGCTAAAAAACGTGATTTTTTGTACAATCAGGGGCCATAATTCTGGAAGTTACGAACCTATATGCGCGAATATCGAAATGAACCAAGATCTTTGGGTTATTAACTTACATTTCAAGTTTCAACAAAATCGGATAAAAATTGTGACCTCTATAGGGTCCACAAGCTAAAAACGTGATTTTTCGTACAATCAGGGGCCATAATCCATGAAGTTTCGGTCCGATACATGCCAATATCGAAAGCAACCAAGATCTTTTGGAGATAAACTTATATTTCAAGTTTCGTCAAAAACGGATAAGAATTGTGACCTGTAGAGTGTCCACAAACAATTGTGGACGGAGAGACGGACACGGGCGACGACAATATACGTCCACATGAAAATGTGGGCGTATAAAAATATGCTTGAAAGACTTACCAAGAGCTTGGTATTTTTCTAATTCTAAAATTAATTCTTTCTGAAATTATAAAATAGTAATTGACTATTAAATCTAAAGTTGAATTTACGAATATCAGCTAAATTAATATTGGAAGTAGAGAGAAAAAAGATTCCATTTTCTCTGCATTTTGCTGATCAGTACTTCAAAAATATTACTGTGCCGGGGCAGATCCAGACGGGGGGTTTGGGGGGGGTACAGCTACATAAATTTTTTTGTAAATCAACACTTTTTATGAGCAAAGTTTCTCGGCCGTGTGCTTTATTCTTTATCGTCAGATGTGGGACAGGATGGGCACTCAAAGCACAAGATAATGTCATTGTAATTCATAATAAAAATTGACGTCAAACGAGGTGTTGAATTTCTCTGTTTAAAAAGCTCAATGTGTATGTATAAACGCCAAAATGACGATAGAGACCATGCGGGAGGGGGGGGGGGAGATACATTGTCTGAGGAACCTGGCAAATCCCCTCCTGCAAAAATTCCTGGGTCCGTCCCTGCTGTGTCTGTGTCATGACTCGAGACAACTCTTACTTTTCATCATTGATTTTATTATCTTGCTGGGTGAAGTATATAACATTATCTCTATAAGAACCATGTAGACTAAATTATAAAATGACTTTCTCCCATTCTTTCATCAAATGGCTATAAAACAATGCTCTGAGTGATTACTGTATTATTTACTAATACTTTCAAACTCATTATATTTCTTCTATTTGAACTAAGGCATGGCTTTAAAACTAAAATTATTCAGTTATATTATCCCATGACTAAAATGGTGAAAATAATAATATTGTATATCTATTTCGAACTGGTTATATCAGTAATCATGATAAATCTTCACGATAAATCTTCCAGCTGAACATCTCTTCGCTGACAATTGAACTTTACACCTATTATAAAACATTTCCTGCTATTGGTAACATTCAAATAAACAGCATATTATGCAGTCTCTAATGCTACCCACTACATCATAAATTTATCAAAATCTTGCAATATCTAGATCTATTTAAGTTCAAAATTACAGATATCCTTATAGCTCTCCTTCATTTGAGTATATAAATGTACCTTGAAAGATTGACCAAATGGTATAGATGTTATTTTTCAAATATGGACTGTTTGTTTTGTTCTGCAATTTTCCCGAACTTGATTTTTTATAATTAGTACATACTTCACTATATCCTTTCATAGGAATCTGACAGACATAACCATGACCAGCATGATCTTTATACAAAGATTCAACCATTGATTTTGTTGTTTTAGCCATTTCAGCATCTATCTTTGCCTTGACATAAGGAATCTTTTTAATCAGACGAAAGAATTCTTTTTTACCTCTCTCTTTCAAACCTAAATAAGACATTTTTTCTGTTTGTAAATTGGCTATTTTAATACTTGTAAATCACAATGGACTTCCACATTCTTTTCAATTTGTGGTGAAAGTTATTTTATATACATACATGTATGTCATTAATACAATTTTAGAATTATAACTGATAATCATAACTTAATAAGCATTCCAAATAAATAATATTTATTGTTATCTTAAATAAATACTAATTACGGAACACATAGTTCATATCACAATGACTAAACCCATTATCTGATTAGAACATTCAAAAGATATACATACTGTATACACTTGAGACTACATATATGAATCATTAAAATTAATAATGATGTCAGTGATAATGTGGGTCAGTTGAGATCACTGGACAAGTATATGTACTCAGGAATAATATTAAAGGAATAAATATCAAAAGTTTAAAAATTAAAATAAAGAGAAGGCGAGAAATGGGGATTAAGGTCCACTGACATAAATTAGGTCATTTTGGGACTAATATATGATTCAATTTTATGTCAATGATTGGTTGCGCGTACAGGTCTTTTGCAGTGGGGAACCTTGGTGGCTAAGTGTGTAAAACACTGGCTCGCTAGCCTGGAGGTCGCGGGTTTGATAGTTTTTTACCGAGAAAATTCGAGATTTTCCAGCATGATTTCCCCTTGTCAGTGGTGCAGGATGGAGGGCATGACAAGGACAGCTGTCCAGTCATTCAGATGGGATGAAAAACGGAGGTCCAGTGTATACTGTATGCCTGTGTTCAACAGCCCAGTCGGAGCAGAACAGTAGGACATTAAACCCCATTTCATTTCAGTGGACAGACGACACCAGTCCTTGTGACGTGCAAACAAAGAATCAAAACCAAATTTAGAATATTCTTTTATATTCAGAAAGTGATAGCCTGTTTAAATACATAAACTGTATTTAAAAAGTCTCAGTATTTACATATGATATCTGGTAGTCACAATATGAAATATATACTAACTTTCTTCTTGAAACAAAAACTGTTTGGTGAAAACAACAACTAGTGTTGTTCCCGCTGTGTATACCACTATTTGCCATGGTTGTAAACCTTTACATAAAGCATTAAGTTGATCTTTAATACTATCTAAAACTGGCATTACAGGACCCTGAAATTATATTCGGTGAATATACAGTACCAATTTTACATTACGTTATAGAATAGGATAATAAACAGATTCCATAAGTTTATATATTTTTAAAGTAAAGATTTCCCTATGGTTGACAATTTGATCCTTAACATCTATCTGGGTCACTTCATGTTAACTGGACCAGAGCTTGTCAGGTGACCCCTCAGAATATAATGAAATTTTGGTGTACTGATTTTATATCTTAATTGTTTCACGATATTCTTGAAATTCTGGGGTTTGTAAGAGAATATTATTTAGATTAAGATGTAACCATCAAATTTTACAGAATAAGTACATGTACGGTCTACTGTATATGGAGTGCCTTAAGTGCCAAAAATTGATACTTATGCCAAAAAAATCAATATTTCGATAGGGTGTGGAAATTTTACTACACTATATATTAGAAGTTACTTATCACATGTTTAATGTATCAATGGACACTGTTTGAACAAACATTTATATTAAAAGTCATATCATTGTTGGTTTCTTGTAAAATTAGCTTTGAAAGTCAACTCACAGCAAAATAGCTAAAATCATTCTTTTTCAAACGATAACCATGTATAGGAGCCTTCCATGAAAAAATATAAAACTTTGGGAAAATGTTGCATGTACATATGTGTTTATCAGTGATAAAAGGCCCATCTTTGATATTTTACTCCTTCATTTTTTATTTTCATTTATTTGAACGGTTATGATTTTTTTCATTTTTGGCTGATTATAATACTTCTAGTAATTGCCTGATCATCATGAAACAAGATAACATTGGAAGTAAGGACAGTCAATGAATCGCTTATAATGCTACTTTTGATAAATTTTGTGCTGCTGCCATGAAAACCACAAAAAGTAACACTAATAATTATTAAAAAATTGAAGTTACACAACGATCCGCATCACAAGGATTATGGATCACAATTGACTTGCATTGTACTAATTGTAGATTCCTTTCATACGAGTCTAATGGTAGCCATAATTATAGTTTATATTATAATTATTTACTGTGAAATAAAAACCATCTTATTCTTTATTGGATGTACGGTACAACTAGTACAAACACTTCATATATCTCATAAGTAAGATTTTAAATAGATTATGTGTGTAAATTATTCCAGTCAATCAGGTCCTTCAATATGATCATCAGACCGTGTAATGTGTTTTGGCTGTACTGTTACTGTGTTTCTGTAAATATTATAATTCATTTAGTTCCAGATCCTGTAGACTAGATAAAAAACAAATCTATGCATGCCTTTATTCGTTTATTACCACTGGACTGGAACTATTACATTCAGCTATCAATTATAAGTGTAAAGTCCAATATAATCAGCTTACAGACTGGAACTATTACATACAGTTTCGAGTATTATATTCTGCTATTAGGCGTAAAGTCCATTGTTACATTGTAATCAGCTGATACAAATCGGCTGCTGCGACGTATTTAGTGAACTCTGGCTACTATTAACAATATAGAAATGGGATATAAAAATCACATAATAGGCCTAAATAAAATAATATCATGAATTAGTTGAGAGAGGGCAACATTGTTTAGCACTGAACCTAAAAATATTAGATTATCATATATCTCAGCAAGGCAGATACATCCTTCAACCATTTATCACGGTAGTGTATTTAATCATGAACTTACTGTTATTGTTTTTACGAGTGCAGCCATTTCGTCAGTGATGTTCACTTCTCGTTGAGTCTCGGTCGGAAAGTATTAAATATCAAAGTATCACGTGGCCACCTGCGAGAAATTACGCGACGACAGCATGGCGGAAGTCGGCAGATGTCAGAAAAATAAAATAAATATATTGTGTACTGCCTTAATCTGAAATATGTGTAAATTCAAGGGGATTCTATTCTCTTGTTAAGGTAAGTGTCAAACACAATTGAAAATGGTATCAATTTTAACACCTTTCAACAATTAATAGCTAGATAGTTGGGGGGGTTTTCTCGTCCCGTAAGACATTGCCATTGGATGATGATTGCTTGACTGATTGCCCCTGCTTGACTTGAAACCAAATTCCTGGGCTTGGGCTAATATTCTAGGACTAAACCATTAATAAACTGAATATTTATGTCACATTCTATTATATAGTTTAGCATGTTGCTCAAAGTCAGTGTGTATACTGTAACAGAATCTTACTTACTACTACTACACTGCATTATGATGTCTGAGATACTAAATAAAATAGTAATAATAGGCCTATAGGCTATAATAGACATTTAATTTGGGGGAGAAAAAAATGAAGAACTGCCTACCCCCGATTGTTTCTAATTGCGCCTTCCCATTTAGCCTAAATATACATGGCTATTAAGGCACACAGGTTGTGTACATGTAGGGCCTACCTCAATCTGAAAAAGTTCTATTCTTAAATTTTAAAAGGAGGAAAGTCGCTAACTCAACAATCATCCACAGTCTTCGATACTGCAAACAGGACTTATATTGGCCAATTTATATGAACATTAATGTTGTTATCTATTGTGAAAAGATGGGCTTCTTGATATCCAATATTTAAGACAAAATTGTCAAAATCATGTGCCAGAATGCTTCCGAGCGCCATTTATAATATAATGAAGCGACTGGATGAACGAGGCTAAGCATATCCCACAGGTAGGGTGACCCACCATAAATAAATATCTCCAAATATCGCGACAATTACGCCACAATATATATATATATGCCAAGCCTCAAATCAGTTTTACACAAATATAGTCACTAAATAAACGATCATGTTGTACTTAATAAGCTATGACCATTAATCATCTATAAATAATAGACTGAAAACTGGTTCCAAGTTGCGTCCATAACATCCAGACACTTTTGAGTAAAAGATAGGTTACGTGCCCTTGTTTTGAAATTAGTCTCGCTTAACCAGTCTATCAACCATTCTACGTCTGATTGACAGGTCGGGATAATCAAGACTACTTTTTTACGAAACATAACAGAAAGCTAGAACAAGAAATTGAATTTAGAAATAAGCACTTTAGACAACTCAACAATTGTTTTAAGAAACTTGTAAAAGTAAAATGAAACTACTGCTAGTATCATGTTCCTGCTAAAGAAAGTGATTCAGAGATAGTATTTGTACTAAACCAAAAGATGCCGCTCTTAACGGTACAGTTAATGATAAAGCAATTTAAAAAATAAAACAAACGTAATTACTAAAGCTGCTGTAATAACCAAGAAGCTAAATTTTACTGCTATTCAAAATCGTCAACAATAGATTTTTTACGGCTGTAATAGTTGATATATTTGTAGAGAATTGCACGTGCCATGGCTATTTATCGACTCAAAGCGAGTGCGGGGTAGTCAGAATTCAGTTCTAGACACGCAACTGAAGCGTGCACATATAGCCGTGTCGAGACCAACTTTCTGTAAAGTGCACGGGTCATCCTACCACAGGAGAATACTAGCGTTGAGACTGGAATAACCAGGCGCCAAAGACTGCCATTCATTTTGGAGTCTTGGTGTATTTAACTGAACATAACTGATTAGAAATTACAGTAAAAATACTAAAAATTAAAACCAGAAACAACTGAATGTAAATCAGTTTATATACATTCATATTACATTATTAATATTATTATACGTTGCAACCCATTTGTGTCCATTTCTACATGTAGTTGCCAAAGAATAGAGATTTAACTCCTTTAACTTGTGTAGAAAAAAGTCACACCAAATCAATCTTTAGCAAAAGCTAAATCAGCCTATTGCAGGGTTTCTTTAGGCCTTAAATGTATAAATTATTAATTAGACATTAATTAAAGATACATTATGGGAGATTCGGTAACAAGTTGGCAGTTCTCACTATAATGGTTAAAAATTAGATAATGTAAACCGAGAACTAAGTGACTGAAATTTCCCCTAGCCTTGGTCATCATTACTAAAGTCAGTACAATAAACAGCATAGTCTCAATTATCCATTTAATTGTTAAATCGAGAAGGAAAGTTATGCAGTAAATCGGCTCACAATCCACTAAAGATCGCAGGCTAGCGCTGCCATCTAGAGTTGATTATGGCCTGGATAGGTTAATTAATGTCTAATTAATAATTTATATAACATTTCAGGCCCAAAGAAAGACCTGCAATAGACAGATTTAGCTCTTGCATAGTGTATGTTTAACATACTAAGACTATAGTCAACTTTCGATGCCATCGGATTGCTCCGATAATTAGTAGATTTGAATAAGTTTTGTGGTTGATGAAATAACCGTAAAAATGGATTATCGAGACGTTTATTATCGTAATAACGGTAGCAATGACAATCGAGGCTACCGTGTTGTTGTATCGCCGATAACTAGGCTCAGAGTGAAGTAATTTGACTGAAATTTTCAACATATTGCCTTTTCATTATCTATTTTTTAACTATTAATATTATAGCGAGAACTGTCTAATCTTACCTAATGCCCCTTTAATCAATTTGTTTCTTGATTAGGACACGTACGCTTACATATTGTAAACTGGTGTTAAGTTGGAAAGGCCTATGTATGAAACTACTCATTGTCGAATATGGTGAATATAGATGGGAGGAGAGTGTGATGGGGTGAAAAAGCCTGTTTTTATAAAATAATAAAAATCTGTTAATGGCAATGCTTACAGGTACTCTGTTATTAAAGATATATTATGGGAGATTAGATAAAGATCTGGCAGTCCTCACTATAATAGTTAAAATCTAGATAATGTAAAGGGAATTTGCTGAAAATTTCAGTCAATTTGATCCCCTCTGAACCAAGATTTTCTATCATCATTTCTAAAGTTGGTGCGATAAAAAAACATAGTCTCGATTACCCATTTCATGATTAAATCATGAATGAAAGTTGAGCAGCAAATGGGATTTTAATCCAGTAAACAAAAAGGTTAGCGTTGTCTAATTAATAGTTTAAATATAACATTTCAGGCCTAAAGAAAGACCTGCAATAGCCAGATTTAGCTCTTGCATAATGCATGTTTAATTTATTAGTGAATTGAATGTTCGTGTACAACTGTATGGAATGGTAATTTTTGAGATAATGCAAATTTTTTCTTAAAATTTGTGTTTTAATAACAATTTTCTTGATTTGAAAATCAATACTATCCTGTTCTCAATGACTTGTAGATGTGGAATGATAACTTTCAACTTACTAGCCATAGAATTACGTCAGGTATTGTCTGATTTAAATGTCAACTATGTAGTACATTATAACACTGTCTGAAGCTTGATTAAGTTATGTGTATATCATTATAATCATATTTGGACAAAAATCTAAAAATATTAATTTTAAAAATTTTCCTTGTTTTTGACCCATCCCATAATATCAACGTTTATTCCAAAATTCATTAATATAATTATAGTCAATAAATATGATGCTACATGTATGTAAATTGTGGCATACACATGTAGTCTAACTCAACACAAAGGATTATTTGCTCTGGGAAAGAACCTGTTTCAGTCTTATTTATAATCCCACATTTGATTTAAATTTGTTTCTGTTGAATGGTTAATTTGAAAATGTTAAAATTTATTTCAAAATCTAGTCAGGATAGTGGACATGTACAAATGTATGATGGTTTTAAATGGCAGCTTTATATTTATGACTGGACACATTTAATTTGAATCTCCATTATGAAAATTGTCTTCACCTCCTCGCCTGACATCTGTCTACAATTTCTTGATTTTTTTCCAATTCGCAGGAATTGTTTACTCGGTCATTGATTGCATATAAACTCAAAGTCTTCAAAGTCAGAGACACTAGACATGGTATGTCGTGTTCCACAGGGCTCAGTATTGGGTCCTGTCCTATTCATCATCTTCACGAAGCCGATTACAAAGATAGCGGCAGATTTTGGATTAACAGTCCATCTTTTTGCCAATGATTCACAACTATATTTGGAATTCGATGCAAGTTCTCCCATCCCAATTCTTGACTGTGTCAAAAACTGTATTAAAGAAATACACATTTGGATGACAAATCATTTTCTGAAGCTAAATCCCGAAAAAACTGAATTCTGAATCATTGGTACCAAATGGCAACAAACAAAATTCTGATCTGAAAATATTACCCCTAAACATACATTATGCAACAGCTAAATCTGTCTATTGCAGGTCTTTCTTTAGGCCTGAAATGTTATCTGAATTATTAATTAGACATTAATTAACTTATCCAGACCATAATCAACTCTAGATGTGAGCCGATTTACTGCATAACTTTCCTTCTTGATTAAACGATTCAATGGATAATCGAGACTATGCTGTTTATCGTACTGACTTTAGTAATCATGACCGAGGCTAGGCAGAAATTTCATTCGCTTAGTTTTCGGTTCATAGTGGATCAATTTGAATGAAATTTTCAGCAAATTGCCTTTGAGTTATCTAGTTTTTAACTATTATATTATATATTATATTGAATCTCCCATAATGTATCTTTAACTTTGACAATAAGGAGATCACTCAATCAGCAATGGCCAAAAATAATGGGGCAGTTATTGATTCCAACCTCAGTTTTAAAGAACATGTTGAGGCAGTCTGCTCCTCATCCTTCTTCCATCTCCATAACATCAAGATAAAAATGTATTTAAACAGAGATAATCTAGAAGGACTTGTATATGATTTCATAACAATGCTCTCTTGTATCAACTTCCAGAAAACCTCATAAAGAAGCTACAATATGTTCAGAACTCAGCTGCCAGATTTCTCACTGGAAAGGACGATTTGACAGCGTTTCTGCTACATTATCATCACTACATTGGCTATCCGTTAAACAGCGAATTAATTTCAAATTTTATTGTTAACTTTGAAAGCTCTAAATTCACAATCACCTACCTACATCCAAGACATTATAGTACCTTATACTTCCTTATAGTACCTTGTAACACTTGAGACTGGAAAACGTGCATTTTCGTACTCAGCGCCGTTTCTTTGGCATTAGCTTAGCTGCCATCACACATACATCTAGAGTCATCTCTTTCTGTTTTTAAGAACAAACTGATAACTTTCCTTTTTGAAGGTACTTTGTGATATTGACATCAAGAACAAATGTAGTGAACATAGAGTGCATTAGAAACTGTGGAAACAGTGTTTATGCACTATACAAATACTGATATTATTATTATTATTAAATTGAGCTGTGATCCTCCATCTCCAACCCCATTACAATTATGGGCGTTCAAATTTATGAAATCTTGTGAGTGCGATACAGGCCACAGTTCTTGATGGAAATTTTTGAAACTTACTGGGGTATATGAAGATCCCTATCAATTTTTATTTTTTTCGAATCTCAAAATTCAAACATGTTTTGCACAGTTAACTTTCCAGTCATATTTAATTTTTACAAGTTTGTAAATATGATATTGATACAGGGCAGAGTTCTTGATTAACGAAAAATGTTTGGTGTGATTGTTTGTATGGCACCAGAATAAAGGTACATGTAATAAGTATCGGTTTTTGTTTAAGATACACTATGGGAGATTCGATAAAGAGTTGGCAGTTCTCACTATAATAGTTAAAAACTAGATAATGTACAGTATAAAGGCAATTTGCTGAAAATTTCCGGCTAGCCTTGATCATCATTACTAAAGTCAGTACGATAAACATCAAAGTCTTGATTATCCATTTGATCGTTAAATCGCGAAGGAAAGTTATGCAGTAAATCGTCTCATAATCCACTAAAGATTGCAGGCTAGCAATGCCATCTAGAGTTGATTATTGTCTGGATAGGTTAATTAATGTCTAATTAATAATTTAGATAACATTTCAGGCCTAAAAAAAGACCTGCAATAGGCAGATTTAGCTCTTGCATAATGCATGTTTAAGTATAAAATTAATGGCAAATGTAGTTGCTAAGGATAAGTTGAATTGATGGATATTTTTTCGGAAGTGTACCAAGATGTTATTTCAAACTTCCTTGAATACAATATTTTGTTGAGAAAAAAAAACAAACCTAATATGGATATTTGTCAAAGTTAACTTAAAGGATCTAATTCTCTAATTCAATATCATCCAATTGACTTTGAAAACACAAATTATTTGTCAATTTAAATCAACATTGATGTTGTGATCTTACCGGGAAAAGATGGGCTTCTGATACCCAATATTGAATAATAAACATTTTACCATTGGTACACGAATCGTGTACCATAATGCGTCCCAGCGTCATTTGTAACAAGGGACTCGAAGAATGAGATAGACACACATCTATTCCACAAGTCATTCAAACGGTGACGCCACATTCTTATCTGGAGAGTGCTCAATAAATACTATCGGCGTAGATTGGAATAACCAGACGCTAGAGATCGCAATTCGATTGAGACTTCTGGTGTATTTCACCGAACATAACTGATTAGAAATTACCTACAGTAAAAACTGAAACAATTGAATGTTAATCAGTTTATATAGACATTCATATTACACTATTACATGTATATGCATTGCAACCCATTTGTGTCAATTTCTAGGCCCCAAATATTAGTGATTTAGCTCCATTGATGTCAAAATATAACTGTGTTACCTTAATAGTAAGTGCAGGGGGACTGCACCACACATAATTACACAAAACAATATGCAGAAATCACAAACAAACCTACATATCAAATTAAGTGAATGGATCCGGGTCTAGCTGTAAGCGCCCATTGCGCTGTACAATTAGTAATATTACAAACATGTAAAGTAAGCTTTTTATAACATTAACCGATCACACAGAATCGGAAATATTGAAGCCCAGTGGAATTGACTTCTTATTAATTCCTTTTGTCCTTTAATAACTGCTAACAAATATTTTCATACAACCACATTGAAATGTGGTCGTATATTGTCGTCACTTCTGTCCGCACGTTGGTCCGGCATTCACTAACAATTGTGGCTAAAGTAAATATCTGACTTTAAATTATTTACACACAGTGTTTAAGATCATGAGACGAAGAACCCTATTGATTTTCTAATGATTTCCGATAATTCATGCCAGAGTTATGGCCCTTGATCAATCTAAAATATCTTGTTGACGCTCTGGAGGCTAAAGTTAATATACATATATGATAGACTTTAAATTTATGCACAGTGTTTAAGGGCATGAGACCTATTGATTTTCAACGATTTCCGATAATTACTGCCAGGGTTATGGCTCTTGATCACTTTGATCTTGTGAACACTCTAGAGGCTAAAGTTAATATCCAATTGACTTTAAATTTATACACAGTGTTTAAGGTTATGAGACCTATTGATTTTCAACGATTTTCCGATAATTACTGCCAGAGTTATGGCTCTTGATCATTTTGAAATATCTTGCATAAAACCAGCATTCCAGAAGATGTAATGATATATTGATTGGTTGAATTTAATATCTTGAGTTATAACTTCTGTTGTTTCTTTCTTACAGATACATGTACTTAATGTGTAGCCATGTGATCAACTGTAATATTATTAGTGGAACCGATAGTCATGGCCAGTCGAACAACAGCAAGTCCATCTAGAATACCAGTATCTACAAGAAGTCCACCCAGAACTATAAATGGCAAATTGACAGTAAAAGAAGCTAGACAAGCCTGTACACCAAGCTCAAGTCGTAATGATAGTTATAATCAAGCCTGTCAAAATGGTTCCTTGAATGAATCGACAAGTAGTACAGGTTCAACAAATAGTCAAAAAGGAAAAGGTTTTGAGACTTTTCTTATGACGGGTGATATGATCATAAGGACCACGCCACCTCACCAAAAAACTCGACAGTCTGACGATAAATCGCCATCCCCTTCTATTGCTAGCTCCCAATCAAGTCCTGAAAAATTCATATATCATTCAGACGAGAAAGAAAATATAAACAAAATGAACAGTGAAAAACACAAAAGCCCACAGAAAATACCTGTTCATAAATCTTCTAATATTAAGCCTGATCTTCCAAGAGCACCTGTCGCACGCCTTGATGAAATGACTGAATTTTCTATATCACCTACAGATTGTGACATTCCTGACGTCACAGAATTAGAAAACAATAAAAACCTCAGTGAAAACAAACAAATATGTTTAGATATGTTGATGACAGGAAAAAATGCTAATTTAGATGGACTGATTGCTTTAAATGGAAATCATAATTCTGAAACAACAGATACTGATATTCCAAGCTCTGGTGATAGTGGTGTTTTACCAGATAGTCACAGTTCAGACTCTGATTGTGGTGGAAAACTTACTCCAAATACAGACCAAAACCCTGTGCCAAATGCAGATTCGAAACCAGCAATGGTTACTAGTAAAAGTGCTGAAAAGATCTCACCGAGTGCTACGAAAACTGACATTGGACTTGTCCGTACAAGTAAGAGTCATGAAAACTATCTGGAAACTGGTACAGGTTTTCAGATAGTTAGTATAGATATTGATGATGACAATATGGCTTATTCTTTAGATACACTTACTTGTCATGAAAGTTCAACCAATTCATTAGAAAAGGTTAGTGATCAAACCCAGGTGTCCAAAAGTTGTCATAGTTCGCCTGAACGCAAACAAGATAAAAAGAATGAGCGTGTATTTATGCCGGCTTTTATAAACATTGATGATCCGAAATCTCAAAAAAATAAAGGAAAAGAAAAAGATGGAAGAGAACAATTAACAGAGGAATCTGTTTCAGTGTCTTTTAATAATTCTAATAAACAAAGTGATAATTCTGTGTCACCTTCCATTAATACAGCGCAACAGGACATGAATTCTTCTTGTAGAGAAGGTGTTCTTGATTTATCTGCACTGTCTGAGGCTGATAGTATTTATCATCAACCAATGAAATCTGTAGATCGCCCTTCTGCAGCAAGGTTGGCTAAGCGTTTGTATGCTCTTGATGGCTTTAGAAAATCAGATGTTTCAAGGCACCTATTCAAAAAGTAAGTTTTGGTTGTCGCAAATGAAAAAAACTGTAAATCACAGCTATATTTAAAAAAGAATAATCTTTCAGCTCCTAATACTGTGATGAATCTAACATCAAAGGTTTCATTAAAATTAAATTCTGTTTCAAAAAATTATTTTTAAAACATTTGTGTAAAGATTTGCTATGTATTTTAAGCAGCTGGTATTGGCTAAAAGAATCAGATATACTGCATTACTGGTATTTATTGAGTTTAATTTTTCTAATCTGATTAGATTCAAGTTGTACTGTTTAGTAATTAAATATTTTTGTCTTTCAGGAATGAGTTCAGTAATTTAGTTGCAGAAGAATACTTGAAATATTTTCAATTTACTGGTGATTCCCTTGATGTATCATTAAGGAAATTCCTTAAACAATTTTGCTTAACAGGGGAAACCCAAGAAAGAGAAAGAGTTTTGGCTCATTTTTCTCATCGTTATATGGAATGCAACCCTGGAACATTTAATTCAGAAGGTAAGATAGTTGTATTACTTGGTCAGTATACCATTTATCTGACCATTAGTGAGGTCTTATCGATAAATTTGACTAATTACATGTATAAATACAGTCTATTAACTTCTCTTTATAAAGATCAATTTTGTTTTTAATCACTAATCTTTTACTAATTATGTGTTTGACCTTGGTTAACGAGTGTATTCTCCGGGCTATAATATCATTAAGATGATTTTAAAAAACTTGTTATGGTATATCTTTACTTTGGTTTATTTTTTTAAAAAAATATGAATTACACATTAATTTTGTGCTCAATAAATTTTACGGATAATTTTTTTTATAAAAGGAATGACAATTTTTTCTAGGAAAGCATTTGGTATGCAAGTTTTATTGTTACGGCAAATAAAATTTGATTTGCCATAACAGCTTATACCACAAGTCTAATTGATTATTTTCAAATGCTGGACTTGATATATTTTTTTTTTAAGTTAAAGGGTCTTCACCATCAATTTTAGGATATATTCCTGTTCGATCGAAATTGAGCTCCTCTCCCCGTCTATAAAATCCTATTCTTTCCTGCTCATTTGACACCATCATGACATATGCAAGCCAACATTAAATTATACTCTACCACCAAATATTCTGCTGTATCTTTTTGTCACTTATGTCATTCATATTTGTTTTATTTTACAGATGCTTGCCATACTTTGACTTGTGCAATAATGCTTCTAAATACAGATCTTCATGGTCAGGTAGTGTATGGTCAATGCTGAATTATCATCATAGTATAGTTATTATTTGTTACTCTGAATATAGTAGTACAAACAGTAGTTTAATACAGAAATATACATATTTCAATTAAAATGTTCATAAGACTAATATACAAACAAATATTTTTACCAACTGTTTAAAGGTTGCAGCATTACCCTGGGGATGGCGATAATTAGGTCAGGCGATATTTACATTTTTGATCACAATTCATGTTAAATCCATTCAAAATACTCAAAAAATGAAGAAGAAATCAAATTTTAACAAGTGTTGATACTAGATCTATATCATTTTCCAAATTCCACAACAGACGGCAGTTTTTAATGCAATGGACCAACTGACTGACACTAGTCTCATGTTTCAAGTATATTTCACTGAATAATATTAATCGTTATCATACACGTGTTGGCTACGCTTTGATATACCCAATAAAAAAGCATCCACAATAATTATAATTATAATTGACATTATAACAGTTAACAGTAAGGATGACCCCACTAAGAATGATACAGTTAAACTGCACGTGACAATACTTTCCTTTGAAAAATCAAATTGATATTTTACATTGAAAAATCAACTGAGTAATATTTCTACTATTCTTTGAATGAGATGGCTTCTAAACTTGAAACTTCCAATGTCATTGTCAGTCAGAATATTTCTGATAACAGTTCAACAGACTGCGAAAACACATCACTGCTGACACAAAAAAGAACACTTCTTCTGTTGTATGGGGATATTTTAGTTTTAAAAAGTACATCCAGATATTGAGTTAATAAATATTTATTCTGTATTCTATTCCAGTTGATCAGAATAGAATAATTTGAGGTGACGATACCTACAAAAATAATCTTAACCCAAAATATATACATGTACATGGGTCTCACTTCATCACTACAACTTGCATACAGTGCTAAATACCAGATGGATACATTAGATTCGTTAATCCATTTATACACCACAATTTATATCAATTTTATATCAGTAAATATGACGATAATGAATTTTTGAAGCACCATAATCGCAATAATTCACTCCAGATGATAATCCATGATATCGTGATAATTTATATTACCAATATCGTGAGATATAGCTATTCTTTTTTTCTATACCGTTGCAACCTTACAACTGTTAAAAAATATTATTATAGAATGAATTTGAGCAAATCTACCACCCATTCGAAAACATGTGAAGTGCATGTAATGTAACCACTGGCATTAATTAAATTTAAGTCTTACTTTATGCAACATGGGACTGGTAATGTATTGAAGTAGAGCACCACATGTAAGCTGTTTGTTGGAAAACATATGCAAACAGTCATTATTATAGATACAAGTACATGCACATACTGTACATTAAAAACCAAACTTTTCTGTTCGGCATTATATATTTCAGTATTGATTTCTTCAAGTAAATGAGGTAATGTATAATAATGTAATGCAATGTATTCTATTCCAATTGATATCTTTCATTATAGAGTGTTGGAAGAAAGATGACTTGCTCAGAATTTATAGAAAATTTAGGAGAACTAAATGATGGTGATAACTTTCCAAAAGATATTCTTAAAACTATATTTCACTCTATTAAATCTGAGCCATTAGAATGGGCCATGTAAGTAAAGATTTGAAAAAAATTATTGGAGCGATATATACTATTCAAAAAAAGTAGGGGATATTTGATTTTGGGGGCATAATACTAAAATATGCAAATGACTACGAAAAAAGTCACTATAGAACCTAACAGAAGAAACATTTCCAGTTACATGTGACGCCCAAACGCACCAATAGCTACCGCATGGAATGCAGGTGATGCTTGGGATCATCATGGGGGTCCAACCCAAGATTTGCACGACTCTGACTTTGAATGTTACAGTCATTGTGGCATTGAATTCCAGGGTGGAAACATCAGTTTAATTGTTTTAGTGACCAGAAAACAAATTTTGATATGCGTCGGCTTACCCAAAATGAAAGGTTACGTGCCCTTGGCATGCTACAGATCGGCACAACACAGGCGGTTGTGGCGCGGACGATGAATGTTTCTCAGTCTGTCATAAGCAGGCTATGGTCCAGATACCGTGATACACAACTCAAGCCCAGGATCGATTTATCCGTACCTTGGCCTTGAGAAATCGTGTCATCACAGCAAATCAGATCAGCGCTCGTCTTCAAACAGACACTGGTGTGAGAGTGAGTGGCCAGACGATTCGGAATCGACTGCATAGGGGTCACCTTCGCGCCCGACGTCCTCGCGTGATCCCTTGTTTGAGAGATCATCACATTCAGGCAAGACGTCGTTGGTGTAGGGATCGTCAACGCTGGGATAATCGACGCTGGAGCAATGTGATGTTTTCAGATGAGTCAAGGTTCACTGTTGATTTTTTGGACAGACGTAGGAGGGTGTGGCGTCGTCGAAACGAGCGCTTCCAAGACGTTAACGTCATCAGACATGATCGATTTGGGGGTGGTTCTGTTATGGTGTGGGGAGGCATCACTGTTGCTGGAAGAACGGCTTTACATGTTGTTGCAGGGCGTGTTACAGGCCAGTTCTACCGGGACAACATCTTGGCAGTCCATGTTGTGCCGTTCGCACGACGTCATGGCCGCCGTTTCATCTTCCAGGATGACAACGCAAGATGTCACAGGGCCAGGATCGTTACAGGTTACCTCCAACAACAGAACATCACCACATTACCTTGGCCAGCACTGAGTCCCGACCTCTCCCCCATCGAGCATGTCTGGGACATGCTTGGACAGAGGTTACGTCAACGTCAACAACGTCCTGCCAATGTCCAAGAACTTGCTGCTGCGTTGCAACAGGAATGGGACAATCTGGACCAAAATGACCTTAGACGTCTCATTAGGAGTATGCCACGTCGGATCAATGCTTGTTTGGCAAACAGAGGAGGATTTACCCGTTACTGACTTGGTTGTGATGCTGTGGTAACTTTGCTGTTTGACCCCGGGTATCATTTTACCCTTATAATGGTCAGTCTGTGCCTTACTTAGTCTAACGATCATTTGGAATAAATCGATGAATGTGAACTTCATTTCATTTTGTCATTTGTTTCTTCGTCAGTTTCATTAGGTGACTTTAATAACATTTAAAAATCAAATATCCCCTACTTTTTTTGAATAGTATATTTATAAAATGTTGATGGAAAATTAACAAATGAGTCATTCCATGGCAAATCAACCCATGTCAGAACAGATTTAGAAGAATTTTAAGCCAGTTGCCCCCCTTCCTACTCCTCCTCCTCAACCTCGCCACCACCTATATTTAAGAGAGCCAATACTTTGAGCCAAGCTGATTTTCAACTATTACAAATATTAACAAATTTGACATGAATGATGAATCACTTTTATTGTTAGATGAGTAAATGAGCATGTTGGAAAGTGTTTAATAGTTATAGTGGGGTTATGATTCATTTCGTGTCAAAAAAGTAATATTTCCTGGTCATTACAAATACCAATACATGTGTCATACTTTCAGATAATAAAAATTATTATGATGGGTAATTAGATGATCTAATAATCCTTAACGATTACATGTATATAACATTTATTTTCAGTGATGAGGATGCCCCGGTTGAAGTTCAAAATGAAAGCCCTGGACCATCAGCCTCCGTCCCACAACATTTTATTGGTCAAAATCCATTCTTAGATGTAAGAATTTATTATTGTTTAAAATATGGCAACTTGACCTTGATGTTCTTGGATAGAAACCAAATATTGTTCAGGTGCTGGCTAACAGCCTAAGAGAAATACAAGATGGTGGCATAAAGTCAATAGAAAAATGGAATCTTTAGATTCAGTTATCATTAACATCTATATTTGCTTTTTATACGCCCACATTGAAATGTGGTCGTATATTGTCGTCGCCCCCGTCCGTCCGTCCGGTGGTCCGGCGTCCACCTCTAGAGGCTAAAGTTAATATCTGATTGACTTTAAATTTATATACAGTGTTTAAGGCCATGAGACGAAGAAGCCTATTGATTTTCAGCGATTTCCAATAATTACTGCCAGAGTTATGGCCCTTGATCACTTCAAAAAATCTTGTGGACGCTCTAGAGGGTAAAGTTAATATCCGATTTGACTTTAAATTATACACAGTGTTTAAGGTCATGAGGCGAAGAAGCCTATTGATTTTCAGCGATTTCCGATAATAACTGCCAGAGTTATGGCCCTTGATCACTTCAAAAAATCTTGTGAACACTCTAGAGGGTAAAGTTAATATCCAATTGACTTTAGATTTATACACAGTGTTTATGGTCATGAGACGAAGAAGCCTATAGATTCTCAGCGATTTCTGATAATTACAGCTAGAGTTATGGCCCTTGATCACTTCGAAAAATCTTGTGGACACTCTAAAGGGTAAAGTTAATATCCGATTGACTTTAAATTTATACACAGTGTTTAAGGTCATAAGACGAAGAATCCTATTGATTTTCAGCGATTTTCCGATAATTACAGCTAGAGTTATGGCCCTTGATCACTTCGAAAAATCTTGTGGATGCTCTAGAGGGTAAAGTTAATATCCGATTGACTTTAAATTTATACACAGTGTTTAAGGTCATGAGACGAAGAATCGTATTGATTTTCAGCGATTTCCAATAATTTTTGCCAGAGTTATGGCCCTCGATCACTTTGAAAAATCTTGAGGACACTCTAGAGGCTAAAGTTAATATCCGATTGATTTTAAATTTATACACAGTGTTTAAGGTCTTTTTAGACGAACAAGTATATTGATTTTCAATGAATCTTTATGGCTTGAACAGCTAAATCCATGATGTTAAAAGTTTCGTATACTAAACGTTAGCATGGGGCAGAACTTTATAAAAACCGAACAAATTCTAATGGTTTTCTGATAATTACTTAATGAGTTGTTACTCTTAATCAGATTTTAATGTATTATAAATGTTTCATTACCGAAAAAAGTAAAAATATGCGACAACTATGTTGACTGCCCGGACGATATAGCTGCTGTGGGCGTATGTTTCGTTGCCTGGCAACCTATCTTTAGTCTTGAATTTTGGGCTTAAAAAGGATAGGAATATATAATTTATTGCCTGTTTGAAATGAATGTAAGTGTCCTAAGGTTGCAATGATTTCATTATCCATTGAGGAGTGATATTTGCATTGATTTTGATGTTCTGAAGTACCGGTACGTTAGTATTTGTTTAATACATAATGTATTAAACCATTACGATAATGTAATTTGTATTGAATTTTTTTTTTTTGTATTTTACAGGTGCCTGATCCTAGTAAAACTATAGAGTATAAGAAAGGATATGTCATGAGAAAATGTTGTATGGATGCTGATAGAAGAAGAAGTAAGTTATTTAAATTGATCATTTAATACTTTCATGTTTCCTTTATTGCTGTTGTCAACACTCAACAGGCTGCATTTATGATCTGATCTAATTTAGAATTGTACATTATTGAGACGATGAGCCACTAGAATTTCGTTTATTACTGATAATGATTTCTAACAGCATCTGCAAATTTCTAGCTTCTAACGGCATCTGCAAATTTCAGCAATTTTAGTTAGTTACTTCTAGAGTTATGACCCTTGCTCACTTTAGTGAAAAAAGTTATCATTCGGGTTATATGTCTAGAGTTATATTGGTATATTTACAGCTGCCCTTGGTAAAAGAAGTTGGAAGATGTTTTATGCTGTATTAAGAGATATGATACTATATTTATATAAAGATGAACATCAGTATAAAAAGGGTGGTTTATTAGAGAGTGCTAGCAATGCTATTCGTGTACATCATAGTTTAGTTACTAAAGCCTCAGATTACACTAAAAAACAGCATGTTTTTAGACTTCAAACTGCAGAATGGGCAGAATTTCTCTTCCAAACCAGGTAAGATCATCCAATCTGTTGATTTCTATATTTAATAGTGATATATTATTTACTGAATTAGAATCTTCTTCTTGCTTTTAAAAAATATCCACTACACAGAAATTTTTACATCAAGTTTTATATTTGTCATTTTGTCATAACCGTTATTTTCAAATTGTTCAACACAATATTATAAAGAACTATATTCTTATAGATTATTCTTGATTTTATTTGCAGTAACAGTAAAGAGCTTCAAGAATGGATAGACACGCTCAATTTTGTAGCTGCAACGTTCTCTGCACAGCCACTACCAGGAGCTCTGGGATCCAAAAGCACCTTTCAACGTCCTCTGTTACCAGTTTCATATACAAGAAAGACATTGGTAAGACTACCTGTGACAAGGAGTTGGGTCCAACCTCGTGGGTTTTCTACATGTTTTCTGGTTTCCTCCCACTGCTCAAGACCCTACGCCCTAGCGAATCATTGAAATAAAATTGAACCATGTGTTATTCCTGAAATGACCTAGTTTGTGTCGAATGGACACAACGGGAACAAAAATAACAGAGGATTTTTAAAAAATGCTGTCAGTCACAGCCTGCCACAAGATTAGCAAATATTCTCCCATGTACAGAAAATTAAAAACAAAAATTGGGCAATCATTAGGAATATTCGTTAATTAGGTCTAACAGGTGTGCTTTATAACATAAGGACTGTTGTTGATGCCAGTTTTTTCGATCCCATGCTTTCTTGTGATCAGAAGTAGGTTTCTTCCCACTGCTAATGATCTCTGTGGGCAGGATTATTTAAATAAAATTATACCTTATGTAAGTCCTATATAACTTACTTTTTTATGAGTGTATATTAAACCCCTTTTGTCTCCAAAGTTGTTAGATGATTATCAAACACAACCACACAAGGCATATCTTGTTCTAAGTTGGAATGTTTATGAATTTTTTAGAGGGAACAATTTCATAGTCATGAAGAACAGGTTAAGTCTTTAGAACAAGAAATACACGAACATCATGCTGCAGCCCCAGAAAAAGGCGCAAAGTCTCGCCATATACAGGACTACCTCGAAAAGGAGACATATTTAGATTTTGAGGTGAGTACATATATTTATTGTTCACCACCTGTCGTAGGAAGCAGGTGAACATCTTGACGATCATCTTTTTCTACATAGGCCAGGCAGAAATAAGAAAATTTGAGTTGTCAGTGGTTTGGAACATAATAACTTTGATTCTATTCAAGTGAGCACTGAGAGTAATAACACTTGGTTTATTATACCAGAGTGATAAGTAATGTGATTGCTGATTGGTTTATAAAAAGATACAATGTATGAGTCATCAATTTATTTTGGGATTAAGGCCGGTTGGGTTTTTATACGCCAACATTTTCATGTGGACATATATTGTCGTCGCCCCTGTCTGTCCGGACGTCCGTGCACAATTTGTTTGTGGACTCTCTACAGGTCACAATTCTTGTCCGATTTTGACGAAACTTGAAATATAGGTTTATCCCCAAAAGATCTTGGCTGCTTTCGATATTGGCATGTATCGGATCGAAACTTCATGGATTATGGCCCCTGTTTGTACGAAAAATCACGTTTTTAGCTTGTGGATCCTATAGAGGTCACAATTTTTATCCGATTTTGTTGAAACTTTACATGTAAGTTTATAACCCAAAGATCTCAGTTCCTTTCGATATTCGTGCATATTGGACCGTAACTTCCTGAATTATGGCCCCTGATTGTACAAAAAATCACGTTTTTAGCTTGTGGATCCTGTAGAGGTCATAATTTTTATCTGATTTAAAAAACCATATTATTATATCACCGTTACACCCTAAGCAAAGTTGAATTCGAATTTCGTGAAATCGGACCAAAATTGCCGGACAAAATGGCCGCTGTTTGTACGCGAATAGTGTAAAAATATGGTAAATCAAGGTTGTGGACCCTGTATGGGTCACAATTTTAATTCGATTTTGTTGAAACTTGACATGTAAGTTTATAACCCAAACAGCTCAGTTCCTTTCGATATTCGAGCATATCGGACCGTAACTTCCTGAATTATGGCCCCTGATTGTACGAAAAATCGCGTTTTTAGCTTGTGGACCCTATAGAGGTCATAATTTTTATCTGAATTAAAAAAACGTATTATTATATCACTGTTACACCCTAAGGAAGGTTGAGTTCGAATTTCATGAAAATCGGACCAAAATTGACGGACAAAATGGCCGCCGTTTGTACGCGAATAGTGTAAAAATATGGTAAATCAAGGTTGTTGACCCTGTATGGGTCACAATTTTTATTCGATTTTGATGAAACTTGAAATGCATGTTTATAACCTAAAGATCTTGGTTCCTTTCGATATTATCGCATATCGGATCGTAACTTCCTGAATTATGGCCCCTGATTGTACGAAAAATCACGTTTTTAGCCTGTGGACCTTATATAGGTCATAATTTTTATCTGATTTATTATTATATCACTGTTACACCCTAAGGAAAGTTGAGTTCGAATTTGGGGAAAATCGGACCAAAATTGCCGGACAAATTGGCTGCCGTTTGTACACGAATAGTGTAAAAATAGGGTATATGTCAAGGTCGTGGACCCTGTATGGGTCACAATTTTAATTTGATTTTGATGAAACTTGAAATGCATGTTTGTTACCTAAAGATCTTGGTTCCTTTCGATATTGTCGCATATCGGATTGTAACTTCATGAATTATGGCCCCTGATTATACGAAAAATCGCCTCTTTTAGCTTGTGGTCCCTCTGAAGGTCACAGTTATTATCTGATTTTAAAAATCGTTTGAATATATCACCGTAACACCATAATAAAGGTTGAGTTCAAATTTCCTGAAAATCAAACCAAAACTTGTACGCGAAAGGTGTAAAAATATGGTATATCAAGGTTGTGGACTCTGTGGAGGTTCCAGTTTTAATCCGATTTTGATGAAACTTGAAATGCATGTTTATAACCCAAAGATCTTGGTTCCTTTCGATATTATCGCATATCGGATCGTAACTTCCTGAATTATGGCCCCTGATTGTACGAAAAATCACGTTTTTAGCCTGTGGACCTTATATAGGTCATAATTTTTATCTGATTTATTATTATATCACTGTTACACCCTAAGGAAGGTTGAGTTCGAATTTGGGGAAAATCGGACCAAAATTGCCGGACAAATTGGCTGCCGTTTGTACACGAATAGTGTAAAAATAGGGTATATGTCAAGGTCGTGGACCCTGTATGGGTCACAATTTTAATTTGATTTTGATGAAACTTGAAATGCATGTTTGTAACCTAAAGATCTTGGTTCCTTTCGATATTGTCGCATATCGGATTGTAACTTCATGAATTATGGCCCCTGATTATACGAAAAATCGCCTCTTTTAGCTTGTGGTCCCTCTGAAGGTCACAGTTATTATCTGATTTTAAAAATCGTTTGAATATATCACCGTAACACCATAATAAAGGTTGAGTTCAAATTTCCTGAAAATCAAACCAAAACTTGTACGCGAAAGGTGTAAAAATATGGTATATCAAGGTTGTGGACTCTGTGGAGGTTCCAGTTTTAATCCGATTTTGATGAAACTTGAAATGCATGTTTATAACCCAAAGATCTTGGTTCCTTTCGATATTTGCGCATATCGAATTGTAACTTCATGAATTATGGCCCTTGATTGTAGGAAAAATCACTTTCTTTTTAGCTTGTTCTCTATCCATCTCTCAAAAATGTGGGCGTATCCTGCCTGGCAGCCGCTGGTTTAACATGGGCTCACTGCTGAAATATTAGAGTTAAAACAAATGTTACATCATCATAATCGGTGGTTCCCAGATGATTTTCTCTAGTATTGAATCATGGCTTGTGTTAAAAAGTATGTATCATGACTTGTGATAAAATGTAATGTTTTCTCCTGAATCAGAAAAAATATCCACACATAATGCAAATTTAATCTATATATATAGCTACTACATCAGTTTGTATTTTTTTTTTTTTTTTTTCAGCTGAAACGCTACAAAACTTATGTTTACTTACTCCAGAGTAAAATAACAGCATTCCCAGATGTCGAACCATCTCTTGTTGAGACCACCATTGGGGAAGATGAAGAAGTTGGGGCTGGAGGCAGTCAGTTTAATTGCCCTAATAAGCCTGTACAGCGAAGTCTTTCTGATAGGTACAGTTATCGAGCAGCTATATATCAAACTGATCGTGTAGATTATGATATGGTTTAATATACAGCAACACAAATTCTATTATAAATTGCTTATTAATTTCATTATTCATTTTACCCATCTTGAGTTGTGCATGGGTTGTGGCATTCTGTATAGTTGCTTCTTTGTTGGAGATCTTTATTTGGGGAGGTAGTATTGTACATGTAGAATCAATCCAATTTATACCATCAAACGTTTCCTTCATTGTGTGATATAAGGTGTTTGTTTTTAATTTATACTAAGAACTATTGACCATAGTGTTCCTATCCATTACATATAGCATAATACTATGTAATATATAGTTTTCTTGTATATTTATTTTGGAAGTCGTTATTCAATAATTTATTAACTGTCAATGTTAATTGTGGATGGTTGTTGCTATCAGTGTGTAATGGAGTATGATTTCTGTAGAATGTTGTTCATATTGATGGAATTTATTTTTCTGAAGGTATTGTGCATGTGTATATAGACGATGTGTTTTGAATACTGTAACCACTGCTTGCTTTCAAAGATAATCCTTCTATTGTTATTTAACGGTTGGTATTGGTTCTTGTTTTCTGCTGTAGATATTAAATGTTTCACATCAAGATGTTATGTTGGATTTCGTACACCTAAGTTATTAGAATCTACCACTTAAAACCGATAAAACCATTGATTATCTAGTCATCTTATTTGAAGGGATTACTAGTTCCTACATATTTATAGTGCTTGTGTACGAACATATAACAATTACATTATCTTTCACTTTCATTTTTTTATACATCTATATATTTACATATATACACATATTATATTCTTATTTACTATTAGCTTAATATTTACGCTTTTTCACATACACGAAAAAAAATTTGATCTTCCAATTTCCTGGTTTAGGAAGATTAGTATCTGCATTTTTGTTGGTATGTTATTTATGAAATAATTTAAACATTTTATCATAGCATAATGGTCATTACAATCATCTTTTGAAGTTAAAGCTGGTCTAAAATAGTCTTGTGTGTGTTCTTTTATATTTAGAAGATTTGCTATATATGTTGATTTTAGTTTCGTAACATTTTTGCGTGATGAAAACAAAGTCCAATTCTTGCTCAAGATAGATATTTTTCTTTTCTGTTTATTCTTATTGCTGACAGTAACATATTTGTTTCAAAGGACTAGGAAGTCTGGTTAATTTTCCAGTATTATTTTCTGTTGCAATTTTATTTATAAGTCAGTTGAAGAAAAACCTGGGTTATTAATGTATTTGTATCTTTACTGCCACATGGATATAATGTCTTGTAGTCTTGTTTAGTTTTATTGTTTGTAAATATGTGAAATGAATACACTTATCAGGAAAACTGATAGATGTCGACTAAATGTTTAGATTTTAATCAATTAATACTCTAAATGGCCTATCATTTGCTTCAGATCTTTTTAAAACAAATTTTGGCTGAGGTAAAAACTTGCTTTTAAAATGGTTTTTGCTTTTCATTAGATAATATAATTCTACACAGCATATAAAATATGAACTTGTTCATGCATGATCACTTAATTAGATCTCATCTTTCATCATTCATAATTTTATAATTTTACACTAAAATAGTAGAATCTAGTATTGGGTCAATGTATTAAAAATATAATAAGATTTTTATAATTTATTACTTGTTGAAGCATTGGATGTTAATAAATGAATAGCTATCATTAATTGTTAATTAAGACAGATATATTGTTAATCAATTATGTGTTAATTATCACGTATATTTTTCACCATCACAAACATGTGTATATATAAAATCATTCACTATCGTAAAATAAACTTTCATGGAAGTTTTCACTGGCAAAGATACTGTCAAGTATTACCATTAGAATTACCAATGTGTGCATAATAATGTTTCTTTGTTGTTGGTATTTAGTTTTAGTTTGTTAATAGTATAGTATGATGCTATGTTTGTAGGCTTACCACTATCATTATTTTCCACTTTCTTATAGTATAGGCGCCATAACCAAGTATATATAGCTTGATCATATGTTTTTTATGTTAATCGGCATATCTGTAGTTCTGTGATGATGTCGTCAAGTTCGCCATTAAATGTATAAAAACTATTATCATATCATTGTTTCTTACATACTACCATTACTTGTACATTTTATAACTTAAACGTGACACTGTCTGGAACAGCATATGAACACTTACAATATGATTATCTGTAGGCTTCTGTTGTATCTGCCTGGAAGGTATGTTCATGTTTTGTGCTATTTTCACACTCTAAAGTTGAATTTTAGTATGACGATATGTGGATAGATATATCAAGTTTATTTTTGTTTACAACTAATCAGGATTCAGATATTTTGAGCAATCTGTGTTCTATTTATTATTGCTTCAATCAGGCGTTATAATCAGCAGTTTTATGCTGTAGTGGGCATTTTAAATGGATATCAAATTGGATATTGACAACGTTTAGCGGTTAAGAATTTAAAAAGTTAAATATTTTTGGTAGTTTAATTCATGTAAATAATTTAAACTGCCAAGGCTGATGGATTTATGTTAGACCTTGATGCACAAAATATTATAATTTTGAACATTGTGTTACTTAACTGTTATGTTAGAAGTTTTTATTGTACAATGTAAAGTAAGGTAGGAAAGAGATTAAAATATACTTCAATCATTAAACTGTCTTTTGTTGTCTTTTACAATTTAACTTATTAACCGGTAAATGTATGATCGGCACAATTTATATTTTGGAGGAAAGGCTTAGTTTCGTTTTGTGCATATTGTATGGTTGAGGTTTTATCAGTAGGTGCCAGGTATTATTTTCACAAAGCTGCTCGGCTTCATGTTTGTGTAGAATGGACAACCCCTAAAACTAACTGTGATACAAGGTGCTTGATGTCAACAAACTAGTACAAAAGCTACAGACACTCGTAATGAAGATCAGCACATACGGAAGGTACATGTATAACAATATGTGTATGATTGTCAGTTTTAACATGTTTAAAAGCTTGAAATACTAATAAGCATGTTACTGTGTTAATTATAGGGATGGGTCCTAATCCTACCTTGTCAAATAAAGATTTTCATTTTCACAATAGCAACATATGCAGAACTTTTAACTGCACAAGTATTCTTTCTTTTTCACTAACAATCTCAATATACTAATCAACATTATCATACTAATATTTAATTTTAATCAGCTTTATAATAAACTGCGTAGTGAACTTTGTTTATTTTCTAATGTAGGCATGTCTTGTTTACATTGTTTTAAAACAATAGGCTTAAATATCCCACCCCTTTCAATCATGTTTACCTCAGGTTATTGATCTTCATAATATTTTTTTTTTTTTTTTAGGGAAGTAGATGACAAAGAGCAATATATCAACGATGAAACCATTGATACTTACCTTTAAATTAATATACATATCAACTGTTGTGTTGAAGAACAAGCTAATGCTAACCATTTTGTAATTGTTGAGCATTAAGAGGTATTAATCCAAAACCAAATCAAAAGTTTTAATTCATTATAAAGTAATTTGTTAATTAAATGCTATTGTTTTGTCCTACCGCATATATTGTGTGTTCATGTCATCTTGATATGTTTAATTAAGGTTGTGTATGTTATAAATTTAAGGACCAATGTTTTTTTATTTTATGTTCTTGTACTTTTATTACCAGTTTAGATGAACCTGTCTCTGGCCAAGATACATGTATTTATTATGACTAACAGTGAACCCTTCTCCTTACATTTTAATTATATATTTTTTAATGGAGTTTATCTTTGCATTTCCAACTAAATATTCATTTAATGAAATCTGGCATTTCCAACTGTTCCATTTAATGAATTCTATCTTGGTATTGCTGAAAAATATTCATGTCTACATTTGCATTTCTAAAGAAAATATTCATTTAATGAAGTCTTATCTTTGCATTTCAATATTTTAACAAAAGATTATTTTGTTAACTTAAATCAAATCCTGTCTCTTGATTTTGACAAGACACTTCTAGTTGTACCAGATAAACAGTACTACTTTAGATAAAACAATTTATTGATTGCTTTTGGTTACTAGTATATTATATTGATACTGTTTTGAAATTTCTGTCAATATTTACTCTTCAGAAGTTATTTTATACTGTTCCAAGTACAGATTGAAACATGAAACACTATTTTAATCAAATTGTCCAGTCTAACACTTTTCTGTAAACACAAGCTAATGTCCATTGATGTTGGGCGAGAATCCAGCTTAATTCTATAGGGCCAAATCTCATGTAATACTTCTGAAGTCTCAATTGTATAATTTTGTATGATGTTCTTGTATTTTATACTGGTTGAATATCAGATGTAATAAAGACAAAGCACACAAGTTTTATTCAAATATAATAGAAATGTTATCTGTGTTATTGTAGAGTGACATATTTAATTAAAGCAGTATTGTAGATTATATTTGTTAATTTTTTCTCAAAGTATGCATGACAACAGTTACTTATTCATCCAAAACGATTTTAAACCTTGGTAGTTTTAGTTTTAAAATCTGTAAACAGCACAAAATGCAACTTGGGAGTACTCAAAAGTGTTAACAAAATTTCAAAAAACAAAGGGGAATATCAAGGATTCTTCTTTTCATTTCTGGGGGGTTGGATGGCCGAATGGTTAGCACGTGCGCACTATATCATAAGGTCTGTCATTGAGTCAACTGATGTGGTTTTGAGTCCCCGGTTGTACCTGACAAGGAGTAGGGTCGCCTGTCCAACCTCGTTTGTTTTCCTCGGTCCTCCCACTGCTAAAGACCCCTACGCGCAAGCGAATTACTGAAATAAAATTATACCATGTTAGTCTCGAAATGACCTAGTTTGTGTCGAGTGGACGTTAAACCCCATCTCTCTCTTTTCATTTCTGAAATACCATAGATAACCAATAAAAATTTCAGAACTGAGAAAGGTTAGTTAATAATTGCAGTCTATAAAATTTTAAAAGGATTTAGAAACAAGGTAAACTACCAATTTACATTTCATAAAGATAGGATCGTTATTGAAGCCTCTAATAATAAGTGCAGGAGGACCACACAACACGCAAAACAAAATCTACAAGATAACCCTGCAGACTAGACAGCATATAGACATTGCAAAAAAAAAACAAATGTCATACTAAATCAATGGATCCAGGGGTCAGCCATAAGTATCCACTGCACTGTACAGTTCCATGCCTGTAATAGTTAGATTTTGAAACAAAGAAATAACTTTGGAAGTTGTTGAAAATTAGAAATGTTCTTCCTTCAAAGTAGAATAGTAATACTGGGGATAGTAATTATAGTCTCCAGGTGCTTTATTTCAAATCAAAGGGGAATAACTTTGAATTTAAGATACAATCATAATTATTGCCCTGCCATGGGCTGGCAGCCCTATAGTGATTAGTCTTGTCTCTCCATCATGAATCATGTAGATTCTTTATCTTGAGTATTGCTTGGAGTTAAAGTGGCGATACTTTGTATGATTGTCCACCACCCTTAGTAATAATTGGGGCTTAACATCAATTCGACACATGTGACTGATATGGTTCAATTTTATTTCAATAATTTGCTTGCAAGTAGGGGTCTTTAGCAGTGGGAGGACCAAGAGAAAACCCACATGATACGAGAGGCAACTCTACTCCTAGTCAGGTGCAAGCTTGGGTTCAAAACGGTGCTACTTGACTTAGTGGACCTTATGATCTAGACAACTAGAACCCCCACCTCACCAGTAGGTGTGTCTCGAATAAGGTTGAAATCTCTATATCATCGGTCACAATTTTAGTTCTGCTCATATTCAGAGAGAGAAATGGGGTTTAACTCCACTCGACACAAACTAGGTCAACTAGGTCATTTCGGGACGAACATATGGTTTAATTTTATTTCAATAATTCGCTTGCGCGTAGGGTCTTTAGCAGTGGGAGGAAACCGGAGAAAACCCACGAGGTTGGACAGGAGACCCTAATCCTTGTCAAGTACAACCGGGGATTCGAAAACTCATATTCAGTGTCTGCTCTATATCTTGACTACTGCTGGGATTTCGATGGTGATACTTTGGATGATTATTCACCACCACCAGGTGTGTTGCAAATAAGGCTTTGAATTTCTAGCTTGAAGGTTAATGTCACAATCTTAATCTTTTAAGGCCCAAGGTCCATGTTCATAATCTGCGTATTGATTACTGATCAGTATTAAATGGTGATACTTTGTATGCTCATTTTTTTTCTTTGCACTCAATACACTAAAAGTTTGGACATAAATTAATATTACTTGATCAAGTTCATTTCCTTTGTTATAAATGACTTGTCTCTTATTTTGCACCGGTATCGATCAATAAATAGCATCAGCTGTAATACAAGCAGCACATCATGATAGATGGTCTCTCCAAAGATGGCCACCAATTCATTTGTATCTAGTTATAGCCAACTTGTTTACATAACAAAGGGTAATAACTTAATGTTTAAAATTAAGATCTACAGATTACTGTAGCAACTGCTGTGCTAATAGGAAGACACCAATATACGACCACATTAAAATAAGGGTTATTTGAAAGCTCATAATCAACAGGATTATCTGGTACAATGTTATTTTGAAAATCACTGTATAGGGGTAAATGAAATGGGATTCAACATCCTACTCAGACTGTGCTAATGAAGACAGGATATAGAGGGAGTACAATATATGTGAACATGCATATAAAAACTGGAGACATGAATTCATTATTGTTTTCTTTTTAATTTAGTAGGCATACAAAAACTAACCATGCCCGATTTTGCAGTCTCAGTGAGGATTTGTCATTTCATGATCAAAATGCATCAGATTATTTCTGTAATATTATGTATCCACATATAGTACTTTGATGTCATTAAGAAAAAACAAGAATGTTGGATTTTTTTTCCTTTTAATTTGACTGTCCGTATTTGATAAGTATTTTACAATCTTCTACCACGACGTCCACCCTTTCGTCTGTTACAATCTGAAGGAATGGGGGTTACATCCTCTGAAAAACAAAAAGATAAATTTTAAAAAGACTGATGACCCTCTTGCCAAATACTCTTTGGCCATGAAAACCAATAAGCTCCACCAAACAATCAATTTTCAAAATCAGAATCAATTGCAACAAACACTAATAGCTGTTCACAAGACACTGAAGGTACAGAGCCAACAGACGAATGTGAGTATTCTTGGGATTGTTGATTTAGGACTACTAACAAATAGTGGTCTTTGGTTCGGTTATCACAAATTGCACAGAAGCAAGATAAGATTGACTGGATGGTACAAATACTTTTGATGTAAATAAAATACTTGTTTCTGTCAGGAGTAATGATACACCACAAAATGACATTTTCTTATTTGATAACTGCCAAAATAAATCATTAAAATAGGTTGCCAGGCAACGAAACATACAGCAACTAATTCGTCCAGGCAGTCAACCAGGGTTGTCACATTTTTTTTTTGTCAGTAATGAAAACATTTACAGCACACTAAAATCTGATTACAAGTAACAATCAGAAATCATTAGAATTTGTTTTGCTTCTAATTCTGCCCTATACTAACATTTAGTATACAAAACATTTAATATCAAGAGCATAACCCTGGAAGTAATTATCGGAAATCATTTAAAATCACTAGGCTTCTTTATCTCATCGCCATAAACATTGTGTATAAATAGAGCGTCCACGAGTTTTTCAAAGTGATCAAGGGCCGTAACTGGCAGTAATTATGGGAAATTGTTGAATATCAATAGTGTTCGTCTCACAACCTTAAACCTTTGTATAAATTTTAAGTAAATCGGATATAAACTTGAGCCTCTAGAGCGTCCACAAGATTTTTCAATGTGGCAGTAATTATCGGAAATCGTTGAAAAATCAATAGGCTTCTTTGTCTCATGGCCATAACCACTATAACCAGCGGCTGCCAGGCAGGATACGCCCACATTTTCGAGAGATGGATAGAGAACAAGCTAACAAGAAAGTGATTTTTCCTACAATCAAGGGCCATAATTCAGGAAATTACAATTCGATATGCGCATATATCGAAAGGAACTGAGATCTTTGTGTTATAAACTTACATTTCAAGTTTCAACAAAATCGGATAAAAATTGTGACCTCTATAGGGTCCACAACCTTGATATACCATATTTTTACGCTATTTGAGAACGAACGGCGGCCATTTTGTCTGTCAATTTTGGGGCGATTTTCACAAAATTCAAACTCAACTGTCCTTAGGGTGGAACGGTAATATAATAATACGTTTTTTTAAATCGGATAAAAATTATGACCTCTAATGGGTCCACAAGCTAAAAACATGATTTTTCGTACAATCAGGGGCCATAATTCAGGAAGTTACGGTCCGATATGGGCAAATATTGAAAGGAACCGAGATCTTTGGGTTATAAACTTATATTTTAAGTTTCAACAAAATCGGATAAAAATTGTGACCTCTATAGGGTCCACAACTTTGATATACCATATTTTTACGCTATTTGAGAATGAACGTGGGCGTATAAATTTTTTTTAAGTCAATCGGATATTAAATTGAGCCTCTAGAGCTTACACCAGCCATGACAATGTGAGCTTACAAATATTTGACTGTTTAAAGAGAATTCAGACTAATACTGTACACTTCAGCCCTATCATTGAACAATCACAGAAATATCAACGGTGGCATATTGTCATCATTAGTGTACAGTATACTTTGTAGAATATCAGCAAGCAGTGAACCTTAGAACCATTAAAGAACCAGTCTTAACCAAAGCAAACTCTACCCAGTAAAATAACAGGAAGTGATTACACTAAAACATTCTTAGCAAAGAAAACTTTTACTTACCAATACGGCCAATTTTCATTCCAGATCGAGCTAAAGCTCTGAGAGCTGACTGTGCTCCTGGACCAGGAGTTTTAGTTCTGAAGAAAACAATTATTATAAATATAATAATTTTTGAAAGGAGAAGATTTCCTATTAAAAGGTCATATTGTACACTTCAGCCCTATCATTGAACAATCACAGAATAATCAACGGTGGCATGTTGTCATCATTAGTGTACAGCTAGTTTTATATATAATCCTGCAGGGAAATGAAATAGGGATTAACATCTTACTTTTCTTCACCGACTAGGCTAATTAAAGGGGCACTAGGTAAGATTAAAGATTAGATATTTTCCATCACAAAATGTATTCAAATCCACTAAATATCACAGACTAACGATGGCATCGAGAGTTGATTATGGTATGGATAAGTTAATTAATGTCTAATAAGGCAGGGGACAAAAATATTGGTTAAGTATTAATTTTATTTTATCTATTAATAAACAACACCACTTTGAAACGTGTATTTTTTTCTTTATTTTAAGCAAAATTTGGTCACAGTAAAAGCAGTGTATCTTGATGCACCCATATTGTTGGGCTTGGACAAGATACTGTATCATATCCTGGCACAGCGTATCGTTTTAGCCCTAATTAATATGTGAATCAGGCTGACCTTAAAAATATCTTTGTTTCACCAAACCCGACCCACAATCGAGGAGAAGGGTCGGTAGGTCGGTTTTTTTTTCAGATTTTTTTTTTTAAAGTCAGAAATCAATACAGAAAACTTATTAGCTGTATACTACAGATTCATTAATTTTGTTAAATGAATTTTGGGTCTGACGTAAAAAGTAACGAACTTAAAGTTTTTATTAAACTTAAGAGCTAATTTGACAGCTTGATAATTTTCCGGGTGGAAACATTCGTCTTCTTTATTGGCAAACAATTTCAATGACATCAGGATTGTTCGTGATGCAGGACTCGCACACGATTTGCCACAAACTTGAAGTGTGAAACTCCTTTAACACGTTTATAACGATCGTGCGGGTTGTGCCTTCATTTTTCTCGAAAACGGATAATGAAAATATCGTCGCCATGGTTAAAACGACGCACCACAGACATAAAGGCAGAATCATTTCGTGGGAATGGACGTGCTTTCGTCTGCAACCATTTTGTTGAGAAGCAACACCAATGACGCTTTCGTCGTGATCAACCAGTTTCAATAATAAATCAAACCATAGCCATAGTAAAGGGAAATAACTCTCGTGATATATTTCAGGTTGACACACAAAATAAAATAAAAAGATCGCGGAAAAGTGCAATAAAATAATTTAAGTCGGGGGTGGTTTTAGTTAGTCGCGTTAGGCGAAACAAAGATATTTTTAAGGTCAGCCTCATGCAGAGCATATATGAGGCTGACCTTAAAAATATCTTTGTTTCACCAAACCCGACCCACAATCGAGGAGAAGGGTCGGTAGGTCGGTTTTTTTTTCAGATTTTTTTTTAAAGTCAGAGAAATCAATACAGAAAACTTATTAGCTGTATACTACATATTCATTAATTTTGTTTAATGAATTTGGGGTCTGACGTAAAAAGTAACGAACTGAAAGTTTTTATTAAACTTAAGAGCTAATTTGACAGCTTAATAATTTTCCGGGTGGAAACATTCGTCTTCTTTATTGGCAAACAAATCAATGACATCGGGATTTTTCGTGATGCCCGACTCGCATACGATTAGCCACGAACTTGAAGTGTGAAACTCCTTCAACACGTTTTTAACGATAGTGCGCGTTGTGCTTTCATTTTTCTCGAAAACGGATATTGAAAATATCGTCGTCATGTTTAAAACTACGCACCACAGACATAGAGGCAGAATTATTTCGTGGGAATGGACGTGTATTCGTCTGCAACCATTTTGTTGAGAAGCGACACCTATGACGCTTTCGTCTTGATCAACCAGTTTCAATAATGAATCAAACCATAGCCATAGTATAGGGAAATAACTCTCATGATATATTTCAGGTTGACACACAAAATAAAATAAAAAGATCGTGGAAAAGTGCAATAAAATAATTTAAGTCGGGGGTGGTTTTAGTTAGTCGGTCGCGTTAGGCGAAACAAAGATATTTTTAAGGTCAGCCTGACCTATTTATAAATAGAAATGTAGATTAATAACCACTTTAGAAAGCTAGAATATTTTGGGAATAACAAAAAGCATCCACACAGGTTTCTTTAGTAAACCTCTGATCATGAGAAAGTCACCCTATGAACCATTAATAACCATTCAGACCACGGCACAAATTATATATTTTATCTCCATGAGAAATGAAATGAAGTTTAACATCCTACTGTTCTGCTCCGACTGGGCTAATGAAGACGGGCATATGCCATACAGTGTGCTATGAGGGGAAATATTGCCCAGGCAGCAGCACTATGGCCTACTCTTATATCAAATTCCAACTGCCACGGGATCTTTTACGTGCATGCCAATGTATACACAGGACTTTGTGGGTTTTTTTTGTCCCATCTGAACGACTAGATAACTGTCCTCGTCAGGACCTCCATCCTGCATCACTGACAAGGGGGGTACCACCCAGGGAAATCTGGATTAACTTTCCCAGCCAATGCAAGGATCGAACACCCGAACACCAGGTTAGCGAGCCAGCGTCTTACTGATCTCCATGAGAATTGCAGACATAATCTAACACAAATATGAGGTCAGGACAGACTTTCAGTTCTTACTTGTTGCCTCCTGTGGCTCTCAATCTGATGTGAAGAGCACTTATTCTTAAATTTTTACACTTTTCAGCTACTTCTTGAGCAGCCAACATAGCAGCGTAAGGTGATGCTTCATCTCGGTCAGCTTTTACTTTCATACCTCCAGTAATACAACAAATAGTTTCCCTATAGAAAATAGAATTTCATAATTAAATTAGATTCGTTATTGTAAAAAAGAAATCCTGGATGATCTAAATTGTTAGAAACTATTTTACAATCAAACTGATCATTGTTTTGAAGCAAAAGAGGATTTTCTTTTGAAAATTCTTGATAATTTAATATCACGAAGATTATTTTGATATATGCGATATCAATTGTTTGTTCATGCAGTGTAGGTGTACATATCCATGTCAGGCCTCAAATTCTAATCTTTTTAAGGTGCTGCCAATTTTACCAGTCTGATGAAAACAAAATTTTACAGCTAATCAATCTTGTAAAAGTATTCAAATAAATAAACCCTTCATTGAAACATGTTGTGAGAATTTGAACACATTGTGAAAATAAGCCAGGCGGATCTCATCATGGTTTGTATTGTGAATCTCGAGAATCGCGCGTCTTTGATTGACACTCCATATGAATTCTAGGTAGATATTAATAATAATTGGATGATACATGTGATTGTTTCACAGACCAGTTGTTGGTTCAATTTAAATCTTCATTGAATATAATCCACTGATAGAACACCGACTATTCCGAGAAACAGTCATTAATAACATATTTTTCCAATAAAATCTCGGAATACCGATGACACGATGACATCGCTGGAATTAGGTCAATGAATCAGCGAAGTTAGCTTTAGTTTTAAATACTGTTTAACGTTATAACTTTTTACTTTATACTACATGCTGACAGAAGCTTTGTATCATAGATGCTGTCTATATTATTAAAGGCTATGACATAGTCAAAAAAAAAAAAAAAAAAAAAAAGATTTTAAAGAAATTTCAATTGTGGTTGTCACGTGATCATTGTGTCGTCTGTCTATCATCGTCGAATGAATAAAAACTAAAAGGTGACAGACAAAAACTAGGGTGCGATGATAAACGATTACTCAGAGACTTATATTAAATTTTGCCGACGTAAACCCGTCTTTCCTCTGCTGGAACTACCAAAGATATAACGATATTTCTTTTGCGTTTGATACATGTATCACCACCTCCGTTACAGGACGAAAGATTCGTCTACTTTGGTGCCATTTTGTGAAGATCATGCAGACATTAAGCAGCGATCTTCAAGACGGAAGAAACCATCATACCGAAGTTACTATAAATAGCACCACTTTTCGACACCCACGGCCAGCACGAGATTTTTGACATGAGTTATGAATGGAAAGAAAGTTGCAGTTAATTTTGTTGACGTTTATGATTTTCGGTATCATTGTTTACCGGTCCCATGGACCGCCGGGAAGATAATTTACCGGTATACTTTAAAATTTACCGGTATAAAACCGGAAAATACCGGTTATCCAAGAGAGAGAGAGAGATGGGGTTTAGCGTCCACTCGACACAAACTAGGTGATTTCGGGACTAACATATGGTTTAATTTTATTTACATAATTCGCTTGCGCGTAAGGGTCTTTAGCAGTGGGAGGAAACCGGAGGACCCAGAGAAAACCCACGAGGTTGGACAAGCGACCCTACTCCTTGCCACGTACAACCGGGGATTCGATACCACGCCAGTCGACTCAATGACAGACTGTATGACACAGCGCGCGCACGCTAACCATTCAGCCATCCAACCCCCCCCCCCCCCGGTTATCCGAAACTCTGATATTACTGCTATATAACTAAAAGACGTGCATCAATTAATCATAATGCATGATTTTTTGGCCCAACATATGAATAATTACCATCTTACAGAACATAATACAGTTTCATGAAATAAAATGCGGTTTAACATCCTACTGTTCTCCTCTGACTGGCAGGGCTCTATAAAAGTTGAGTGTGCCTGCGCACACACTTGAAAATGTGCCGGCAGGGTCATACTGAAACACAGGGATGTAGCCAGGATTTGGTGACTGGTGTTAAAATATATTTGGCGAGCAGAGCGAGGCAAAAAAATAATTTGGGAGGGGGCGTGGTCTTTTATGAAAATTAAACCCTTCTTGGTGTATTTTCAGAGCATCTGCTGCCTTTTGTATTTGGTTCAGTGCAAATCAAATTTCCATTTATATATTCAAATTTTACCAAATTCACTTAATTTTCATCAATGATACAGGGATCTAAAAACTTTTTGACACCACCCGACCGAGCATAAAATTGTCCCGCCCCACTCTGTTTCTCTGGATCGATAAGTTGAGGACCTTTGGGTATTTATTGTTTTGTTGGGTTTTTTTTCAAATATTACTTTATTACTTTGAGATTAAAAATTATTAAAACGGTGTTTGTGTTTTATTTGAGTACAACCAATTATGACAACGGGTAGATATTGATAATTAAAACACGTTGTATTATTTGACTTGTTTGTAAAGTTGTTGTACGTGTCTCACGAATATTATTATTATTACGGTGGAATGAGAATCAGGTCAGGCAGAAACTGAGAAAGCTCTCATCGTCCTCCTAGTCCTACTCTCGGGCCGTAGCAAATCCACGGTCAACACAGGTAAGAAATAAAATAAGATCATCGTGAAAATTTGCAGGCACGTGTTGGACAATTACGACATTCAAACCTTTAACATTGGAGTGCCGTAAATTGGTCTGGGTGACCTATTTACGGCAAATGAACAAATATAAAGACCGTAGAATAATTGTAAAATGAATAGACCTAGGCCTACACATCTTCTAAGTATAAATAAACAAAATACCAATACATCTTTCTTTAAACTAATTTGGGATGATAGGGTCTACTACGGCACACAAAAATAAATTATGCCGTGACAGACATGGTTTGCGTACGTCGGCTTTTACCATGGCTTTGCCGTTTAATTGCTGTGGTAAATTTCGAGCGCCGAGTTTGAGTATAGAGAAGGACGAAGGGGTTTAAATATGACTGGGCCTTTTTCGATTTTTCTTTGAGCTGGGCGGCAAAAAATAGTGCCTGCAAAAAAAAAATTTCAAGCAAATGTGCCTGCGCACGCCGTGCGCATGTGCGCGGAAATATCGATGCCTGCTGACTGGGCTAATGAAGACAGGCATACGCCATACAGCGGCATGTATGGCCTACTCTTATATCGAATTCTAACTGCCAAGGGGTCTTTTAGTGCATACCAATGTATACACAGGACTTTGGGGTTTTTTTTGTCCCATCCAAATGACTAGACAGCTTTCCTTGTCAAGCCTGCTATCCTGCACCACTGATAATGGGAAACCATGTTGGAAAAGTTTATCTAAAAGGGCCTCCGGCATCATTTAAGGAATTATTTTTGACTCGATATAATGAATAGCCAATTTTTTTAAAATCATGGGACTTTTTTAACCGAGCATTAACCCTAAAAGCCTTGTTTTAGGTAAACTTTTTATTTATTGTATCGGGCAGGGAAATCCCGGCAATGACAACAACGACCACAATTGGACAAGTGGAAATTAATCGAGAAAACAAAATAATGCTAGGTAATCTGCAGGCTTGGATTCAATCAGATCCATCAATTATGTTCATGAACCCAAAATGGTGACAGGTTAGCAGTCTAGACCTATGAAATTTCAATCCAACATATCTTTGTAAATACTGAACGGAATTGATCAAACATTTGGACGATATTCCCATTTAATTCATCTTTCACAATATTATAATCTGTAAAGGATTCCTACTGCCCTTAATTCACACAATGAAACTAGAATATGTGTACTATATCCAAAACATAAAAGAACTTTAGATCCAGAATGTGAAATTTACATTATACTTACTTTCCAGAGATATCTGTAACATGTACAAATGTATCATTGAAACTAGCATATATATGTGCTATTCCAAATACATCTTCACCTTCACCAACTTGAGGTCCCAAGATAACCTGCTCCTGAGGAGCGGATGACTTTCCTTTACGAGGAGCCATTCTGTAAAATAATAGAAATCATGTTATTATTTATCAGAAGTGGAATATTAGTATGCAATCTGACCACACAGAGCCTGTGTTGCTAAACCCTGCCTAAACTCTGATGTAAAATAGGCACAGTAACAACAATTTACGCTGTGATAAGGTTTTGCCATACTACACAACACGAAAGTGAAAAGTTTCAATTTCAAGTCAATCTATTAAAATTAGTATTTCATTAGTTGCAATTCAACCGTCTCTTAGCAATAGAGGCACTAATGTCACAACTATTTTGATGACGTATTCCTTGTATCATCAAGTTTTATCTGGATGTCATTACTTAAAACCAATATTTTTATACTTTCAAACAAGTGTTTTCTCAATAGAGAACTAAGAATGGAATTTAATCTTCCCCTTGTGCATACTAAAATGAAAACTAAAAGATAGGTTGCCAGGCAACAAAACATAAACCAACAGCAACTAAGTCGTCCGAACAGTCAACCAGGGTTGTCACATATTTTTTCTTTTGTCAGTAATGAGAACATTTACAACACATGAAAATTTGATTACGAGTAATAACCCATGAAGTAATTATCAGAAAACATTAGAATTGATTTATTTCAATTGTTTGTCTTATGACCTTAAACAATTTATATTAACTTCAGCCTCTAGAATGTCCACAAGCTTTTTCAAAGTGATCAAGGGCCTTAACTCTGGCAGTAATTATCGAAAATGGTTGAAAATGAATAGGGTTCTTTTGTCTCACGACCATAAACACTGTATAAATTTAAAGTCAATAAGATATTACATCGCCTCTAGATGATCCACAAGCAATTGTGGACACCCGACAGACGGACGGGGCACGACAACAATATACAACCACATTTCAATATGGGAGTATAAAAAAATTGGTTCTGCAGTACACTTCAGCCCTATCATTGAACAATCACAGAAATATCAACGGTGGCATATTGTCATCATTAGTGTACAGTATTTATACTCTTTAAAGTATCAATAAGCAGTGAAGCATAAAAATATTAAAGAACCATTCCTAACCAAAGCAAGTTGGGTCATAAATTCATAAAGTGTCCTAAAAAATGTTTCATGTAATACATGTTGGATAGAAAAGCTTTTGTCAGTGAACTTTATCATTCAATGATGGCTCATTCCTGCATGTAGAATTTACCAACTGATCCACTGATGCCTTTCATCTGAATATTTGGTCCGACAAAAATTCAGTCACAATTAGCATTAAAAAAAAAAAACCTGCTTGGGCAAGGTACAAAGAGGTAACATGTGAACGATACCTCTCTGCACTATGGAGTAGTTATGATGCGGTGTGCTACATCAGAATTTTCTTACATGCATGCCTTGTAAATCCGAAAAATAGAAAGTTTTCATTGCCAGGGCTTCCATCCTGCAATACTAACATGGTAAAACCTAGCTGAAAAATTCTAAGAAGTCAGCACTGACACTGAACCCCCTGGTCAGTGATGTAAATTAAAATGACAATACCAATTGTCAAAAGTAAATAAAACTTGAATACCAGGCCTTGTAATGTTTAAAAAAAGCTACCTGTACCGTGTTGGGAGGACAGCCAACGTCCCCTGGAATTCCTTTCTCACATCCTTGTCTATATTTACGCTACAAATTGTATTTATATTTGAAATATTTTTCCAACGTAATTATTTGATTGTCAAATTGTCTAGTAAATTATTCATAGCCTTTATTCATGGAAATTGTTTTAAACTTTTTAAATGATTAAATACACCAGACAACGAGCCGTGTGCATTTCCATTCCAGCCACCACTATATTTATTGTGGTGTCGTTAGGTCAGATGACTTAGGGGATGAGTTTTAATTTATTTAGACATAATACTTCATAATGCTATAAACTAGTGTCAAGCAGATGAAAACAAGCTTAGCTTGCATGAAATTCATTGCTATAAAATTGGCTACTTCCAACTATTTGAGTAACTGTACAACAGAGTGAAATGGAAACGGTGCAAATGGTGGTTTTTCACAGTATTTCCGTCCTTAATTCTTGCATTTAGAAACGAATAATTGAATGTATGTGACATGGACGTGAGTATTGTGACCTTAATTGGCTTAAGTCAATTTACTGAACATCAAATAAAATATAGTCCACCTGTAGCAGGCCTCGAATTCTAATCTTTTTAGGGCACTGCCAGTTTAGCCTCAGGTTTTTGGCCAAATTTAGGGGCACCAAGGCCAATGATTGGGGCATCAAGGCCAAAAAAGTTTTCAGCAGCAGGGCACCGAGGCAAAAATGTGTTTTTCTTTATAACTGACTTAATCAAGGATCAGTATGTGGTGTACTAAAGGACTCTGACATTACAACGTTTGTATTAAAGTGCAAAACAGGGTTATTAATCCAATTTGAAACAAACGGGACAGGGAATAAGGTAATTGCAAGCTTCCATTCCATTCCATTTGATAAAAACAGACTTCTCAACAAAAATAATTCTTGGTAACTTGTTGTGGAGAATCTTGTATAATTATAATATACAAAAATAACGACAAACAGTGCACCGTTCAGAAAATTTTTCATATCTAATTCACATACTGACTTGGAAGTTCACGTCAATAATATTCCCGAATAAATCACCGAAAATAAATGGGGGGGGGGAGGGGTGGAACTAAAAAATATGACGTGTAGTAAGACATTGTTTAAAGTGGGTTTCAAAACACAAAGTGGTCTGGCATAATACCTATATAGTCTAAGCTAGGGTTGTGTACCATTTTTAGAATTATAAATAATTTAGTTATATTATTGGTTAGAAATGAATAAAAACACATAATATTTAATTGAATAAATTTAATAAACTAAAATTTGGTAACAAGTGGCTTCTTTGTTTAACTTTTTAAAAAATGAAATAACCATATTTTGATATAAATTTTCCGTATTCTTGTGTTACATTACAATGGAAACATTCCAGTTAGACAAAATTTGATTCGCTTGTTGAGTTATAGATGGTTTCGACAATATCATCGAACGTGAAAGTGCTGGGAATACCCACCAAAATCGAGTCGAGATAAGATATTCGCGTACCGGTCGGCCTAATTTATTGATGTTCAAGGAAATAAATAGTGGTCCCGTTCGTTCGTTAAACTCCAGAAACGAACGAACGGGACCACTTATTTCCTTGAACATCAATAAATTAGGCCGACCGGTGCGCGAATTTACCTATGTCCCTGCATAGCTCACCATTTTGTAAGGCATGCGTTATTTATTACACAAGATATGATTGGGTAATACTTGAATAATAATGACATGTGTTATAATTTTAGCCAATGAAAATATTGATTATTCAGGTTCAAGGTTGAATATTAGCGACTGTCTTTCAGTTTATAATATGCTTTCTCATTAGCCGAAATGACTGCTACATGCGCCATTTTGCGGAATTCATCCAATCAAATACAGTGTAACTTATTCCATAGTATGTGGGCCCCTACATGTGTATTATCAACCGGATCCATTCACTTGATTTGATATTTGTTTATTCGGTGCTATGTTTATTTTCTGTCTTGTCTGCAGGTTTATCTTGTAGATTTTTGTTTTGCGTGTAGTGCGAATGCGCACGCGTTTCGAGATACTTCTTCATATTCGGACAACCTCGGCTTATTCTGGTTCCCTTACACTATTATGTATTGTAGTATCGGAGGCCTCTGCGGTTAACCGAATTGCAGTTCTCCGAGACTATTCACGCGGCGATATTGTAGAACTTTCTGAACACGTTGAATTACTCGAAAATCGAGACGACCATACTGGTATACATTGTTAATTAGTATGGCGATGTGAATGGGGGCAAAAACGATATGTAATTGGCCAGATCTGTGGCTCAGGTAGACGTTTTATTTACTGGATCAGAAAGGGGCATCCCTGCTAAGATGTCCGGCAACCACGGCCACTTAAGTGGCCGTGGACAAAGTGAAGATTTTGAGGGCACGGCGGCCGATTGAAAGGGCAGCCTCGGCAATGGCCGCCGTTAATTTCGAGGCCTGCTGTAGCAAGTGACAGGTAGTTTTACTTACTACCTGTCAAGACGTAAAAATCGCCTGTAGACAGGCGAACATATCGAGCCATGTAATACAGTACCTTTACTACTGATATACACTTCAGCCCTATCATTGAACAATCATAAAAATATCAACGGTGGCATATTCTCATCATAAGTGTATGTACATGTACATGTATAGGAAGCTACATGTAGTAGTTAAAAGGCCAATCTCAATTCTATTTTGGAGAGTAAAACTGCTTAATTTTGTGTTACTGAGCAAATCAATATAGGCGATACCTTTTCAAACAACTTAAACCTGTCAGTCTTCTGGAAATGGAGACCGGCGTCCTAAGCTGTATTATAAAAATAACTTAAAGGTGAAATTTACCTTTCGTCATCAAGTACAGCATGTGGTTCATGCACGGTATATAGACCTCAAAAGGAACAGCAATAGAACCGAAATCTTAAAAGGGTTACGTGTCCAGACGACTCAATAATATTGTGAGTTGAAATTTTTAGACAAGGTAAATACGCCATTATTCTATATTTTGATGCTAAATTTTCATACGTACACAGACTTTTATTCCTGTGACTGTTAAAATCGGGATGGTCCCTCTGCCATGCCAAGATGTATCATGGAATTTTGCTATTTCATTATCGCTCAGTTTTTTTTCCTAACACTATATTATTCAATAAATATATAAGTATCATGGGATTTAAAAACAAGGTTACAAGTCGGAGCTTGTGTAAATTCATCTCCCAGTCTTGACCAGTCAAAATGATTTATGCTATGCAATGAATTGATAATGATTCATTGATTGCAAAACAGATTTAATAACTGTCAGCAACTTTCAACAATGACATGTTGACTTCTATAAAAAACAAACATTTTGCTCAACGGACAATATGCAGCTAGGAATCAATTACAGTAATTATTACTACTAGACAAATTGTAGAATTACTATTACTACTATGCCTACACAATCCACAATGAAATTAGTCAACGTCAACAACTGGAACATATAATATACATCATATCACCCGCGTTTGTCAGTCAAAAATGGTATTTCATAATCGAAAGATCTGAAAAATGAAACCTAAATAGCAACTAATGAAACACGACCAAACGACAGAAAAAAAAAATATTTAAAGAGACAATTTCAAGTCTATAATTTTAACTATCAAAATCAAATACATATTTTCACGTTGAAAATCATGGTTACTTCATCCACTAATTTGTGAACATATCCCAAATAATAACTTTTCGTCACTAAATATTAATACTGGGCAACGGATAGATGTGTTCTATTTAATAAAATATATTGAAGGTTTTATTTAGAGTTAAGATGAAATAGATTTTAGCTGATAATAATTCCCCAAAGAAAAATATCTCCATACTTTGCTTGTTTAAAGCGGAAGAGAAAGAATATCGCGAGATCTCGTGCACCTGTTAACGGAATATGACGGAAATTGTCGACCACTCCCGAATGTATTTGTTATTGTCCATTACAACATGATCTGTCGGAGCAGAAGCCAGTTTCTTTGACCCAAAATTGGTGTCAAAATCAAGGGATTAAGTGAAAACGGTGTTATAATTTCTTTTCCGACACACCAAAGAACATTTTTGTGGCCTGTAGTAATGGCTCTGTCTAGCTAGTGATACCTTTCGATCGTCTTAGCTGAGTTCTCCCTTCCACCGGGAGACCAGTTGAAAGAACGGCTCGATCGGTTCGGCTTTTATTTTAGAGCCGTCTAAACCTTCATTTCATATCTCCCCGAAACATCATGGACTTGATGTTACACGAATGGGACTACGATGTTGATAGGTTTTCATTCGAGGATAGCGATCGATTCGAAGAAGATTCCTTATGTTCTTGGCTAAGTGAACCTGAAAGTCTTTGCAACAACTGGCGAGGTTGGAAAAGGCAAAATGGTGGTCAGACTAATCTTACCAGTCGTTCACAGGGTAAGACAACGTTTACACAGCTTTTATTCCCGTCTCCACTCAGGAATTAGATAATTATCAATTACTTGTACCGATTTTATGTGTAAACTTATTATTTTGCCAGTGAGTATTTCACCAGCATGGAACTCACTGGAACAAGACCAGAAATAAAAATATGCTAATTAATTGGATCAGATATGCTTCCACTTTTAGTTCCAACCAAGCTCAAGGACAATAAAATATATGAACCACATTATGGATAAATTTTGGATAAAATGTGAAAAAGGGCCCATTTTTTTAATTTAAAAATAAACACACAATCATCCTTGTAAGTTGTAACTGAAAGTCTGATTGTAGGTAGGCCTATGTTTGATAATGGTTCTTACTGCACATTAAAGAGAAATTCACCATGTCATAGAATTTTTTTTTATTTTTTATTTTATATTATAACAAGCTACATACAGTAACTGTAAACTTGTGTATTCCACTAGGTTTGTGACCTTTAACCTGTTATTGGATTAGTTTCCAATTTACCAATATTCAATTATGAAGTTGCTCAATAGAACTGAATATGTATTGCAGATTTGAATACCAGTACATTAGAATAGAGAATTTTGTTCTGTGAAAATTCTCTTTGTTTGAAGATATCTAACAGGAAACTGATTTAAAAAGGCATTTCCCATAATATCAGAGCAATGTCCGAAATATTCTAATCAACAGGAAAATGGGCCTACATTCAAAATAGTACATATATAGCAAACTAAAAAGTACCCAATATTTAAAATGTGTCTGAAATCAGCCAGCAGTTACCATCATATATGTATATGTTGCTTGAGTTTTGTATAAAATTTTGTGAATGTGTCTATTAGTTAGAGGGATCAATGTCTTTTTTTTTAAGGGTTTCGTGATTACGTATACGGTATAAAATAAGCTTGTGTACCGCCATTCTTTTTGTTAATTTGTCTTTCTCTAGAAAACCATGGAATTAAATTACTTTTCTGCACTGACTGGGATGATACAGACGACCATACGCCATGCAGTGTGCTATGAGGGAAGTTTGGCTCTGACAGTGGCATTAGGCCTATTCCTATATCAAATTCCAACAACTAAGTACTCTTTTACTTGCACGCCAATGTTTACTTACAGGACCTCAGTTTTTCATCCCATCTTAACAACTAGAAACTGTTCCTTGCCAGGCGCTCTGTTCTGCACTACTGACAAGTTAAAACTTGACTGAAAATCACAAGGTACTTTTTTGGCGAAAACTGGGAATCCCAGTCATGATTGGAATTTTTATCTCATCTCACTACCTTGGTGATATTCTGACTAGTGATAAAGTTTCAAAGTTTTTCGATCATAAAATGCTACATGTAAACAATTTGTGATGTGATTGTGAATGCTACATGTAGAGTTCTCAATAAAATTTTATTTTAAATACTTTGTAATATTTCATTGGGGTATGAGGAGGAACCCATAAAAGTGTTGGATATATTATCTCCATACATGTAGCAATTATATTGTGATATCCATTTATTGAAACATAGTTTCAATAACAGTCTACAGAATCACTTATTTGATAATTTGATAGGTATTAACTAAAGGATCATAGATTTAAAATGATTTTGCTGATATAAAAGTTTCTGAGAATGGGCTGATACATGTACATATAGGTTGATGAATTAACAATGTCAACACTCAGATTTTCCCAAGATTGATAAAGCTCCATGCATTCCAGAATAAAAGTTAAATATAGACTATAAAGTTTAAGACCATATGCAATCAAATCAAAATTACTTTTATATTATCAAATTCTAAATTAGGACCAATTAAAGCTTATATTAGTTTATACTGATCTCACTCCATGTTCTTTATGTGTCTTAAGGAGGCATTATTTCAAGAGCTAAATCTGTCTATTGAAGTTCAAGAGCTAAATCTGTCTATTGAAGTTCTTTCTTTAGACCTTAAATGTTATATGAACTATTAATTAGACATTTATTAACATGACAAGACCAGATAGCTCTGATTTTAAGTAGATTAGAATAGTACCGGTATGGCCATTTAATGATTTGATTTAAAAATGGAAAAGCGAGACTAAGTTTCAAATAACCAGTATGGTGGTTATAATGATAAGCAATCAATGCACACATCTTGTCAAAACTACAAACATTGATAATTTCTTTCAGAATAAAGTAATTTGAATGAAATTTTTATTATATTCATTTTGCATTATCTATTTTTGAACTACAGTATTATAGCAAGAACTATCAACTCTTTATCGAAATCTTACATATACATAAAATATTGCATTATCTACTTTTGAACTATTAAAGCCAGAATGGTCAGCTCTTATAACTAAATCTTACATACATGTAATGCTTCTTTAAAAAATGTAGTAATAATAATTCAACCTTTTTCGTAAATTGAATGATAATGTAATTGGTTTTAACATCCAACATTTCTACTCCAACTAGGTTAATGTAGATGTGCTGAGGGAAATTTTGCCCAGACAGCAATTGAATTTGTTCTATCAATGGTTCTTATACGTTCACGCCAAGTTATACATAGGACCTTTTGGGGTTGTTTTTTTTTCATTCCATCTAACAACTAGACGCTTTTCCTTGCCAAGCCCCCCATCCTGTACCACTGACATGGGGAAACCATGCCCGAAAAATCCCAAGGAACTTTCTCGTTCAATACCAGGGTCAAGCCATGGACCTCCAGGAGTCCAGGTTAGCAAGCCGGTCGCTTACTCACTGAGCTGCCACAGCTAAACTTTTTTATACAAAGCCAGCTTATAAAGATTTCTTATACTCAGACGTACATTAAAAAAATATAAATTTTTGACTTCTGGATACATGTGAAGCTTCTAGTGTCTTAAAAATTGTGAACTTATGTGTCAGTTTTAATGTATTTATATTTGATAACATTGTAATGATTTCAACTAGTAAAATAAAAATCAGTCAAGTTAGTAGCCTAGCCTTTGTGTAGGCTTATATTAAATGCTATCTATCTATACATAACAAACAGAAAATCAGGTCAAAGCTCACCATTCAACATGTATAAGACGAGTTGTGTCCAAGGGTGAGTGAGGTTAAAACCAGTTATATGGACATATCGACTCAAGATGTTGTACAAAGACAATGAAAATAATAGATCACATGGCATGTTCTTTAAATAGTCCATGATTGTTTATAGAACATACATGTAGTAAACAGTAAAGTCTTAGTTATGCTGTATATAAATAAACAAATTGTGATTATCACAACCACACATTATTTTAGGCCTACTCTAATCACGTTTTCGGTTTTCATTATCCCAGTTGGTGCAGAAAAGTAGGATGTTAAACCCCATTTCATTCATCTAATAACACCAACTGTTAGTATCAACTTAAAAATCGTGTATTATAATATACATGTATGATAAATATTCTTGGAATAAATGTATCAATATCCTTATATTGTATAAGAATCGTGACTTGAGGGTGTAGGTTTCTTTCAGTTTGTATGAAACACAATGTTAGGTTGGCCCAAACTGAATGATATACAAGTAGCCTACACATGTTGCTGCCCACGCTATTAACATTTTAAACTGGGATAATGTATTATGCATATAATCTTATATAAATGTACACAACTTGTAGGTTATTTGTACTGATCAACATTTCATAATTAACTTCTTTATTTGGGTCCTTACAGAAATCTCAGGGCATAATTAAAGTAAGCTCTAAGTACATGTATGTATAATCTAAAAGAATAAGGGTAATAAAATAATATTTGTGTAATTTGGGTGTAATAGTTCAAAGCATGTACATGCATGTATGTAAATATACATGTAAATACTTAATTTATTTATTTCACATTTATTCATACATTAGTGTACACTTCTTTTCAATATTTACAATATATATAAATACATTTAGTCAAGGCATAAGTAAGTAATTATTTCATTAAGTTTTTTTTTATGTGAGTAAATTTCGTGCGACTCGCGCATATTTATCATATCTACAATTTGACCAGCTCTTTTGAGATCAGACTGATTTACATTGGTATTATCCCATTTATTTATAATGTTTAAAAGTTTATTTCCTTTTATACTATATAAATCGTATCTAGAGACACCGTATCTGTTACAGACATAACTAATGTTATTACAAGTATTGGAAGAACTTCCATGTAAGGCATGACGGGCACATATCTTAATACATTCATTATTATTTTGAATTGAACTAATAAACTGTTTTACAAATCGATTATGAAGCTGAGCTTCTATAGAATAATCCTGACAAATTAATGGAATAAGGACATTGTGTGTACGACATGGGATATCCCACAGCCTACGAGTGCACTTGCGCCAAGTACAGTAAAATCTTTCAATGGACCTATGGGAGAAATCCCACAGCTGGGATCCTTTACAATGTTCAAGTATATGTGCCCAAAGATGTATACACCAAAATGTTTGTAAAATTCTCAGGTAATCTCCCAGACCTCACGCCAAACTTGATGTCACCACACCAGACCGCCCCCTGGCCTCTGCTCAAATTCCTGAATATGTCCCTGGTGTTAGTTGGTAAATGAGATATAGATTGTATTGTTTTTGTTTACTAGTAGAAGATGATATTATCAATAAAATACTGTAATACAATATAAAAACATGTATAATCAATATAATATATAGGTAGGGCCTTAAGAAGAATGCTTCTTTGTTGTACTGTTTTATTTTACTATACATGTATGTATGACGTAGATACAATGTACATGTATGCAAAATGGCATCAACAAGTCTCAACATAACATTTTAACTTAGGTAAAAAAAATATATCTTGACTTAAACAGAATAAAAAATCTTGTACAGTTCTAAAGATCCCTGTGCACAAGAAATTATTGAAATAAAAATATGTACTTAAGCACGAAATCATGTTTGTGAACTTTTAACTTGAAAACTTAGGTCAGTGTTATAGTCTGTAGTAAAAGTCTAATATATTAAATTTTGTTCCTCACTTCACATGGTGCTATACTATCTTTTATTAGACAAAATTATTATTGTAAATAAAATATGCAAACATGATGCCATTGTCCCATCTTCTGTATATAGACAAATATTTAAAGTTCCAAATTCACATGTGTTTAGACTATCAAGTACATATTTCTCACTAAATCTGCTCTTGGTCATTAGATTTATGTTCAGCTTGTTGAAATTACATTGTGTGTAAAGTTTAAAATCCATGGTATAACGATATCCCTGGAGACACACAAAAACTTAAATCAATATATAGATTGTTGAATTTCATGTTTTAATCGAATCTGATTTAATTAACAGTGATTAACTTTTTAGTTGATGAGTGTGTTAATATCTAAACAATGGTCCATCAAGGATTAACAACATCAATCATCTCTTAATGAGATTAGGGGTGATTGATTAGTCATAAAACCTTAGATGGCAGCAAGCTTTTAAAGTTGGCAATAAAGCATCACCACACTAGAAAAACTCATGTTACAGACATCTTAATCTCATAGTTTTTACTAAGATTATAATACATTATTCTAAGAACTCATATTAAAACAGGCAAATCAAGACAATATCAATTTTATTCTTTTGATACATATATATTTAGACCAAAGAAAGTATTGATATTGCTATTGAATTTTGAACATATGTATTCATGTAACTGAATAAAACTGACTTTATAAAAAACCCGACATAGTTTCATGTTCTCTAGAAGTAGAAACAGACATTCAATCGGAACAATCGCATTTTGATTTCATTGATCATTACCGTTACATTACTTGAAAGAAATGTTTTGCCCAGATTTATATTATGGTGATGAAGACAACAAAAGGGCTATACATGTAAAAGTCATTGTGATATTTGTCTTCAATATCCAGTCCTCTCACTGTACTATCAAATATTTGGAAGAAAATCATTTGATTTTAGATTTTTGCTGATAGAGACTACTTGTATAATTGAGTTTCAAAATAAACTTCATTTTTTGATATGAACTAATGCAGTGATGGGGGCATTTTGCTAGAACAATAATAATTATTATTTTTTTCTCGTCACAGATTCGTATATCATTTCTGTAGCTTTTAACTTACAAATGTACCTTGACGTACATGTAGTGTAGTGGAAGTTATGTGTACGTGTAGGATAGTTTAGCAAGACTATCGTGATATAGTTGTTGCTTTATATAGGAAAGAAGAATATTAATGGTTAGTTCACATGTAGCTTAAAATAAAGTAAAACATGAGTGTTGTGTTGTGAGGTTACTGTTACTTGACATATATTATAAATAGAACTGTGTGAAACCAAGTACTACAATAATCTATGTATATATCATACCTTGATCTCTACTACTAACTATATCTACCTATATTACTATTAGTCTATAGTTAAATTTGCGGTTATCTTGACCTTTTTCAGGTATGTATAAACAAGTTTTTACGGGTGTATACTTTCATGCACACTTGATAACATTTACTACTCAAACTTGCAACGAAATATAAAAAAAAAAAATGAAATTATATCAAAAAAATTATGAACTATTTGAGAAATTTGGCATAAAATGTTCATGATGTTGATTGTGGAATTATGCATTAAGGGAACAGTATAATTTAAGACAATCATTCTCACCCTCTCGTCTTTTTATCTTTAGTATTAAAAGCATGTTTTTATGCTCTTTATAAGAAAAACAGCATATATATCTTGATTGTGATCTTCAGCTTGTACATGTATCTTGAAGTTAATTCAGTCTGTACAGACATGATTAGTGTGAATTATTTAGGATTATAGATGAGTTTTTTTCGAGTCAATTGATAGCTGTTTAAACAATCATTTTACAGGTAGTGTTCTTCAAGGAAAGATGCTGTACTAATTTTTGCTTTTTGCTTTCAATTAAGGATGTACTTATACACTTCATGTAATTCTACAAAGTTCATCCAAGTACATATTCAGTCCCACAATGCGAAAGACTTAGTTTCAAAAATCTTTTTTTTAGTTAAATAAACTGGAAGCCTAACTGTACTTTAGCAAAAATTCAGTAAGCTACAAAAAAAAGCAATAAATAATATCAGCTTACCTAGACATTATAAAATATAATATAAGGGAATTTAATTCTGTGTAAGATTTATTTATGAATGACCATATAGTAATATATGTATGATCCAATATGTTTATTTCGGATGGTCACTCACCTAAAGCGAGAATTGCATTTGTTTTAAGTCATATGCTTAAAATATCCTAAAATAAAGCCTTAAAAACATGGCATCTATACACAGTCCTACCTTTTAAGAGACTAATCCTAAATCCTATAATTCACTTGTGTCAGTTGAGAAATTATCCAATATCATTTTCTTTTTGAATCCAACGTTTACTTTTACGGTATTATTATCGCGTGTGCAGGTTTCAAAAGTCTCACTCAACCAGTCTTTATTATTCTTATCTGTTTAACCCCGGACCTTGTCAATCGAGTCAACTCGCTCTTTCATTGTGTAGATTTAGTTATCCCATGGAAAGAATTGATTCAAATTCCAAATACCGTCGGCAAGTAGAAATTATTTCCAAGTTGTACGTGAATGTTTTTTTAAAGTGCTAGAATGATTCCTATGATTGTATAGTAGAGATTTGACAACCTTTTAAGTAATAGACGTAGAAATAATTATGTTTTGACTTTCATAGAAAATATGCAGTTTTCGCTTTTAACATTTAATACACAAGAAAAGCTTGTTCTGAGACAGTGGTGACAGTGTAATAATACTATCACATGTAACTTGGATTAAAGACATCCAATCAATATGGTATCACATAGTTTAATTGTTTGATCTAGAATTTATGGTACATGTACCTTCCAGGTTGATCTCGAGTTGATGTTACATTCTAGGTCGATCTTGAGTCGATTGCATACTCTAGGTTGATTTCAAGTTGATGTTACATTCTAGGTTGATCTCAAGTCGACTGTACATTCTAAGTTGATCTCAAGTCGATGATACATGTACATTCTGGGTTGATCTCGAGTTGTTGGTACATTCTAGGTTGATCATGAGTCAATGTAACATTCTACATGTAGGCCGATCTGAAGTCTGCAATTCACAGTCTGTGCGTAACTAAAATTTCTTTAGAATTCGAGCAAGATAAGGTGGTCTAAGCAATCAAAAAGAATAAAATGGAATGTAGGTAGATGTATAATTTTATTTCTACAGAATATGGCAGCTACGAATATTATGAAATCTTATTGGTGATTTGTGTCATACCAGTTTCTAAGAGACGTCTCCTTCATACACAAATCAATTATGGTACTTTTTATACGCCCACATTGAAATGTGGTCTTATATATTGTCGTCGCCTCCGTCTGGCGGTCCGGCGTCCACAATTGCTTGTGGACGCTCTAGAGGCTAAAGTTAATATCTGATTGACTTTAAATTTATACACAGTGTTTAAGGTCTTGAGACGAAGAAGCCTATTGATTTTCAGCGATTTCCGATAATTACTGCCAGAGTTATGGCCCTTGATCACTTTGAAAAATCTTGTGGACGCTCTAGAGGCCAAAGTTAATATCCAATTGACCTTAAATTTATACACAGTGTTTGAGGTCATGAGACGAAGAAGCCTATTGATTTTCAACGATTTCCGATAATTACTGCCAGAGTTATGGCCCTTGATCACTTCAAAAAATCTTGTGGACGCTCTAAAGGCCAAAGTTAATATCCGATTGACTTTAAATTTATACACAGTGTTTAAGGTCATGAGACGAAGAAGCCTATTGATTTTCAGCGATTTCCGATAATTATTGCCAGAGTTATGGCCCTTGATCACTTTGAAAAATCTTGTGGATGCTCTAAAGGCCAAAGTTAATATCCGATTGACTTTAAATTTATACACAATGTTTAAGGTCATGAGACGAAGAAACCTATTGATTTTCAACGATTTCCGATAATTACTGCCAGAGTTATGGCCCTTGATCACTTCAAAAAATCTTGTGGATGCTCTAGAGGCTAAAGTTAACATCCGATTGACATTAAATTTATACACAGTGTTTAAGGTCATAAGATGATGAAGCCTATCGGTTTTCAGTGATTTCTGATAATTACTGCCAGAGTTATGGCCCTTGATCACTTCAAAAATCTTGTGGATGCTCTAGAAGCGAAAGTTAATATTCGATTGACTTTAAATTTATACACAGTGTTTAAGGTCATGAGACGAAGAAGCCTATTGATTTTCAGCGATTTCCAATATTTGCTGCCAGAGTTATGGCCCTTGATCACTTTGAAAAATCTTGTGGACGCTCTAGAGGCCAAAGTTAATATCCGATTGACTTTCAATTTATACACAGTGTTTAAGGTCATGAGACGAAGAAGCCTATTGATTTTCAGCGATTTCCGATAATTACTGCCAGAGTTATGGCCCTTGATCACTTCAAAGAATCTTGTGGATGCTCTAGAGGCTAAAGTTAATATCCGATTAAGTTTAAATTTATACACAGTGTTTGAGGTCATGAGACGAAGATTCCTATTGATTTTCAACGATTTCCAATAATTACTGCCAAAGTTATGGCCCTTGATCACTTTGCAAAATCTTGTGATGCTCTAAAGGCTAAAGTTATAATCCGATTGACTTCAGATTGATACACAGAGTTTAAGATCTTGAGACGAACAAGTATATTGATTTTCAATGAATTTTTATGACTTAAACAGTTAAATCCATGATATTAAAAGCTTTGCATACAAAACGTTAGCATGGGGCAGAACTTTATAAAAACCAAACAAATTCTAATAGTTTTCTGATAATTACTTTGTGAGTTGTTGCTCTTAATCAGATTTTAGTGTATTATAAATGTTTCATTACCGAAAAAAGTAAAAATATGCGACAACCCTTGTTGACTGCCCGGACGATTTAGTTGCTGTGGGCGTATGTTTTGTTGCCTGGCAACCTATCTTTATTTTCATCATCATAATCTTTGTTGATTGCAGATAAGGTTACACCATTAGTGGAATTGTCTGCTTTGGCAGTGGCATGTAACATCCCATTTGAAGTGGTAGAACATTACCCCCAACCAATTCCAGAATGGCTGCAGTTACGGATAGCTTTTTGGAGTTTCCCAGAAAACGAAGAAGATATAAGGTAAATATATGCACATGATGTGGGTGATGGGAACGAAAGTATACCAGTGGTTGCTAAGAAAGTCAAGACCCAATTAAAATAGTAGTGAGATAACTAACATTTCTATACACTGGAGACCAGTCTAGGTTGAAAACTGTCACAATTGTTTCTTTAATGAAACAATAGATTGAAAGAACACAAAAGCAATTGAATGAATTATTAGTGAAGTTTGTTTAGCAATATTGACAGTACCATTGATTGACATCCCATACAAATTCTGACACAATTGACTGAACAGAACTGAACAATTTTGTTTTGATACTAATGCTCACACTGGTAGTGGTATTCAAATTTAAATCAATTTTAAAGGCCATTCAAACAAGTTTTTAATATTGGTTATTCAAATTTGTTTGTTTAGAACTGTTGGAATTTTGTCTCCTATGGAATATTTAATGATATTAATTCAATAAAATCATCTAATATTGAAAAATAGACATATATATTGATTTGAAAGATTCATAGTTTCTAAAAATCTTCAATTTTATTTGAATAAAATATTCATATACTGTTCGAATAGTAAAACTCGGCATTCTGTGTGGTCAATGGCACTACATGTACACTGATCTGATATAGATTTAAAATCAATCTTCTCGTTTTCATTTGTCTTGTCTGACTGTAAACCTTGTGAACTATATGAGTATAATTACACTGAATCAAGATTTAGTGGCTGTTTTTTTCAGATCTGGTTGATGTTGGGATACTATGGAACACCATATAAACATACATGTACATTAGTTTGCCGTATTCCTGTCCATAAAAAAATTGAACTAATGGCTGGTTTGACATTCCATAGTCTCAGACCCCCCCAATCCAAATCTCCACTGAAACAAAAAGTCACAGAGATTCTGTTTCTGACATTTAATACAGGTTGTAATAAGTAACTGATGTACATGTAGATTACATCCTACTGATATCTACATGTAGTTTGCTTCCTTACCATTACTATTGATATCCTATCATACATTATTTACATTAAAGGCATGCCAAAGTTTATTTTAGACCCATGCCAAATTGGTGGTTTAAACACGATCATCAAAGTACAAATGTGAATCAATGAGTTTACTCAGTTCTCCCCCGTATACAAGTTGAAACATTAATTGAACAAGTCTTACAATTATTGATTATTAGCCGTTTGTAAATTTGTTCTTATGATTAGCAAACACAGGTTTCACTTAAAACTATATTAAGCTTTACATTTTATTAGTAAAGCCACTTTTCTTCATAACTCTGTCTCCACACTCATCCAACTCCACCAATATGATTTTTGGGCATTGTATAATTTTACATGTGATTGACTTCAAACTAGATAGTATTAAATTTGAAGCTTATCTGTTTAGAAGTTTGATCATGGTAGGCAAACAAACATTCAATGCAAATATTAGAAATTGAAATTAAAATGTCAATTTGATAAAACATTAGGCTTATACATATCCTTTTAACTTAACTATCCCATATGCATATAGGTCAGATATCAAATCATGCCAAATTCGTTTCCATTTTTAGTCTCCAAGGACCTAGTTTATACAGAATTTGTCACTGTTGTAGTGAACCGATGAATCTGATACTTTTAGATATTGAAAAAACATGTTTTTACATTTGTGCTGTGTTTTTTTATCTCTTTGGTCATCAAATAATAACATTTATGTAAATGGCGTTTAATCACAAATAAATGTTATTATTTGATGGCCACAGACATAACAACAGAGCGCAAATTTTAAATTCATTTTTCTCAATACTTAAAAATATAAGATTCGTCTGTTAGCGAGAAAGTGACGAATTGTGCTCATACAAACATTCAAATTCAAACAGTTTTGCAAAATTTATTTTTTAGTATACAGTTGAAACTAATGGAATTCGATCTATTTTTTGTTTGCTACACAATATTGACTATTAAATTATTGAAAAAAAATATAAAGGAAAATATATTGTTATGAAATATTTAAGACTTTTATTTACCGTACCTGAAAATGCTTTAAAAAGAAACAATAAAATGATTGTTATTTAAACCAATAGGTGGGTTGAATGGCCAAAGGGTTAGCACGTGCGTGCTCTATCATAAGGTCTGTCATTGAGTCAACTGGCGGGGTTTCGATTCCACGGATGTACGTGACAAGGAGTAGGGTCGTCTGTCCAACCTCGTGGGTTTTCTCCGGGTCCTCCGGTTTCCTCCCACTGCTAAAGACCCCTACGCGCAAGCAAATTATTGAAATAAAATTGAACCATGTGTTAATCCCGAAACGACCTAGTTTGTGTCGAGTTAATAATCTGTTGCACACTTAAAGGCTCAATACCACTCTTGTTGTAACTGAATAATATGTCCCAATCTTTATTCTGGTCAACAAATTGTACTATTTTAAAATATTCCAATTAAATGATGATACAAATTTCATCTTAACACACCTAATTTAAAAAATTGGAAAAATTCAACTAAATGATTTGAAAAGCCGGACGTAAAGCTTTTCAAATGTGACTTGGATTTAAAAATATTTTTGAACCCTCTGGACAAGTAACATAGTATTTAATGGATAATTTACACAACAGGTAGGACACTAACACATCTAGTACTTAGAATAAGGCTATTTTTTATTTTCTGGAGCTGTCAAGCCAGCAAGAGTGTTATTGTCCCTTTAATGGTATTTGTCCACGATTCAAAATTGCACAGCTCCTCATTTCATGTTCATATAACAACTTAATGTCTTTTGGACATTAGAGGAAAACTATAGTCTGTGATTATAATTATTTATTGCAGTTCTAAGATAAAACTTGTTCTTTGTTGCACATATTTATTTAGATTACCTTGGTTTTGTGGTGTATGGAATGAATTTATCTCTGTATTTCCAGACTCTATTCCTGTTTATCAAATGGAAGTGCAGATGAATTCACCAAGGGAGACCATCTATATAAAAGTAAAGCTGTAAAAGAAGTTATACAAATAGGTATGGCTACCCTAAACTATATTGTATTACAACTTAAATATTATGTATACCATTGTAAGAACAGAATGACTGTTGCATTCAACACAAGCTTACGAATCTAACAGAAAACAGTGAGGTTATTAAAAAAGAAATATGTCATACAGCCAAACAACGGCATCTACTGCAGTGTTGTTGTTTCAACAGAAACCGAGGACATGATCCAAAGGCCATATTTCTGAAAGAAAAAACAGGTATTGTGAAGAATCGATGTAGCATTTCTCTATTCACTATACACCGGTACAGTGAGTCAACAATATATCATACCAGCACTAGAGATATTGTTATTTTATAGAGTGTTGTTAATCATGTTAACTGGTATAAGAATTCTCTTGCCCTTGTTGAACCACATAATTGTGTTAACAATTAAAGTAGCAGAACAGGAAAAAAAACAAAAAACATTTGCCTCAAAGTATAAGGGCCAATGCCCTTTTCTACTATCTTTTGGGAGGCAAAATCTAGAGTGATCGTCACCATATGAAAAATCAACATTGGCCTGCTAGAGTGATTTTAACCATATATAAAAAAATCAACATTGGCCAAGTATGTAATTTTAGTTGTCTTTTCGTGAGACAGTTGTTAAGCTAAAAAGGATGGTAATTTAATTAAGAATTTATGACAAACTTCACATCATACAATAAACATCAAAGCAAATTTTATACATGTACCAATGAAGATGCTTCTTTCAAGTTTTGAATATATTCCATCCGAGCAGATTGTAGATAGGTTTAAAATAAAGCTAAGCAATATTTAGTTTTAACAGTAGATTTCTTAATAAAATGAAGAACAATAAATTATACATTTAGAACTTAAGTGTTTAAAATCCATTACCTTAATTCTGGCATTCATCTAAGATCTGTCAACAATAACATTTATGTATAAAGTACCTATTGAAAATTCTGATGACGGTATTGGTGTTCAAACAATGTATTAAGACACAATACATGTAGTATTATACACAGGGAAAAAATTACATGTTGTGAATCATGTTATAAGATGGATTGGGTTGCCAGGTGAGCTAGAGTAGGATTGTCAGTGTAACCATGTGGGTTTTCTCTTGGTACTGAATTCTTGAAATAAGTACTATATGTTAGTCCAAAATGACCTTACAATTGTTGAGGTCATTAAAACACCATTTTTCTCTCTGTATCTGAAATACACGTGCACTAGAGGCATTGTAGTTGTACCTTTTATGTGTTGAAGTTATTGCAGGAGGGGGTTTGCCAGGTTCCTGAGACAATGTATCTTTTGGGAGGGTCCTGGTGGGTTCATTTCTCACATTAGGTTTCCTCTTCTTATATAGGACATCCATTGTTAAGGAAATTTGACAGTTGAAAATGCATGATACCATCATAGTCTCCAAATTTCATAGGCATACATACACACTGAGCTTTTTAAAGAGAGAAATCCAACACCGCGTTTGACGTCAATTTTTATTATGAATTAATAGGATCACATTGTGATTCAATTCCATTGATGCAAAGCATTAATTGTGATATCAAATATGTCTATATCATTATCTCACACTTTGAATGCCCATTCCATCCTGCCATCTGATGATAAAGGATAAAGCAAACGACCAATACTCATAAATCTGGATGTGCCCCTGGGGAAGCTTTTTAACACCTTTGTTCTGTAAAATCTGTGTATGCCATCATTATATGTACTGGGTAGTTAAAGGGCCAATCTCGATAATATTTTGAAGAATAGAACTGCTTAAATTTGTGTGAAAAGCCTTTAAAACCTCTACCTTAGGGCCAAGCAATTAATTCAATATATACTTGATACATTTCCAAACCAATTAAATCCATCAGTCTTCATCTGACCAGTGTCCCAAGCTGCATTATACGGTGTCCGTATAAAACCAGACTTATTTTATAAAAATAACGTGTAGGTGAAATTTACCATTCGTTATCCAGTACAGCACATGGAACCCGCACAGAAAAGACCTGGAAAGAAACGGTAATAGGTTATCAGGTCAGCACCCATCAAAAAAATAGACCCAAAATCTTAAAGTGGTTACATGTCCATATAAACAGTTTTGAGGTTCATGTCCAAACAGCTCAATATTTTGAGCTGAAATTTTCAGACAAGGTAAATACACCATTCCTTTATATTTTGGCGTTTAAATTTAATACAAAATCGGGATGGTGAATGGTCCCTTTATCAAAAGTTATTAGTATTTAGTGATGATTTACTTTTATATATGAGAAAATAATGTGACAAGCTTCAGTATATACTATCTACAAACATAAATATAGTAACATACAAAATGTCATGTCAGTGTACTGTAAAATGGGTCAAATCGGTACCTTTTTATAGACAATTTTGACACAATATTAAACTGGTTGAATATTCTTAAATGCCCCCATATGATCTTATATTTTCATCACACATGTCTATACATGTTTATGTTCATGAGCACATGAAGCTTACTGATTTTTAACAGTTTCGAATAATTAATTTCAGAGTTATAAATTGATAAGACAAATATACAACATAAATAAAAAGAATTTATCTTTTTATAAAATCTCAAAAACGGAGAGAAATTAGGCCAGATATTGCAGCTAATATAGTTATACTAGTTAATTATGTTTCACACTGAAAAATAACCTGACCGAGACACATGGATAAAAATTCAAAACATAACTTTGTATAATTTATGTTTTGCATTAAAAGACCTTTAATTTGGTGTATATATACTCTTCAAAAAAAGAAACGCACAGCCCATTTTTCATCATTTTTTATTTGAACGGGATCGTTGTTTCCATAAATCTTACTTGTTTTTTATATCACTATGTAAGGATAAAAGAAATTCATGATTGATTTTAAATGTAGGGTCACTAATTGTGACTGGTCATACTTTTTGCCAAAATTTGTTTTCCCTTGATTACACCAAGACACATGAGTTTAACAACTTCGCAAGCTTTTCACATGAAACCCAAATCTAAGGCCTTTAAAATCCTGGGGTTTTCGGTTTCAAAATCAGTTGCGCATGTAAACACTCAGCGACCGAAGTGATGCCACATCTGAACGAAGACCAACACAACAACACTATCGGTTGGTTACAAGTAGGTGAATACCAGACAGATGTAGCCAGACTGCTGAATGTTTCCCAGAGCACCATTTCTCGCCTTTGGGATAGGTACCGACAGCGAAGATCGATATATGACCGACCAAGCTCAGGCCAAACAAGGGTGACCCCAGTTGCCCTGGATCGTCACATCCGGTTACGTTATTGCAGCAGCAATTCCTGGACGGCATAGGATCTCAGACGTCCCGTTAGAGCTATTGTTTTGAAATAGGCCAACACCGTCAAATCTGACTTCAATGGGTTTAGACACAAGGGTATCGCCACTGCAACGCTAGAGTACAGTTTTGTTCAGCGACGAGTCGCGGTTCCTGTTGCAACAAGGCGATTGTAAAGCGAGGGTATATGTTTCTTTTTTTGAAGAGTACATGTATATATATGTTGATGACATATGCAATTAGCTGAGATATTTACTTTTAAAGTTCGTATAATGAGATTGATTAATCCATAGTTTAGCAGCTACTGCTAAACACAGCAATTTTTTTGCTTTTCTGATAAGCTTTTACCCTTGAGCATTGCTGATTTATAAATATAAAATCATTTTTGATGGCAAATATATGCTGGAAATTCAAAATCAGAAAAATAAGGGATCTATTACTAACATTTGCATATACATGTACATTACTAAAAGTATGTGTCTATAGAAAATGCTAGGAATCATGGATATTATTTAAAAAACTTAATGCTTATACTACTACATAGTAAATTTCTAAATCTGTTGATACTTGAATGAAATGGTATGTCCAAACTTGTCTTGGAATCCTATTCTTTTTGGTATACAAAAAATACAAACTGTCGTATGTTGATATGTGACAGCTAACTACACACTATGTAATATATAGTCTTTTTGTATTGGAATAAAAATGTCGACAAAGGTACAATAAACAAGAATAAAAAGAAACCTAATTCCTTTACCCATGTACATGTTTTATTATCTCAGACAGGACTATTTTGTGATTATGTTTTTGCTTAGAACTATTTTATCTAGAATATGTTACACCTTTAATTATACATGATCTACAAGACAATAATAAAAAGCATTACGAAAAAGTGTTTATAAAGTTGTTTTGTTTTTTTATCAATAATAGGGTAACAGCTGTCCAGATAAATTCCCCTCTTTGAAGAGGTAAACATAACTGACAAAATGACCTACATAAAAGTTTACAAAAAGTTTCATTCCTGTCTAATGAATATAGTTATAATACCTTTAGATAATAGTTATATGGATATAATTATAAAACCATTGCATTGTAGTTCATATAGAAGTTTTAATGAATATAATTCTAAAACCATTGCATTGTAGTTCATGTTTTATTGAATACATGTATAATTATAAAACCATTACATTGTTGTTCAGAATAATGTTTTATTGAATATAATTATAAAACGATTACATTAAAATTGTAATTAAATGAAAATGAAAGGAAATTTGGTTTAATGTCCTACTTTTCGTAATTAAATATAACAATAAAATTAAAACTGTTACATTGTATTTCAGATATGTTTTAACGAATATAATTAAATAACCTTTAATGATTTATAATTTGATTATTGCAGGTTTTCATCTGAGTGCCACTATTGTACCACCACAAACATTAAATCAAGCTCAGGGAAATAAAGGTTATAATGTGGCAGTTGTATTTGATAGACGTAGAATAACATCATGTAATTGTAGCTGTAATAGTTCAGCTTATTGGTGTTCTCATGTTGTTGCTGTCTGTCTGTATAGAATTCACCAGGTAATTATTCTTTCTCGATATATACTACCATTCAATTATACATGATAGTGTCCCATAGTGACACATAGCATGGAAACTCCTCCCTGGGAGACAACCTCACAATGTATAACATGCCCCATAGCAATTGCATTGCATCAAACCCCAAGAGGGAGTTTGTCATAGTGCATTAAAGTAAGTTTAACTATTAGTATATAAAAGTAAAATTGACTAGTAATGTATTGAAGAGAAGGCTCACCTATTAGTGTATTGAAGAAAATTTGACTATTACTATTAGTGTATTGAATAAGTTCACCTATTAGTGTATTAGAGTAAATTTGTGAACCATATGTTAGTCCCGAAATGGCCTAGTTTGTGTCGAGTGGGCGTTAAACCCCATTACTCTCTCTCTATTAAAGTAAATTGAAGTAATGTATTGAAGTAAGCTCACCTATAAGTGTATTAAAGTAGAAGTAAATTTGACTATTATTGTATTGAATACGTTCACCCATTAGTGTATTAAAGTAAATTTGACTAGACTAGTAGTGTATTGAAGTAAGCTCCCCTTTTAGTATATTGAAGTAAATTTGACTAGACTACTGTATTGAAGTAAATTTAACTATTAGTGTATTGACTATTAATCTATTGAAGTAAGTTCACTTGTTAATGTATTAAAGTAAATTTGGCTATTGATACATTTAAGTAAGGTTGCCTAGAAGTGTTTGACTATTAATCTATTGAAGAAAGTTGCCTATTAGTGAAATAAAGTAAATTTAGATATTATATTTTAAGAAGCATTATGTAAGATTTAGATAAAGAGCTAGGCATTCTTGCTTTAATAGTTCAAAAAAAGATAATGCAAAATGAATTGCGAAGATATTAGCTTCTGAAGGTTTGACAAGATGTGTGCATTGATTGTAACCACCATACTGGTTGTTCAAAGCTTAGTCTCGCTTCTCCATTTTTAGATTAAATCATTAAATGGCTGAACCGTTCTAATCTACTTAATATCAGAGACATTTGATGGCTTCGAGAGCTGAGTATGGTCTTGTCTATGTTAATAGATGTCTAATTAATAATTTATGTAACATTTAAGGCCTAAAGAAAGACCTGTAATAGGCGGTTTAGCTCTTGCATAATGCCTATTTAAGTAAAGTTGCCTATTTATGTATTAAAGTAATTTGACCAATTGATGTACTGTACTTGGGTTAGACAAGAATAAGGAGAATGGTCAGAAATCTGAATAAACTGATTATAAACAGAATAGTGCCTTGATTATCAGTTTTTGAAAATTCTAAATAATTGTATTAATGTTATGTATTTCAGGCTAATTCTGTATGTCTACGAGCTCCTGTATCCGAGTCCTTGTCTAGACTACACAGAGATCAGTTACAGAAGTTTGCCCAGTATCTAATCAGTGCTCTACCACAACAGGTCAATTATTTAAATAATGTTAGTAGATAGCCTAAATACAATGTTCCTTAATACAACATTCTTCAAATGATTTTGAGATTTCTATGTACAAAATACTTACCTCCTCTTATTGAGCTCAAAATTATAAATATGTTGTTAATTTTATAAGGAATATTGTTAGGCATAATTTTTTTAATTTTGATACAATAGTAGTTAAAATGTATGTTTTGAAACTTTGCATTATTGTAGATATTACCAACAGCTCAGAAATTATTAGATGAATTGTTATCATCTCAAGAAACAGCCATTAATACAGTTTATGGTGCACCAGGTAATTATTTTAAGTTTCAGTACCTCTATTTGATTCTTTGGGCCGGTTTTAAAGAGAAAAATACCAGGTATAATTTAGGGAATATAAGTGGTTAATTCTATATGTAAGGCTCTTACAATCCGTATATGTATTCAACTCCCAAGTAAATATTCAGATATAGTTGAAGATGCAGCGCTTGACAACCAATCACCTTGTACCTAGATGAATTTGTCTGTAGTATAACTCATGCAGTGACAATTTCCTGTTATAGTTTCATTTCTTGTGTTTTTATTTTTTTTGGCTTTTATCTAGCAAATAAAATACTTTTGCAATTTAATTACCTGCTACCTGTTTATATTGTTTACAGATGTTACCTATTAGTCAATTTAATCATTTTACTCAATGAAGATTATAGGGAGTGTTCCAAAAGAGTTACGTAACTCATATAAAATGTTTTTGCTATCGGCTGTTTCTTCACATTTGGCGTTTGATTTGCACACTTAAGTCTCATTGGGTCATTGTACCACAATAGGAATCCCTTGCAGACTACAATATTGCTAAAGATGAATCTTTAATAGGAATATTAGTCCAAAAATGGTTTTAATTCCATTCAGTATTTGCAAAGATATGTTGGATTGAGATTCCATTGATCTATGCTGCTCACTATGTAATAAGCTTGTCGCTATTTTGTTGTGGGTGAATAGACTTGATAGACCTATTTTAAATCCTATTAAATCCAAGCCTGGTGGGGTGGGGGTATGTAGCATTGCTGTTTTGATTTGATTTTCTTAATTAAATGTTAAATAATCAATCTTAGTATATATTAGCGTGGATTAAGCTGTGAGAAATATGTTATCGCAAAATGCAATTGACCCATAGTTACTTTTACCTCTTATCATATTTACAAGGTTCTTGAGTGGTGCTTGCACGCAGAACAGTGAATATGTCATGCTAATTACATATTATAGACATACTGATGATAAACTGAATACACAATTTTCGACTTTTTGTAGAGTCATGTTCTAGTTTGATTCTTCTTTCCCAAAACATAACATTTCTCACATTAGCTCTGACATTTTTTAAGCCATCGCTGAGACATATATTGTCAGATATGTACTTCTATTGGAACATTGTATATCCTTCTCTATCCCTTTGGTTTTCAGATCCTACAGCTGGCCCACCTGCTAGTGAACAGACATCATGGTCACTTGATGAATCAACACTTCATGAAAATATAAAAAAAACTCTAGTCAAATTTTGCGTACCAGCTCCAATGGTTTTCAGGTAAAAAGGATGGAATTAAAATTATAGTATTGACAGTTCTAAATTAGAAAGAAGTTGGTAAAGAGTGAAATTGTATATTCATATTTGAACTGTGAATAAAGTAATGTATCCTAATTTTATCATAAAGATTTATAAACTTGTAGTCATTCTTCGCATATTGGTATACCAGACGGGAAGAAAAAATAGTCATGGCCACAACAGATTACATTAAAAAACATGTGGATTTTTATTTTCAGTGATGTAAACTATTTGTCCGCTAGTGCCCCACCTGCTGCTGCTGAATGGCAGAGTTTATTACGCCCATTACGTGGTCGTGAGCCAGAGGGCATGTGGAATTTATTGTCTATAGTAAGAGAGATGTTTAGACGCCATGACAGTAATTCAGTACCATTACTAGAAATAGTAACTGATGAAGTACTACAATGTGAGCAGGTATGTATTATATCTACAATAACATTATTGGCATACAACTTAAAGATACATTATGGGAGATAAGATAAAGAGATGGCAGTTCTCGCTATAATAGTTAAAAACTAGATAGTGTAAAGGTAATTTGCTGAAAATTTCAGTCAAATTGATCCACTATGAGCCGAGAAAGAAGCGGGTGAAATTTTTGCATAGTCTCGGTCATCATTACTAAAATCATTAATATAAACAGCATAGTCTCGATTATCCACTTTTATTGATTTAATTATCAATAGCCGTTAGCGGCATATAGGAATCTAATCCAGCCAACGTCGAAGGCTAGCCTTGACATCGAGAGTTGATTATGGTCTGGATAAGTTAATTAATGTCTAATTGATAATTTAGATAACATTTCAGGCCTAAAGAAAGACTTGTAATAAGCAGATTTTGCTCTTGCATAATGCATGTTTAATGAATAAAATTACTTTATCTGATATAGGGAAAGCTGTTATTAATACATGTAACATTAGCTTATAAGATTAATAGGAGACTTGAATATGTAATCTAATTGATTATATTGACTTGATTGTTGTTTGTTATGTGTCATATGTAAGCTGATCTTATTGATATTAAAGGTAATACAATAATGCCAACCAGTTAGGTCTACAATAATTTGAAAATATTGAAATGTTGGTTTTTATTTTCTCCACTCGGATAAACAATATCAAGAACCTTATTAATTGAAAGTTTCATTTATCTATTTTTCAAATACTCATTAAAAATTATTTCTAGGTATGACTAGATTTAACTCCTCGTGAATGAATTGATTACTAATACTAAGTAAGTTTTCTGACTTGTAGGCAGGACTAGGTTTAACTTCTCGTGAATGAATAGATTACTAAGATATTTGAATTTTTTTTACAGATTTTGATCTGGTGGTTTGCAACAAAGTCATCTGCTCCAAACAACAGTGCAGTAGTTCATATTACAAGAAGTGGAAATAGTTCAGCTAATGCTACCCAGCATGCAGCTGCTAGTTTATGTGAAGAGATAGTGACTCTATGGAGATTGGGTGCATTAAATCCTAAACTCTCACCCATTCAAAGAGATGATCTATGCACTAAATTTAAAGACTGGCACATGTGTACCATAGAAAAAGTGAGGAAGGCTAGAAGCTCTAGCTCCAGTGGTAGTGGCAATGTTAAAAAGAACGATATCGAAAACTTCCCTGGTTTTAAACCTGCTATTGAAGCTTGTTATTTAACATGGGAAGATTACCCTATTCGAGGTGTGACGTATTCGGATAAGGAAGGGGCACGCTGGGTTTATCACTTTAGCTGTAAAGGTTCTGATAAAACCTCCAGGGTACAACCGATGACCATCTGCTCAAGGGACATTATCAGCACAGATAACTCTACACATGTTGCTCATACTAAACGATCTCAGGAACAGCGCTCTCGGGTTAGACATGACAGTACTGTACATATCAATGAAGTGGATGGAGCTATCAGTTCAGGATCGGAAGGATTTTGTGAACCCGACAGACATTTTCGTGATTCAGATTCTAGTTATGATAATAAAGGATTACATTCTAGAAGTAATTCTTTGGATGAAGCCGAGAGTAATGCTGTATTTGAGAATGGGGGATTAGATAACGGGGAAGATCAAGTTGAAATACAAGGAGACGATGTAAATAATGTAAATAGTGTAAATGATCTCATAGAAGAAATTGATGGAGCCTTAGGAGCCATTGCAGACATACAATTAGCAGAAGCTAGTCAAGCTCTACCTAGTGGGGCTAATAACACAGAACATTCTACCTCAGAGTCACAACAGTCAGGTGATGAGTATCAAATGTACTTTTATGACACTAAAGCCAAAGTAGTTGAAACCAAGAAAAAGAATGATGAGCCAAATTATTTTTTTGGAATAAAGAAGTTTGAAGATATACAAGATACATCGAAAGGTGTTTATAATCAGAAGGTTGTTTGTGGTTTGCTTGTTCATTCTTTTCTATATTCAGAATTAATGGAGAATTATTCACCAAAATATAAAAGGAATTTTTAATCTCCATTTGATTTATGAATGCCAGGTAGCATTTACAAATGTAATAAAGAGATGCAATCAACATCACTATAATAAGTCATTCTAAATTTATAAATTAGCAAAGTTAAATATGTCAAGGGCCATATTTCGCATAATGAAAGTAGATGAATTAAATTTTACAAAAATTGGTAACTTATTATTAAATTAATCAAAATGGGTATTTGCAGAGCTTTGTAATTTAACATGAATACCTCTTTGTGAGTACAAAAACTTAAATACCAGGTCCCTGTTTACAGACTGAACATTTTACTACACAGCACTAGAAATATTGAACTTATGTGTACTTACATGTAGCTATACATTTACATTCAATTTGTGAAATGCACCCCTGGACCACAATATTTTATAGTGAACTTTGACCTTCAAAACATTCTTTATTCTGCAAGTCTTTTTTTTATTATAGTATATGTAATTGTATAATGTATAATCAAATACAAAAGGCCAACACAGGATTAAAAAATCAAAATATTGAATGCCATATAACTGTAATTGAAAATATATAACTATGTACATGTATATTTGTTTCTATTCGTTTTAGATTCTGTTTGCTAGAGCTGAAGCTTTACATGCTCATGGTCATACTAAAGATGCTTGTAAACTAGCTAAACAGTTAGCAGAAGAAATGTTAGCTAATCCACCAGATCTATTAGCAGAATCAGCTAATGTACCTACACCAAAATGTAAATATTGTTTGTTTCTTTGTATTGATATTACCATACTGGAATCACATAGAGTTAATATGAATAGGAAATTAGCCAACATAAATGATGTCCTGGTCATGTGACCAATCACGCGTTACAGTGTCAATTTCATTTGTCAAAATATAATGTTTTGCATATTGTAAGATACATATACAAAAAACTTGAAGAGATATATTAAACAAAAATACACTTTATAAACTATTCCTCCCCAAATTAATGCACTCTATGGTCATTGACTTGAAGTTTCCAGAAAGAACTATATATGTTACTCTTCCAGGAATTAAATCTTATAATATTTATGTGTAGTTATGTCAATCAGTGTTACAGTGTCCATTTCATTTGTCAAAATATAATGTTTTGCATATCGTAAGATACATATACAAAAAACTTGAAGAGATATATTAAACAAAAATACACTTTATAAACTATTCCTCCCCAAATTAATGCACTCTATGGTCATTGACTTGAAGTTTCCAGAAAGAACTATATATGTTACTCTTCCAGGAATTAAATCTTATAATATTTATGTGTAGTTATGTCAATCAGTTAGGGGGTTTTCCAAAAGATTGCTGTAATTTGTCATGTAAGACACACACAAAAAAAATTGATTTTATATACCCACAGTAAATTGTCGTTGGATATTATTGAATAGATTTCAATTTTTGCATAGTGTTCAGGGGGCAACCATGATGTTTCATTGCCTAGCAACCTACATGTATCTTTTTATTTTTAAAAGCCAAGAAGAAGAAAGCTTTGAATAACATCAGTATGTTAGCTAGTGCTACATTAGCTAAAGCTGCCTTTCTGGTTAGTGTATTGTCTGAAGACCAAGAATGTCATCATCTTGCCTTTCAAGTAGGAATGTTTGGTTTAGATTTACCTAGACCACCTGCTTCATGTAAACCGTTAGAGGTAAGAATTACTTTGTAATAAGTGACTTTGTTGTACACATATATGTATTTATTATAATTGATTTGTGTCTGTGTGTAAATTAACATCAGTAGAACAGATATGCCTTGTGTTAAATCAGTTGCAATGGTGATTCTACAAATTGGAGGTTATCAGCAATTATATTTGCCTGTATGATCGACTACAATTTTGACATAGGTGGCTTTTTTGTGTCATGTCACTGGCATTCATTAGCATTTATGACATGAATAGAACTGTGTAATGGAAATGAAATCTTAATTCTAATAGATAAATATTTCCTGTAAATATAAGAATTGATGTTTGCATTTTCCTGATCAAGTGGTTTATTAAATATTTGAGTGTGTGAAATAGCTTTATTTAGTTGAGATTTTTTTTATATGCCCACATTTTCATGTGGACGTATATTGTCGTCGCCCCTGTCCCTGGACTCTCTACAGGTCACAATTCTTATCCGATTTTGACGAAACTTGAAATATAGGTTTATCCCCAAAAGATCTCAGCTGCTTTCGATATTGGAATGTATCGGATCGAAACTTCATGGATTATGGCCCCTGATTGTACGAAAAATCACGTTTTCAGCTTGTGGACCCTATAGAGGTCACAATTTTTATCTGATTTTGTTGGAACTTGGAAAGTAAGTTTATAACCCAAAGATCTCAGTTCCTTTCGATATTCGCGCATATCGGACAGTAACTTCCTGAATTATGGCCCCTGATTGTATGAAAAATCACGTTTTTAGCTTTTGGACCCTATAGAGGTCATAATTTTAATTCGATTTAAAAAAACGTATTATTATATCACCGTTACACCCTAAGGATAGCTGAGTTCGAATTTCGTGAAAATCAGCCCAAAATTGACCGACAAAATGGCCGCCGTTCGTTCTCAAATAGTGTAAAAATATGGTATATCAAGGTTGTGGACCCTATAGAGGTCACAATTTTTATCCGATTTTGTTGAAACTTGAAATGTAAGTTTATAACCCAAAGATCTCGGTTCCTTTCAATATTCGCGCATATCGGACCGTAACTTCCTGAATTATGGCCCCTGATTGTACGAAAAATCACGTTTTTAGCTTGTGGACCCTATAGAGGTCATAATTTTTATCCGATTTAAAAAAACGTATTATTATATCACCGTTACACCCTAAGGACAGCCGAGTTCAAATTTCGTGAAAATCGGCCCAAAACTGACAGACAAAATTGCCACCCTTCGTTCTCAAATAGCGTAAAAAATATGGTATATCAAGGTTGTGGACCCTATAGTGGTCACAATTTTTATCCGATTTTCTTGAAACTTGAAATGTAAGTTTATAACACAAAGATCTCGGTTCCTTTCAATATTGGCACATATCGAATTGTAATTTCCTGAATTATGGCCCTTGATTGTAGGAAAAATCACATTCTTTTTAGCTTGTTCTCTATCCATCTCTCGGAAATGTGGGCGTATCCTGCCTGGCAGCCGCTGGTTTTATCTTATTTGGACATCTAGATTTAGAGGAGTTATATTGGAAAATAAAGGAAGTAATTTAAGAAATGCCTAGTTACTATAAATGATTTATTTATATGTTTTATAGGTAAAATTAGCTTATCAAGAATCTGAGTTGTTACAAATGTTAAAGAAGATACCTCTAGGTGTAGATGAATTAGATATATTGAGAGCTAGAGCCCAAGAATTAGTAGATGGTAAAATAACAGCTAGAGGAGAAGCATTATTACCACTACATTTAGCAACATTTATCTTTGATTCTCTATGTCTAACAGGTACTTGATTTTTTGTCACTAAAATAATCTTGCATTCTACTTGGTCATCTGTATTTATTTATATTGAGGAATATGATGCTTTCAAGATACCATTTTGACTTCTTTTTCCAATCTACCTAACAACTATGTAACCTGGAAGCTGATACAGAGTCCAAAATAAACATGTTAAGATAATGAACACAAGTCTGAATGTACATCAAAGGTTTGAAGGATATGTGATATGATAAGAGGTACATGTAGATAATAATATGTATGTGCTACAAGGTCTGTAGTCTAAGGAGAGAAAACTCTATATAACTAATTCTCTTTCAGCTCGGGGTGCCCCTGATGAGAAACTTGGATTTGAAGCTGCTGTCACTGCCCTAGGTATGTTTAATTTAATGAAAGTATAAGTAAAAGAACTGTAATACAATATATGTATGCATTATGAACCATTTAATCAGCCGAGGTCAAGTGTACACATTGGCATGCACGTAAAAGATCCCTTGACAATTGGAATTCGATATAAGAGTAGGCCGTAGTGCCAATGTCCGGGCAAAATTTCCCTTTAGCACACTGTATGGCATATGCCCATCTCCATTAGCCCAGTTCGGAGCAGAACAGTAGGACATTAAACCCCATTTCATTTCATTTCATTTCATTTAATTAATGAATATACTCAAATACAGAAATGTTATTACTGCTCTGCTATTTAAAATAAGTAAATCCTTTTTACTATTGTGTAACCTGGAATCTGATACCCTCTTTTCAAGGCATGATTTAATTTAAAATCAAACCGACCATTTAATTTAACCCCAAAAACTTGCCATGTGAATACTTGCTGTATGAACACAAATTGTTTAAAAACCATGATGGACATGCAGACAAATACTAACATAATGAAAATGTCATCTGAAGAGATTCCATTGCCAATTATCATTAGTAGCTGCTTGATTTAATAGCCCATTGTTAGTCAGAAGATCACAATACACAATGGCATAAGAATTACTTCGGTTTCCTCTCACTATAAAAGATGCCTATGTGCAAGCGTATTATTGAAATAAAATTGAACCATATGTTAGTCCTGAAATGACCTGGTTTGTGTCAAGTGGAAGTTAAACCCTCTCTCTCTCTCTCTCTCTCTCTCTCTCTCTCTCTCTCTCTCGTCAGGTTCCAATAGACTACTAGATTCTGGTTAAATTGAAAATACAAATTACTTAATAGTAGAATATACAGGTTTATTATGTGAATATATATATATTGTTTAGGTTTGAAAGCTAATGTATCAGAAGCAGAACATCCGTTATTATGTGAAAGTACCAGAAGACAAAGAGGAGAGTTGGCGATGGCCATGTTAATTCAATATAAAGATGATCAAGTTAGACTTAGCAAGGTCAGATTTTCATTGTTGTTAAAATCTAAATCTTAAACACCATACTTTAAAACAAAAATTTAAAGTGTTTTGATATTAATGTGTCTGTAAGGGTGTCAGTATAAATTGAAATTATACCGACTGTGACTATACCTTACTCTTTTCTTCAAAAGAAAACTTGATGGCTTATTGTAAGTTTAACAAAAATGTATACTTATGTCAAAATTTGATGATAACTGTTATATTATCAAGGACATTGAATCATCTACCATCTAATTAAATCATCATTGATTATTTTATTGTTATGAGTTAGGTTAGCGGAGTATTAAATTATGTGCCTGGCAGTAGATCACATTTAATATATTAATTTCTACACAGGCTTATTTTTTGTTTAAAAGTATTTGATATGAATCGTAATTTATTAGTAAACAATGTTTTAGAAACTGGCGTCAAAATCTTATATACCTAAACATAGTGTTTTGATCTAATTGTTAATGATTAACAGTGATTTATGTCCAATATGATCATTATACCCAGTGTAATGGTCTATAATAAGTTTTTGATCATCCAAACTGCTGGATATATATTATTAATGTCATTATAGTTTATAATTAAATATTGATGTAGTTTTGAATTGTTTTTAAGATAATGGATAAATTACTTGATAAAGAAGTACATCAACAGTATAAAGCACCTAGTTTAGTAACCTACCTAGTTAACCGGCCTTCTGCTAGTCAACATACAACAACATCTAGTCCTAATAACTCTACCATAACACGAGAAACACATGTTACCCCCTCCCCTCAACCATCTACATCACAACGATCTAATATAGACACCTTATTTGTACCAGAGAGAAATCGTATGGCAACCTCTAGTAATGGGGAAGATAATGAAGGAACAGGACCAGTTAATGTGGATGGTTTACCTCCCCATTCTTTACCATTACCCACTGGTGGTGCCAGACCTAAAACAACTTATACTCTTACTGGTAGATATAACAGGTATGTTACATTTATACTCTTACTGATAGATATGAGTACAACTGTTAGGTTTATACACTTCAGGTTGAAGGTAGAATAGTAGAAGATATAGTTACCCGATACACTCTCACAAGTCAATATGACAGTTATGTTTATATTCTTACTGTTTACTGGTGCAGTTACTCCTACCAGTTAATATCAGTTACATTCACATGCAATCTGATTAAAATAAAGATCTATATTTTGCTTCGTTTTTATGCGCCCACATTTTCATGTGGACGTATTATGCGGTCGTCCCTGTCCGTCCGGACGTCCACAATTGTTTGTGGACACTCTAGTCTACAGGTCACAATTCTTATCCGATTTTGACGAAACTTGAAATATAGGTTTATCTCCAAAAGATCTCGGCTGCTTTCGATATTGGCATGTATCGGATCGAAACTTCATGGATTATGGCCCCTGTTTGTACGAAAAATCACGTTTTTAGCTTGTGGATCCTATAGAGGTCACAATTTTTATCCGATTTTGTTGAAACTTTACATGTAAGTTTATAACCCAAAGATCTCAGTTCCTTTCGATATTCGTGCATATCGGACCGTAACTTCCTGAATTATGGCCCCTGATTGTACGAAAAATCACGTTTTTAGCTTGTGGATCCTGTAGAGGTCATAATTTTTATCTGATTTAAAAAACCATATTATTATTGACAGACAAAATGGCCGCCGTTCGTTCTCAAATAGCGTAAAAATATGGTATATCAAGGTTGTGGACACTATAGAGGTCATAATTTTTATCCGCTTTAAAAAAACGTATTATTATATCACCGTTACACCCTAAGGACGAATGAGTTCGAATTTCATGAAAATTGACAGACAAAATGGCCGCTGTTCGTTCTCAAATAGCGTAAAAATGTAAGTTTATAACCCAAAGATCTTGGTTCCTTTCGATATTCGCCCATATCGGACCGTAACTTCCTGAATTATGGCCACTGATTGTACGAAAAATCGTGTTTTTAGCTTGTGGACCCATTAGAGGTCATAATTTTTATCCGATTTAAAAAAACGTATTATTATATTACCGTTCCACCCTAAGGACAGTTGAGTTCGAATTTTGTGAAAATCGCCCCAAAATTGACAGACAAAATGGCCGCCGTTCGTTCTCAGTTAGCGTAAAAATATGGTATATCAAGGTTGTTGACCCTATAGAGGTCACAATTTTTATCCAATTTTGTTGAAACTTGAAATGTAAGTTTATAACCCAAAGATCTTGGTTCCTTTCGATATTCGCCCATATCGGACCGTAACTTCCTGAATTATGGCCACTGATTGTACGAAAAATCGTGTTTTTAGCTTGTGGACCCATTAGAGGTCATAATTTTTATCCGATTTAAAAAAAACGTATTATTATATTACCCTTCCACCCTAAGGACAGTTGAGTTCGAATTTTGTGAAAATCTCCCCAAAATTGACAGACAAAATGGCTGCCGTTCGTTCTCAATTAGCGTAAAAATATGGTATATCAAGGTTGTGGACCCTATAGAGGTCACAATTTTTATCCGATTTTGTTGAAACTTGAAATGTAAGTTTATAATCCAAAGATCTTGGTTCCTTTCGATATTCATGCATATCGGACCGTAACTTCCTGAATTATGGCCCCTGATTGTACGAAAAATCGCTTTCTTTTTAGTTTGTTCTCTATCCATATCTCGAAAATGTGGGCATATCCTGCCTGGCAGCCGCTGGTTTTATACTTTTGATGGTCTACACTACATGAAGATCTGACCAGTTGTACTGGGAGGTCGTGTCAGGGGTCATATGAGCAGCCTTTGACCCTATGACGTCAGACATTGATTAATCAATCAGCGTTGAAGTTTCTAGGTGTTTACCAACAGTTCCGTGCAGGGCACGCCAAGAACTCGCCATAACAGACCGATTCATTGACTAATTCCTCACATAAACTAGAACGCCTGTTATATAACAACTCTTCCAGATTCTACTGTTGTGAAGACAAGTAAAACGAAATTTTGAACTATAAAAAATGAAACGAAATAGGATCTGTGTTTTAATCAGATTGATTCATATGACAGTTATAATTACACTCAAATAGTTGATATGACAGTTACAGTTTATTGTTGATTCAAGACTTATGTTATTACAATTTAAATATTTGTTGATGCAACATTTATACTCTTAACATTTAATATAAGTTTCCAGTCCATATAAGTGGTAATATTATAATTTTTCTCAATGATAAATGTATCAATACAAATAACATTAATTTTCTGTGAATCATAATTCTAAAAAAAAAATGTTATGTTCTTTATATATTTGAAATGAGTTACTATTATTGAGTGTTTGTATATTATAGTGGTAAGGATACAGATAGTTCAGCTCTAGAAGAAGAAGATGATATTAAAGCATTAGATGCTAAAATAAGATGTCTGGGTATGAAGAAAAAACCATCACAAGGTGAGATTATAGAGTGTAGTAGTAGATTTGTACATATTTATATAGCAATGGCTATAGAAGAATCTGAACTCATGACTGGAAAGTATCAGTTTTAGATACTGACATTATAGATACCAACTTTCAGAAGTTTCCATGCCTACTAACCTCAGCAAAGCTAATCCAACACATGGACTAACTGAAACCTTGTGGCTGAAATTTTTCTGACCTTTTGCTTATAGCTCGATTGAGTAATAAATGAATTTTCATACTTATTGTGTTATTGTATTCGTAGGTATGGCTAGTATTGATAGTAGTGCACCAGAAACTACATCTAGTGACAACTCCCCTACTATGATACGTAGAAACTTTGGTAAACATCAAGGTCCTGGTAGTGATAGTGGTAGTAGTGGAGAAAGTGATTCACTTGGATCTTCTAGTTCTGGAGATAAAGGTGGAAGAGGAATTGTCCGAGATAATGAAAGGTAGGCTTTATATTTGCTATAAATACTTTACTTGGAACCGTGAAATGTATGTTATATATATTAACAGTGTTTAAACTGTGATATTTCGATGGGTTATGTACTGGTAACTAAAAGAATTAAATGTAACAGAGGTAACCACTGTTTTTGTAGGGTTACCACTTTTCAGCGTTGATTCCAATGGGGCTGACAAGGAAGTATCTAATATTATATATGGATGAGACAAAACTTGAGATCACATTACACACATAGCCATAGAAAAAAATAATTACACCATTCTATTCTATTCCGGGGGTGGTGGGTAGCCGAATGGTTTCGAATCCCCGGTTGTACGTGACAATCAGTAGGGTCGCCTGTCCAGCCTCGTGGGTTTTCTCCGGGTCCTCCGGTTTCCTCCCACTGCTAAAGACCCCTACACGCAAGCGAATTTTTGAAATAAAATTAAACCATGTTAGTCCCGAAATGACCTAGTTTGTGTCGAGTGGACGTTAAACCCCATTTCTCTCTCTCTCTCTCTATTCCATTCCATAGAGTAGCCTGTATTATGCATTGTACTGTGATGACAACATTATTTTCTGAATTTTAACATCATGGACATTATTCTAATCCTTGTAATTACATTATTTAAAACCCTTTCTCAGGTTTTCAATCAAGAAGTATGTTTTACTTACCACCTTTACCACACCATTGCAGGTGATGGATAGGGTAGGTCTGCAATATCTGTTTTATCAAACTCTTTATATTATAACAATTTGAATATTGATATTTCTAGTCCTCCAAGTCCGTTTGTAAATAGAAATCTACCACCTCATATAGTTGTTGATTCTAGAAGCTCTACTCCTAATGTTAAGGGTTTGAGGTAAGCATAATCTATTTTTAAATGGAGAATAAATCACTGTTTTAATGACTATTTTGGAAAAAATGCAGCCAACTTGATTCCAGTGAAACTCCATATCAAATGTGTCACCACAAAAACCTGTATATTAAACTTATAAAGAATATTAAATTTGGATTTACCCCTGTATTGTCATGATGAAATGTTTTTGATATATTTATTTGATTAAAGAGTATTATCATTTTGTTATAAACAGGTTTAAAGGTAAAAATCGTATCATGCCAACTGTACCAAACCAACCATCTGAAGCTTCAGCACATTTTATGTTTGAATTGGCCAAAACTGTTTTAACAAAAGCAGGCGGTAATAGTTCTACGTCTCTGTTCACACAACCAACCAGTAACAGTAATCCACCAGGTCCTCATCGTAATCTACATATCTGTGCATTCCAAATTGGTTTATATGCTCTAGGACTCAGTAACTGTGTATCACCAAATTGGTTGTCTCGAACCTACTCGTCACATGTGTCATGGATAACAGGTAATCATGAATTGATCTTAACTAACAGGGTTTATTTCTTCACCTACAACATCTTTAGTTTCGTCAATTGATTTCTCACACTCTAGATAGTCTCCAAGGCATGGTTTAAAACTAACTTCAAGACTTGTCTTTCATATTCACATTTAAATCAATCAATCATCAGACAGGAGAAAGTTATGTTCTGGTTATAGGGACAGTGTTATCAGCACAATACAAGATATTTGGCTTTGCCACATGCCCATTCATACCTCTATTGGCCAAGTATAAATTATGTTGTTCCTCAAAATTATGTTGATTAAAATGTAACAAAATAAGTTAAATTTTAGCTCTGATTTAAAGAAGAAAACAAATATATCTATATTAAAGATGAAGACGAAATTTTAATCTCTTCATTCCCCATCATGATGAATTTTTATTTTATCTTTACAGGTCAAGCTATGGATATTGGAAGTGTTGCTATTAGAATTCTAATAGATACATGGGAAGGTCATCTTACGCCACCTGAAGTTGCGTCTTTGGCAGACAGAGCCTCTCGAGGTCGTGATCCTAATATGGTGAAGGCTGCTGCAGAACTGGCCTTATCTTGTCTACCACATGCCCATGCTCTGAATCCTACAGAAGTCAGTAGAGCTTTATTCCAATGTAAAGAACAGAGTAGAGAGATGTTGGAGAGAGCTTGTCTAGCTGTAGAAACTGCTGCTAAAGGTGGAGGTGTCTTCCCTGAAGTCTTGTTTGACGTAGCTAAACATTGGTATAAAGTATCTGAGGATGTGGCTCAGAGTACAGATGTTAGCGAAACCAACAATCATTTACTTCAACAAGCTGAATTAGATAATAACGTTGGTGGTACTGCTGTCATACAACCACCATTATGTAATACGCCTGACAGAAATAGTCCAGCAACTCATCACGTTTTACCATACTGTGAAGCTCCACCACAAAATCAAGTTCCTGTTTCTGCTAGTCCTCAACTCCTTCCACAACCCAACGGTCAGATGGCTCCCCAGACTGTTGTTCTTCCTTATCCGATCTCTCAGGCTGGACCCCATCATCCCCAGCTACCTCATTCATATGTACCACCATATAGTTACATGCAACAAGTGCCTGCTGCCTTCACCCACCAGTATACACAACATCATTTACCCATACACAGTATCCATCCTGCGTACATGGCCCCGTATGCCTTCCAGAATCCAACCCAGTTTGTCAATATGCAAAGCCTTCCTGCCCATGCTACAGTATATCACACATCACCTGTACGACCTATGGGCCCAACAGTACAGGTATATCAGGCAGGACCCGGTTGTCAGGTTAACACTGTACAGAATCTAACTAGTACTTCAACTGGACATTTACACTCCATCCATTGTCCAGTTGATACTACATCCGCGGCTGGTAATACTACAAACACTGGTATGATACAAGCTGCTAGTAATCAACAATTGCATGCTCATTCTCTTTCACAAAATCCAGTCCAACTGAATTATGTGATGGCTGCGTTTAGAGTTGGTATGTCGGCTATGGAGATGTTGGCTAGAAGAGTACATGATGATCGTCCACAAACCAAATATGCTAGAAATCCCCCGTATGGTGAAGATGTCAAATGGCTTCTCAGCATTGCCATGAAACTAGGTAAGTATTTTTACACATCTTCCACATTCCACGCAAACCTCCAACACTTCAAAGAATACAGACCCATTGTTTCATCCCTTTTAAGATATGGTATGGGGTAATTAAACATCTATTTTTATACGCCCACATCGAAATGTGGTCGTATAATGCCGTCAGCCCGTTCCATCGTCCACAATTTCTTGTAAACGCTCAAACGCCAAAAGTTATCATCGGATTGTTTTAAAATTGATATATGTTGTTTGCATTATTGAAATCAAAAATCATATTTAATTTCAATAATTTCTGTTTATTAAGTCTAGAGTTATGGCCCTTTTTTCACTTTGTTGAACCTTGTGAATGCTCTTAGGCCAAAAGTTATCATCCAATCTTTGTGAAATTTATATGCATTATTTTAATTAGTGAAGAGAAGATGCCTATTGAATTGCAGCAATTTCCGTTTATTATGTCTAGAGTTATGGCCCTTGTTTCACATTATTGAACCTTGTGAACGCTCCAAAACCAAAAGTTATCATCCGATCTGTATGCACTTTATATGCGTCATTTAAATAAGTGAAAAGAAGAATCCTATTGAATTTCAGCAATTTCTGTTTATTACGTCTAGAGTTATGACCCTTGTTTCACTTTGTTGAACCTTGTGAACCAAAAGTTATCCGATCTGTATGAAATTTATATGCATCATTTAGTTTAGTGAAACCACGAAACCTATTGAATTTCAGCAATTTACAATAATTACTTCTAGAGTTATGGCCCTTGTTTCACTTTGTCCAACCTTGTTAATGCTTGATTGATGAATGTTGTCATCCAATATGTATGAAATTTATATGCATCATTTAAATTTGTGAAACGGAGGTCTATTGAATTTGAGCAATTTCCGTCAATTATTTCTAGAGTTATGGTCCTAGTTTTACTTTGTGAACCTTGTGAACATTCGAATGACAAAAGTATGAAATATTAATATGCATTATTTAAATTAGTAAAATGAAAAACCCTGTCAAATTTCAAAATTTTCTGTAAATCACTTCCAGGGGGTTAAGGCCCTTGTTTCAGTTTGTAGAACCTTGTGAACCCTCAAACAACAAAAATTATAATCTCATCTGTATGAAATAATATGTGACAACCCTTGTCGACTGCTCGGACGATTTAGCTGCTGTGGGCGTATATTTCGTTGCAGGGCAACCTGTCTTTGTGTTTTTTCTCCACCTGCATCAACATTTGATCCATTGGCTACACAGATTGGCCAGCTTGTCCGTTCTCTGCTGTTCGATCCCTGCATTGGCCGAGAAAGTTCATCCAGATTTTCCGGCGTGGTTCTCCCTTGTCAGTGATGCAGGACGTAGGGGCTGACAAGGAAAGCTGTCTAGTCGTTCGGATGGGACGAAAAACCGAGGTCCCGTGTACACATTGGCGTGCACGTAAAAGATCCCTTGGCAGTTGGAATTCGATATAAGAGTAGGCCGTAGTGCCGCTGTCCGGGCAAAATTTCCCTCATAGCACACTGTATGGCGTATGCCCGTCTTCATTAGCCCAGGTTAGGAGCAGAACAGTAGGACGTTAAACTCCATTTCAATTCAATTCAATTCCGTTCTCTGCTACTCTTTTAAGGGAGTGTTGCTGACCCCCTCCCCGTCTCGTGCCCTTGAAGAAATATAATTTGACTTGTTAATCTCAGAATTACATGCCTTTGTTATTAGACCTGACTGTGTCAGCTATTTCAAACAGAAATATCCAAATAATACTGAAAAGACTCTAGTTTTACTGACTAAAACCATGGGTTAATTTGAAAACACAACTTCAGGATGTTCAATTAAATATCCTTTAAACTGGATATTTTTTCAGTCAGTCCATCTTAAATACTCCTTGTTAAGATATGCCTTTAATTTATGATGTGATTTGTTATTTTTCAGGAACATATTATATTCAACAGTTTTGTGCAAGTGCAGTAAATGCTGTAGTCAGTCCTCATATATTGTATGATTTGGCAATGGAAGCTGCTAGATTTATGGCTAAACATAACAACACTTCACATCCTACCAACCCAACTCATGTATCTAACCAGTTACGCTCCAACATTCTAAATTCTCTCTTCCAGAAATGTTTACAAATGTAAGTAATTCTTGTTTTATTATTGGTTTAAATAACGTGAATTGTTAGATTCTCCTTATTGTATACAAATTACCTTAGATTCTTCTCATTGAATATAGAATATGTTAGATTTTTCTCATTGAATATAGAATATGTTAGATTTTTCTCAATGATTATAATATCATTGAATATAAAATATTACTTTCTCCTCTTTGAATATAAAATACAACAATCTCCTCTTTGAATATAAAATATTACATTCTCCACATCAAATATGAAATATTATATTCTCCTCGTCCAATATAAAGTATGTTAGATTCTCGTCATTCATTAAGGATGGACTGGGTGACCAAATGATTAACACATGCGGGTTAGATCATAGAGTCAAGTGGCGTGATTTTCAATTTTCCGCTTATACGTGACAAGGACTAGGGTTGCCTGTCCAACCTTGTGGGTACTCTCAGGGTCCTCCGGTTTCCTCCCACTACTGAAGACCCCTATGCACAAGCAAATTATGAAATAAAATTAAACCCCATCTCTGTCTCTCCACATCGATTATAAAGTATTAGATTATAAAGTACCATATGTTAGATTCTCCTTATCTAAGGCTATAACAATTGTTTACAGAAATGATCTGCCTTTAGACCAATTTGTGATTCTTTTTCTTAACGATTGCTATAGTCTCAATATTCCTGCATCATGTGCAGTATTTTTTTGCCTGAAAAAGGGTTTTTACTTTTAAGTAAAAACATGTTAAATAAGTCAAATCTAAAACAGATATTTATCAGCATTTGTATGTATTTTAGGTTTATGCAATGTGCCCATCAGAGGATACACCATATAACTCAAGCTGATTATGATGAATTTGTTACGATTGTATGCAGAGCAAGAAATGCTTTCTACATGGCACCAGGGGGAATGGTACAGTTTCATGAACTTCTACAGAGTTTACGGCGATCTAAATCCTGTCGTAAAGAACTGTGGCAACGTATTGTAAATGGCCTTGCAACTGGAACTGTATGACAAAAATTATTGTTAGGTTAAAACTGATTGTGTGTTCATAATCTTAAAAGAACATAAACAGTGTTTAAATTATGTGTAGTTTATAAATTAGACCAAATATTTTTTCAAAGAAGAGGTAGAAATAAAAGTGTGTAAAAAAAATAAAGAAAAAAAAAGCTGAAATACGTAGGGAGTAAAAATGTTGAGAAAAAAAAAAAGTATGAAAACACATTTGTTAGATTAAAATCATTACGTAATTAATTCTTAACATTTATCATTAGTTGTGTATTCTTTCATATAGTCATCATTTTTAACTCTTTGTCTAAAGTATATGTAATAGTACTTAAATGTATTAATGCATGTATTAACATTATCACATGTAACCAAGTATATAGATATATTAATGTATTGTCGCAAACCAGTTTTTGGTTGTTGAAGCTTTTTTTTCTTGAAGTTTGATTCTTGTATTTTTTTGCCCCATTTATGTTAATTTTCTTTATGTGTGTATTTAATGCTCATATTTATATACCATTGTTAATCATTTTATTTGTCATTATCCTTTATTTTGTATACAACCATCAGTTTATTTGTGGTTGAATGTGTTGAATTGACAGAATTGTGTATTAGGTTTATTTGAAACAAAAAAATATATTGTCAGAGTCAGAATTCTTTAAATTATTTATTTTATATGTTGCCATCAAATCCGATAAAAAATCATTATATCTATAAACACTGTATCGCCATCTTTGAAGAGAAATAGTTTGAGAAAAACAACAATGAACCATTGTCATATTTTGATTTTATTGGAACTTATGTAAATAAATGTACCAAAAATTAGATCGGAACCGGAATAAATTTATTCTTTTATAAAAACACACCAACAAAACAATCATATCATGAATCAGGTAATTTTTAGAAATTGATCATCACTCATTGTTTTGGACATTGGTTTTTTTTTTTAAAAAAAAACCAACAATCAGAAAGTCTGATCCTGTTAAAAGTATACATTTTTATTATCCATCAATTTAGTCTGCAGTTAATGGAAGTTACTATCTTGTACTAATCCCAAGTTTCGTAACATATGTAAGTAGAAAATATATGAAGCATTACAGCAATACTCTTTTGGTTTTAATGCCTTGTAGATTTGTTAAATTAATATGAAAATTTCTAACTTTAATTTGGTCCCTAAAACACCATAAATTTTAAAAGGAATACAAGCTTCTTGTCCAAGACATGGCGTTATGAAGAATGTTGATATTTGTTTAGAGAATGGTGTTCTAGGAATCAAACCTCAGAACAGATTTTATTTTGTATTTGTACTAGGCATTTTAATCAAAGAGAAAGGTGTTTGTTTCATGCTTTCCCTTAACTACTATGTTACTATGTAAAATCTGGAATATATAAGAAAGTAATTTCATGTGTGTGTGATTTAGACCTGTAAGGATTTATTGTTATTTACATTATTTACTTGAAATTCGTCCTTTTTCTCTTGTTGAAATAACACCATCATCAAATAAATGAATGCAGCGTTTTGTGTTTTTTTTTAATTCATTATACCAAAGACATTATTGTCTCTCAATCCCAGTTGATCAGATGTTCTCCCAGAAAGTTGGACTAAACAGTAGGTCGCCAATTTGGATAGTCTCTTTTGTTAGCATATTTTCATTTCAATACTGAGAGTTATCACAAACAAGAGATGATCAGTTAAGAATTCATTAAAGAGCTATAACTATGTTGAGATTTGTCTACAATATCAAAATGTTTTATAATCACTGTATTAATCCCTCTCCCTCTCTTAGATGTGAACCATGAGTGGAGTAACTCACTGTCAGGAATAACAGCACAGATTAATTTTACAGTATAAACTTATACTGTCCAGTAGTGGGTGCAAGGTGTCAAATGGGTTATGAAACTTAGCATATTATTCCCCCTCCCCAAGAACTGTCACTAAGCTTTTCATGCTGTATCTTTTTTATATAAAATAAACATACCTGTTAATAAATGCCACTCATGAGGCAATATATTCAATGGAATTGGGTTTAATGACTCATCCAACACATTTGTACATGCACACAGGTACAATGGGGCACACTTTCCTTGTTGGCCACATATGCGCTAAACCTAACGAATGTGGGCCGAGCCTGAATGGCAGTGTAAAGCTTTTCTTCTGTGGGGTAGGGCAGTTTGCTAACAAGAGTCAACATTATGCATTCCATAGCTCCTACCAATTCTTATACATAAAACTGAACTACCCAGTACCTTTTTATATGTGTTAAACATAAACAAATCTAGATCTCCACTAGATAAATACCTACTAGCCATCCTGTTGGAAGTTGAAAATATAAGTTGTTAAGATATGCCGTGTTTTAGAAATGGCCATCTTGCAAGGCAAGGATCTAATTGATTTGTGCAAAAGTCCACTTGCACATATTTCCATACATCAGAAACTGCTTCCCATGCTCTATGTGCTCAGTGTCATGGGGGGGGGGCGACCCCCGCCCCCCAATTTTTTTTTCTGGGGGGGTCTGAATATACTTGGACCCCACAAAAAAAATTTACATAGTAGACCCTAACTCCTATTTATTTACAACAATTATTAGGGTTAGTTAAGATTCTATCTGTATAAAACCTGTACATATCCCAATATGGTTTACATTGCTAAAATAAAAAAAGAGAGAATCATCCTTGAAACATGTGTGAAGTGAAAAGTAACTGTGTTCCATAAAATTGTGTCTAGTTAATTTTTTTCTGCCACTTATCAGAGTGAATCGCATGTACCCAAAAACATTATCGCCTAAACCAAATATTTATCAGCAAACGAGTTGTGTAGACAGCATGGCCACGTGGTGTTTGTTTATATTTTTTAGGGGTTTTAAAATAGGGTTAGGGGTTAGGGTTGCAGACCCCCCCCCCCCAATATATATTTCACGGCTACGCCTCTGCTCAGTGTTGGTGTGATATGCTGGCCATGTCACTGGTAGAAAACATGTACATACCACATAAATTCCATCATTTTCTGCATAGTTATTTTTAAAAAATACAACCTCTGTTAGTATCCAAATGACCTAGGCTACACAGCATTATTTCAACAATAAAAAATTAATGAAATTCAAATTTAACCAGCTGTCCCTTAACCAGAGTTACTCCCCTTTAGTCTACAGCAGAAAATTAACCCAACCAATCAATGTGGTGCAGAATTTTATTGATAATGACTTCCGAGATATTGTCATGTTTTAGCAAAAACGATAAATATACAATATTGCAAATACAAACATGTATCCAACAACCAAATCCCCTTCATAATTCCATTATCTCAGAGCCGTAGTATAAAAAATTTTGCAAAATATATTTCTAAAAAAAACGATAATACATTCAAAGTTTTCATCTAGAATTTGAGCAGAATGAATTCGTTCACATTAATAGACAATGTATCAACACATTAAAAATTTACAGTTATTAGCACCAAATTTCCATTTAAAACAAATAATATTGTATTTAATAATATAACAATTCTATAAAAATAACAAAACAATACCTTCAAGAAACAAATCAAACAGATAATAATATAAGAAATATCAACTTAAAATCCAAATATTAAATTAGTAGGCCCAGTGCAGTGTATATAAAAAAATATATAATTCTTTTCTAAATATCTTGTTTATCATGATTCAAAACTTCTTCTAATTCCAGGAGATGAATACCATTAGGTCTGGTCATACATATTAGCATTAATACTTTTTTGTACTTTGTGCAAAGTTTGTTGGGGGTTTGTTTTTTTTTGGAGGGGTGGGGGGATAACCTGCTTTTGTTTAAAGTGTTGTATTAAATTACATGCATTCTCACATTATTACTTATTTCTTAAGCATTTTACGATCCAAAAAAATTTGAACTCAGACAATCCTATCAAGAACTTTCATAAGTTTGAATTATGCAAATGGGGGAAATAACTTTGCAAATTTGAACAATATCTGTCAAGAACTATTTTAATAGGCGTTGACCGATAAAGGATGCAGGAGATGACAATATATATATATACATCCACATTAAATGAGCGACTATGTCTGTTAACAGTGTCTAAATCAAAAGTAACATGATAACATAAAACATTGGAGACAGTCAATTTTTAGGGTTTTCGTAACAGAATATAAATTAATTGTGCAAGCCAATCTTCAAAAGAATATAATTTGATCATCATCATTATGGCAAATACTTTATACAAAATGTAAATTTAGCACATATTTATGCAAACTAGATTATGTTAGTAAACAAATAATGCACTAGAAATTAGTATACACACATATATATACAATGTACAAATACCCATACCCATGTGATATATATATATATAGATTATTGATATACAGATTTTGATCATTATAACCATATAACAGATGAGAGATTTAGAAGACATTGGGATAAATAAAATTAGCTAACCAAAACATAAACTAGGTTAATGGTAACTCTTCTAATTAGATGTGATTAAATGGTGATTTAATCACCTTAACTATGACTGAATAATAAGTAGATGGTTCTGCAGTAAAGTAACTTAGAAATTTGAATACAGATAAATTGATGGTAAAAGCACAAATTGTACCGGGAATTATTACCCACATTGAGACAGGTATCAGGTGAGTTAAGGACTGGCAGTAGTCACAGCTTTCGAATCAGAACCAGATTTTGGTGGTAAAACGTGTGTTGAATACAATATAATAATAATAATGATCAAAATCACTACCAAACCAACACAAACTAATATCAGTGTCATTTTGGTATTTTTCCACCAATATTTCTTGGCTATTTTCTTGGATGTTTTTTGGAATGCCATTGACTGAAATAGAACAGTTTTATTTAAAAGAGCTAAATCGCTAATATGTGGGGCCTAGAAATTGACACAAATGGGTCGCAACGCATATAATAATGTAATATGAATGTATATAAACTGATTCAAATTCAATCGTTTCTGTTTTTACTGTAATTTCTAATCAGTTATGTTTGGCAAAATACGCCAATCAAACTGCAATCTCTAGCGTCTGGTAATTCCAGTCTACACCTATAGTATTTATTGCACATGCTCTCCAGGTAAGAATATATCGCCACCTTTTGAATGACTTGTGGAATATGTCCAGCCTCGTTCTTTGAAACGCATTATGGTACACGATTCATGTACCAATGGTAAAATGTTTATTTTGTCTTAAATATTAGATATCAGAAGCCCATTTTTTTTTCCCGGTAAGATCACAAATTGACAAATAGTGCGTGTTTTCAATGTTAAAGACTTTGGATGATATTGAGTTAGAGACAGAGCTACTTTAAGTAATACTTTAAGTAATACATACAGAAAATAACTGAATTAAGAATAATATACTATTCAAAAAAAGTAGGGGATATTTGATTTTGGGGGCATAATACTAAAATATGCAAATGACTACGAAAAAAGTCACTATAGAACCTAACAGAAGAAACATTTCCAGTTACATGTGACGCCCAAACGCATCAATAGCTACCGCATGGAATGCATGTGATGCTTGGGATCATCATGGGGGTCCAACCCAAGATTTGCACGACTCTGACTTTGAATGTTACAGTCATTGTGGCATTGAATTCCAGGGTGGAAACATCAGTTTAATTGTTTTAGTGACCAGAAAACAAATTTTGATATGCGTCGGCTTACCCAAAATGAAAGGTTACGTGCCTTTGGCATGCTACAGATCGGCACAACACAGGCGGTTGTGGCGCGGACGATGAATGTTTCTCAGTCTGTCATAAGCAGGCTATGGTCCAGATACCGTGATACACAATCTGTACAGGACAGACCACGCTCAGGTCGACCAAGGGCGACAACTCAAGCCCAGGATCGATTTATCCGTACCTTGGCCTTGAGAAATCGTGTCATCACAGCAAATCAGATCAGCGCTCGTCTTCAAACAGACACTGGTGTGAGAGTGAGTGGCCAGACGATTCAGAATCGACTGCATAGGGGTCACCTTCGCGCCCGACGTCCTCGCGTGATCCCTTGTTTGAGAGATCATCACATTCAGGCAAGACGTCGTTGGTGTAGGGATCGTCAACACTGGGATAATCGACGCTGGAGCAATGTGATGTTTTCAGATGAGTCAAGGTTCACTGTTGATTTTTTGGACAGACGTAGGAGGGTGTGGCGTCGTCGAAACGAGCGCTTCCAAGACGTTAACGTCATCAGACATGATCGATTTGGGGGTGGTTCTGTTATGGTGTGGGGAGGCATCACTGTTGCTGGAAGAACGGCTTTACATGTTGTTGCAGGGCGTGTTACAGGCCAGTACTACCGGGACAACATCTTGGCAGTCCATGTTGTGCCGTTCACACGACGTCATGGCCGCCGTTTCATCTTCCAGGATGACAACGCAAGATGTCACAGGGCCAGGATCGTTACAGGTTACCTCCAACAACAGAACATCACCACATTACCTTGGCCAGCAGTGAGTCCCAACCTCTCCCCCATCGAGCATGTCTGGGACATGCTTGGACAGAGGTTACGTCAACGTCAACAACGTCCTGCCAATGTCCAAGAACTTGCTGCTGCGTTGCAACAGGAATGGGACAATCTGGACCAAAATGACCTTAGACGTCTCATTAGGAGTATGCCACGTTGGATCAATGCTTGTTTGGCAAACAGAGGAGGATTTACCCGTTATTGACTTGGTTGTGATGCTGTGGTAACTTTGCTGTTTGACCCCGGGTATCATTTTACCCTTATAATGGTCAGTCTGTGCCTTACTTAGTCTAACGATCATTTGGAATAAATCGATGAATGTGAACTTCATTTCATTTTGTCATTTGTTTCTTCGTCAGTTTCATTAGGTGACTTTAATAACACTTAAAAATCAAATATCCCCTACTTTTTTTGAATAGTATATAAGTCTAAAGACACAACATAACACACTTAATTCATTAATATTTCTCCAGATCAGCTCTCCTTTGCCCATCCGATGGAGGTACGTTTAGTCAATATGAACATTGTTGGGTTTTTTACCTATTGCTTTGTATTGTCTATTGCAAACCACGTCTTGATCACCAAAATGTTTTGCTTGAAACATTAGGTTACTCTCAAGGCATCTTGATGTCCTAGGCCACGATACACCCCCCATGATATCGAGTCTTTTTACTATATTTGTAAATAGATATAAACAAGTACATCATTATTTATATCAACTTAATTAACCACAGATGTTTACTTCCATTATTGATCTACACTACATTGGATATACTTTCCTTTTGAAATATAATGTAATAAGCCAGTGTGATTGGCTGGAAGGACACTTTCATTGGCTTAATGAGAGGTCAGTTCAGTCAACTGAGAACAAACATTGGCATTCATGTTTGATGTGACTCCCATTTTTGTGTCTTAATATTTCAGTGTTGTTGAAGATTTTGTCTTACTCATTGGTTTTAATCTTAAATCCCTAATGCTGAATTTATAGGTTTTAATCTTAAATACCTGACCCTAACCCTAACCCTAAAATGTAAAAGTGATGGAATGTAAAAGTGATGGAAATAGAAAAGGGAGTCGAATCAAACATGATCGCCAAAACTTTTTAAAGATATGTTAGACTGTGAAGGGCATAAAAAAACAAAAAAATTCATCTTGATATCCACTAGCTCATATTGATTTGGTGACAAACCAAAAGCATAGTGTGGCTGTGACCCCATTTTAATATCTGTGTAGCCTGCCAAAGTGAATTCTATTTGGAAGGATTATAGCAGATTCTGCATCCTTATGTTTTTCTGGATATTTTGGGTTATGGAAATGGCTTATACTTACATTCATCTGTAATTCATCTGTTTTATCTATTAGATCTTCAAGCCTTTCTCCTCTCTCCAAAACTTTTTCTATATTTTGACTCATTACACCTTTAACTTCATCAACTTGACTCTGTAAAACAGACATCTGGCCACCTTGACCTTTAGAACACTTCTCCTGAAAATAACAAAAAAGAAAATAACTTTCCATGTATTTTTAAATTGAATATTATTAAATATTATCAAAAATATGAATATTTAAGATATGACACTTAGACGAACATCCTGAAAGGCATGTGTCTGCCAATGTATTTCCCTACACATTAAATACAATCATCGTATTACTGGCAGTTCAGCCGCATTAATGATTGTTCTTATTTTTGACTATAAAATCAAATCTTCATCCTTCTTGTATTAACTATGAACACCCCTTGTCATGTCTTAAATATTCATTCTTTAGATCATTAAAATTCAATCATGCTGGTGTTGGACACAGAGAAAAACGGTTCACCAGACAAACATACTCAAAGCCATGTGTCTGCCAATGTATTTTTCTCACACATCAAACAAAATCTTTATTATCTATTAATGCATTGCAGGTCCTTAAAGTAAAATTTGTTTGCACATAAAATAAAAGCTTCATCATTCTTGCATTATTCTACCATAAAATTTTTAGTACTGAAACATACGTATATTTTGTGTTTTATTTGAAATAAATTTGATGACATGTAAATACATTTCAATTGAATTTCTTCCACATTGATAGTTTTATGCTTTATATTCTATTCAGTTTCTCACCATCTGTTCTGCCATGACATGTTCAAATTCCCTATTAAATTCATTAGGTCTAGCAGTCACTGCACGGGTAGCTAAAGATCCACTCTGAAATCTTCTTTTTATCTGAAATGTCAATAGACTGTTTTTATAACATGGTTAGGGTTTGTTCAGTCAATTATTGAAATAAACATGCTCTATGACTAATACTCTACTAAAATCAAATATCTAATCAAATGAAAATATCTAAAAGTACACACAAATAATATGTCAGTAAAACATAATACAAATAAATACCTCTGCTAAATATGTGTATGGTTTTTGTTTACCAAATGATGGTTCGGCAGCACAAATAAATAAAATGCCATTATCAACTAAAACATGGAATGCATAACTGAAAAATAGAACATGCACTGACTCAAATATACAAAAACTTTTAATATTTAGAATATTATTCTATGAGACATAAATGTCCCTTTCAAAACCATTTCCAAAGATATGGAACAAACAATATAACTACATGTATAGGTAGCAATAAATTGTAAGACAAGAAAAAGAGACAATTGAAAATTACAGATTTTATAAAAAGTTTTAGATATTCATTTTAATATTTACTGCTGTTTCTCATTCTAAAGAAAAGTTATCTTTAGATTATAAAACATCATCTTCTAATTTAATGAATTTTTTCATTGGTAAAGCCAATGACATCACTTTTATGACGTGACAAGGACGATATTAAACGGATTGGTTGATGTTATGTTGATATCTCATACTGACTCACACCCCAAATAGGTTAATTAATTAATGATATGGTCTGTAATATCAAAATGAAATTTTTACTACCAATATAGTTAACTACAACTGATACATGTGTAGTCAATTCCTTGATAACATGACAAAGGTGATTGATAAAAATAACATTGATAAATTTAAGGATGCCATATTGTTATCAACAATGTTTATTTAAGTGGGAGAGCATGTCCATTTATTCCAAATCACATTTGTTTCGCATTAATTTCACAAAATATTAATCTCTATACTATGTAAAATAATAAGAAATTATAAAACATGCAACTAATTAAATGACTGTTAGTTCAAATCCACATACACTATATAAACTAATAAAATATGAAAGTTAATCTACATTTAGAAGGTAAATGATAAAATTAGTTCTATATATGTATGCATTGCACACATACATGTAACTTTATTTAATTTCTTTGAATATATTTTCATAAGGCATAAGTTCAATACAATGATGTTTTGATGAATTTCATTTCAGAGAGGATTTGACCTTATTATCAGGCCAGCCATTTTTGATCATTGCTTAATTTCAAGCATCAATCGCAAATAAAAGTTACATCAACCAATATTGGACTTAATACCTAATAATCTGTTTCAATCTGATTAAAATCACTGATCAGTTGATTTTTAATTCATCTTTTTAACTTCATTTCATTCTGTCTTTTATCACTTTTACCAAACATCTGTCTAGTTTTATTATTGTATGTCATTTCGGTCATATAATCTGACAATAATATACTTATACTTACTTGTTAGAAGTATATGTTGTCTTGGCATCATTTCTAGATGGAATATTTGGTAACATCGATTCAACTACATCTTGGTATGTTTCTGAGCCAATCTGATGACTGACTAAAATAGTCGTTCCACGACATATACAACTATAAGTTATGGTCATTTTCTGAAAAATATATTAAATATATGTAGTACAAAATTAATCATTCAACTAAAAGTTTAACAGTGTGGAAAGTTTATACCATAAAACAAGAAAATATTGTGAGCCCTGAATTATATGTCAAATGACATCTGTCACCATTAATTTCTAGCATGTTTAGAATATACTTGGACAGTGATATTGGAAAGGTTAACTAAGAAAACAGGAGAGACTATTTCACACCGAGATATTTACTTGAATAATTCTTGAATAGTGAAATAATTTTCAGTAGAATTTAATTAATAATAGTGCTAAAATCTATTAACCACATCTACATAAACCTAATTTTCTATTCAATATTTAAAATTATTATTTAAATATTCCCTACATGTAACCCTTGACTATGCGGAAGGTATTACAACATTAAATCTATACAATATCATGGCAAGGGTAGTATGATTTACCCAAATCTACCCAAATCCACCATTATTTCAACTCATCACAGTAATTTATGCCAAATTGTCATTTTCAATTTAACATTGTAGCGCTTTTTAGTTCAACTGCCCCTCAAAATACAATTTCTAATCAAGTTTCGAAGTCAGTTATATATATTTTCAATGCTTGAATACAAATCTTATAATGAGAATAAAAATCAGACAATTTCAGAATCTATTCACCAATTTTATTCTAACACTAATAATAATAACTGTTTACCTGAACTCTAGCCCTTTTCACCTCAACACAGGTAATATTGTGTGAACAGAAGATTCTGATATCTCCACATAAAATTCGTAATTTAATGAATTAATAAATAAAACACACACTACCTAACCAACCGTGAAGGCAATGTTTAACAGTTCTGCCACAAAATATCGATATTTTATAATAAATATTTATGACACGATCTATGACATTGACATTATGACAAACTGAAACTTGAACTTGTTGAATCAGATTCATAAAAAGTAAATAAAAGAGAGTACAGTAATAAAACTAAATTAAGATGTGATCAAATTCCGGTGTTTGGGATATATTTGTCAATAGCCTACATGCATCTACATTATATTACTTACCTATTGTCCAGTATTTATGTCATAAAAATTCAACAGAACTGTTTATTTTCACTCCCTTCCTCCTTCTTAAAAAATGGGCGTGACCGAAATTTAACAAGAGTATCGTCCCTTTAATAAATTATCCAATCAATATAAAGATTACAGAGTAGTATAACCAATTAGTAACGATGGTTATTATTGGATCGCATCATGAAAGAGATAAACGCTTCATGCCGAAAGTCGCATCATAGCGGCTATCCCAGGAATTCCGTGGAATCTCCCTTGATTACAAATATACCACTTCTGTGTAATTGTTGATTTCAGCTGCTAACGGTAAGTACCGTTATATGTATTAATATTACCGTGGTTGCATCTCTATAGAGCGCGCGAGATTCTTAGGTCACTGTCACTGCATTTTAATTCTAGCGCACTTGTCACGATTCCCAAACAATAATAAATAATCACGACTCGCGTGTTACTGGTTATCCTGCTGTTCACTCTTTCACGACGCTGTCTCGATTTCAAGATCCAGGCAAGGCGATGGGTTTATCAATGAGATCAACATTTAATGATTTGTGCTTGTCTGTTCAATAATTAAATTAAGCTCGTCCAGTATATATTTGCTTTAAATTATATTAGTTTAGATTCAGTTGCGTAATTGTTAATGTTATTAATATTACAGTAGCCAGTAGGATGCAGAGAGAGAAATGGGGTTTAATGTCCACACAACACTTAACTAGCGCATTTCGGGACTGTAGTGCAGTTATAATATAAAGCAGAAATAAATTTTTTAAAACATTCTCTCCAACAACAGTCAACACATTTGAGACTAACGTGGTGAGCAGCACTTCCACCCTCTTCATTCCAACTGTCACTGCACAATACTATTCAAAACTGGAAAGATCCAGTAATAATAGTATTGTGCCCTGTCGCTAGGCAAAACAGATCAGAAAAACACAAGTAGGCTTCTGACCAGTAGGCCTACAGCAACAAACTCAGTTATCAAATAGAATGGCAAAGCCCTCTACAAAAAAATATAAAAATTGACTGGAATTTGAAGATGAAAGCATGGAACTTCATCAAGGTCCATGATCATGAAAGTAAAATTAGACTAGTTAGTGTTAGATCTAGATAATTTTTTTTTTTTTTATGCACTACAAATACATTCAGACTTCACTTTTCCATCCAAACTATCAGATATAAAATAAGTGTGAGACAAAATATGGTACTTAAAGGGACAATAACACTCTTGCTGGCTTGAAAGCTCCAGAAAATAAATAATATCGCTATCTAAGTACTAGATGTTTAAGTGTCCTACCTGTTGTGTAAATTATCCATTACATCCTATTTTACTTGTCCAGAGGGTTCGAAAATATTTTTAAATCGAAGTTTCATTTGAAAAGGTTTACGTTAGACGTTTCAAACCATTATGTTGAATTTTTCAAAATTTGTAAATAAGGTGTGTTAAGATGAAATTTGTATCATCAATTAATTGAAATATTCTAAAATAGTACAATTTGTTGACCAGAATAAAGATTGGGATATATTATTCAGTTACAACAAGAGTGGTATTGAGCCTTTAACATTTTTTAAAGATAGGCCTATTTGCAAGAGCTGTCAATAAAAAACAGTTGAAATATGAAACTATTAAAAAATCCAAAAAAAATCATATCTTTCAATTGTTAAGCATGCACACAAAATCATATTCTTCATTTTATAAGACCACATTGACAGATGGTTGTATATTCCCTGGATCTGGACAACCATCCCTAATTTCTTGTGAATGAGAACACTCTGAACACTGCATTTGTCATCAGATCTTCTTAAACTGGCAAGGTTGTTTATGGGGGCTTGAGGAAAAACCCTATTTATTTGTAAAATCTTTAGATTGTAAATTTTGAATGCCTTTTGCAGAGTTATTTTTCCATTCACATTTTTACTTTTAAAGCTCAGAACAGAATTTATAACTTACCATACTCTGTGGGATTTGTTCAACATACATTATGCAAGAGCTAAAGCTGCCTATTGCAGGTCTTTCTTTAGGCCTGAAATGTTTTCTAAATTATTAATTAGACATTAATTAACTTATCCAGGCCATAATCAACTCTCGATGGCATCGGATTTCTCCGATATTAAACAGATTAGAACAGTTCAGCCATATTTTGATTTAAGCTAAAAATGGAGGAGCGAGACTTAGCTTTGAACAACCAGTACGATGGTTGAGATTATTCCACACGTCTTGTCAACCCTTCAAAGGCTAATATCTTCGCTCGCAATAGAGTAATTTGAATGAAATTTTCAAATTATTCATTTTACATCATCTATTTTCGAACTATTATAGCAAGAATGGCTAGCTCTTTATCTAAATCTAACATAATGTATCTTTAACAATAATTTTAGATTTAGTATGGACAAATTTGTTGCTAGTGGGCTTATAGCGGGTCTAACAAGTCCCTGTATATTTTTACAATTTTATGAACACTATCATTCTATAAACATACTTATGGAAAACAGCTACCGATTTATTTAGGCGACGTTTCGAAGCAATGTCATCATCTGATCGACTTTACGTTTTCGTTTTTCCAACTATTATTTTACACTAATTTCTGATAATTACTGAATGTTTTTGCGCCCTGATTATGTCACACAATCCTGTCTATGCATCAATGATACAATGCATTATAAAGATTATTTTTTAATATTCCTAAACTAAAGATGAACAATGTGAAATGAACAATTTTTCTGTTTAAAAATAATTTTAGTTGTTTATTACATAATTTATTTATTGTTAATGTAACTAATGGTTTGTAGGTTAAAAATGTGTAGAGTAATGTAAAAAAAGAGTGGGGTATATACTCATTTTTATTCTATTCATTTCAATATACAGGTAATATGTGTATGAATTTATGTGTGCTATGTGACAGCAGAGTATAGTATAATTACATTATAGAAAAAAAAGACAAGTTAAGGTTAATACTTCTATGTAATGTGATCTACTTAAACAGCTAACAAGAAAGATAGTATATACATACATATTATTATAGATATATAGTAGGTTATAAAAGAGTTATTGTCTGTTCTAGTGTATATCTAATGTTTAATAAGCCATCTAGGTAAAAAATAATTGTATTGTTGGTGTCAGGTTGTGATTACTTTTATTTACTTTGATATACCCAATATGATATACCAAGGCTTTTTTCTTCTTTATAAGTGTTGCCAATTCAGAGATTTCTCACGAATTACTATTAGACACCGTGTAATTAATATTGAATTAACTGTCTGTGTGTGATCATTACCATGGCCAGGGGGTGGAAGCAGGCCCGTAACTGCAAAAAGTTTTGTCACCCCCCTGTGAAAAAATCGTCGACCATAAAAAAACAAACTAAAAACCTAGATAAGTAGTGCCCGTCAATTTTACAGCATCTCTGAGAACACTTCCTGCCCCCCTCGTTGCTCTGAGCTACATGTACATGTAGTTACGGCCCTGGGTGGGAGTGGACTAGGAGAATGGCTTTCCAGCATACATGTACACTTAATTCAAGATTTGGATGAGAATGTAGATGGTCATGTTCAAAAAGCTTATTGATCTCATACAGCTTTTGAAATTTATAAATTTTGTTAATGAAAGAAATAGGCATATTGATTTTCGATAATTACTTTCAAAGTTATGGTCCTTGATCACTTATCTTATGGATACTTTAGAGGATAAAGTTTTGGTCTGATTGACATGAAATTTATACACAGTGCTTTTAGCTTCATTAGATGAAGAAAGCCCATTGAAAAGGTCAAGTTATCATCTAATTGTATGTCAAATTTAGTTATTGGTAATCAGATTGTAAACAGTGTTTTGATCTTAAAGGGACTATCCCGATTTCAAGAGAGTCTCAAAATAAAAGTCGGAGTACATATGAAATTTAAGCGCCAAAATATAGAGGAATGGTGTATTGACCTTCTCTCAAAATTCCAGCTCAAAATATTTAACCGTTTGGACGTGAACGTCAAAACTGCTTATCCAGACACGTAACCCTTTTAAGATTTCTGAACAGTTTTTTCGTTGGGTGACCTGATAATCGATTCCCGTTCCTTGAGATGTCTATATAGTGAATGACCCATGTGCTCTTCTTATTAAAGAAAGGTATATTTCACCTACACATTATTTTTATAAAATAAAAGTCTGGTTTTATCCAGACACCGCATAATACAGCTTGGGACACCGATCTCCATTTCCGTATGAAGACTGACGGGTTTAAGTTGTTTGAAAACTTATCACAAATATTGAGTTAGATGCTCGGCCCTTAGCTAGAGGATTTTAAGGGATTTTAACACAAAATTAAGTAGTTTTATTCTCCAATAAATATCGGGATTAGCCCTTTAATCTTTATAACCACAAAGTGTCCTACATGTCACAATCATCTAATTTGATGCTTGAAAAGTTAAAGACTCTATGCATGACTTTGGCGCTATATAATCCCTTGCAAATAAAAATGTTGTGAAAGTTGAATTTTTAATAGGAATATCATCCCAAAAATAGTTCAGTTTAATTCAGTATTTACAAAGATATGACATATTGAAAATTCCCTATGTAACAAGACAACTGCCATCTTTATTTGCCATGAACCAAATTGATGGACATGTATTCAATCCGATTGAATCCAAGAAAGGATATTATCTAGGGTTGGTATCTTGATTTTGTTATGTTAAATAATCAATCAGAGTACATTATTTTTCAACAATGCCATTTTTACCATCCCTGGTTAATATACATGTAGCTTATAGTCACCGTGTATATTACAGAAATATGATGTATTTGTGTCAAAACGTTCTACTGCTGACCTATCATATATGAAGTTGGTTGTGTTTCCTGGCAATCCAGATTGAAGTAATCTGGGGTTTTAAACATTCATTCTTCAAGATGTATATGAAGATTTAATTTCATTATGGCAAGAACTATATATTAATCAATATATCTCTCTCTCAAAATAAAGCAATTCTGAAATAAAATGACAGGCATGTTTCTTTCTTGGCTAATAGCCCGTTCAGACGCTTATTTTTAAACCAGTTCATAATCGCTGGAGCCAAATCAGTTTAACTATTCTGACCTCTTCGGTCTGAGGTTAGAGTTAATTGCGCATGGGTAGCTTCATATTCTTTATT